ATTTTATACTTGGATCACATCATGATATTGAGCTTTGATGTTGTGGTACCTTACTGCCAGGGCTTCTGGAAGGTCTAGGAAGTGTGTGTGTGTGTGGGGGGGGGGGGGGGGGGCGGTTATCCCATTCTGACTCCAAGAAAAGCCTGGAGATTTCAGTGCCAAAAACCATATATCTGATTTTTTCAGCAGATTAATTTCTGGGTGAAGCTTGTCATGAGACAGTGGAAACTGGCTAGTGGCATGGTGGAAATTTTGGAATGTGAGAGCAAGCGGCTGCCAAGGCTCTGTTTGGACAGGCATTGAGATGACCTGGCCCTTGCTGGGGTGCTCTGGAAGACTCAGCCATTTGCGGGTGTCCAGGGAAATTCTTTTTCAGCTTGTTAATCTCTTTTGAGATTTATTTATGAGTCTCTGGAGCAAGGCCCATAGGCAAGATCACAGAGTGGTGGCGCCAAGATCTAAAACCAATCTTTGGAGTGATAGCACAGCGTAGGGCGTTTGCCTTGCACACAGCCAACATGGCCGGCCCGAGTTCCATTCCTCCGCCCCTCTCGGAGAGCCCGACAAGCTACCGAGAGTATCACGCCCACACGGCAGAGCCTGGCAAGCTCCCCGTGACGTATTCGATATGCCAGACACAGTAACAACAAAGTCTCCAATGGAGACGTTACTGGGCCCGCTCGAGCAAATCAAGCAAGATTAGGGTTCAGTCGTTGTATAAAATGTGAATTACATTGAAGATAATGAGATCTGCTTTTAATAGATTGTGTCCAAAACTGTTTCTCTAGCTGAGCTGATTTCTGAGATCTTGGATTTTCATCCACTTTAGTTGCATTACTGGTTCTCAGAGATCAACTATGAGGTCCTGCTTTCCCCTTCCCCTGCCAAACCCCCAATATACTGTTTTTGAACAGGAAGTAGATTTCATTTTCATGTGCTGATTTCCCATACTTCCGATCTGGTTTTTTTTCCCCTTGAAGGTGAGTACATTTTCTTTACCCAGAAATCTTCATGACTTTGGAGCTGGAATGATAGCACAGTGGGCAGTGCATTTGCCTTGCACGTGGCTGACCCGAGTTCGATTCCCAGCACATATGTTCCCCTGAGCACCGCCAGGAGTAATTCCTGAGTCTAAAGCCAGGATAACCCCTGTGCATCTCCAGGTGTGAAGCAAAAAGAAAAAAAACAACCTTCACGACTTTACTGAGACTCTATGAGGAGCCAGGAGGACAAAGAGGTGAAGAAAGACTCCTTATTGGGATGGGAGGATAAGAACCTGCCTTTGAATTTGGTCTCTGACATGAGCTGCTGGACCTGAGGCCTGAGCTGCACCCAGTTCCTCCCATAGATCTGGTGCCCTGGGCAGATAAATACACACACACACACACACACACACAAACACACGTTCCTGCCCCCCCACCCCCCCACACACACACAGGTCTGAGGTTAGCTCCTTCTGTTGGAAAGGTCAAGTCAGTCCACACATTCATAGTCGAGTTTGATGTTTCTGTCTGCTTTTAGTGTCTCTACCAGCACTTTACTGATTTCTTGGTATTTTGCTTTTTTTTTTTTTAAGTCCACACTTGGCAATGCTCAGGAGCAGAGCCTGGCTTGGGCTCAGGGGCACTGCTTGGCAGTACTAGGGGAATAAGGGCAGTGCCTCCACTGAGCCTCCTGCATGTAAATTATGTATTGGCCTTTTAGAGCTATTTCTCCTGCCCCTCTCTATCAGCACTTAGAACACTGCATAGAGTTATTAATTATAGGACATCATTCATGTTCAAGTTATCTTTAAGTGCCTCATACTTGAGACGGGCCGAAATGGCAGGAATTTATTTTGAGTCATGTTTTCTGTTAAAAGGTGTTTCTGGGTTGTATGGGGGAGGTGATTTGCTTTAACTGAACAGGAAAGGCTGGTGCTGACTCACTGAGGACTCCCTATCTGATGTCATTGATTGTTGACACAGCACAGAAGAGAGTGGTGGCCTAGGACTCTGGTGGCTCTCAGCTGATAACGCTTCCTGCTGGGGCATTCCTGGGTCCTGAGCTGTCCTGGTTGGCTCTGAGGGATGGGAAGAAGGAAAACGAAACCCAGCAATGGACAGAGATGAATGGGAAGCTGTGGTGAATGTATTTTGCAATGCCCATGAGTGAATGCCATACTTAAAGGCAGAGTATTGAGAAGTTTGTCATGTCTTTTAAACATGCTCCTTTAATGCTTTTTGTAAAACTGTATTCAAAGCTATGAATTCACACAGGGACAGCTTTTTTCCATTAGGTGGACTCTGACCCCACATGCATGGTACTTGCACTTCTGAGTTTGATTTAGAGTGAACTTCCTTATTGAGAACTCAGAACTCAGAAGAGGCAGCGACTGAGGAGACCTACAGACTAAAAGTAAGTGTTCAGTATTGGGGAACTTAGTGAAAATTCAAGTGAAATTTGCCTTGGAGAGGTCAAGACTTGTGTGTGTGTGTGTGTGTGTGTGTGTGTGTGTGTGTGTGTGTGTTGACAAAAGCTCACTGTAGATTTCTTCTACCTCAGTCTTCTCACAAACTCTGGACAGTGCAAAACGGAGGAACAGATACATAATGATCTCCCTCATATGTGGGATATAAGAAAACTGTAGCATGTAGGACTGTCTTCCCATTGTTCATTGATTTGCTTGAGCAGACACCAGTAAGGTCTCCACTGTGAGGCTTGTTACTGTTTTTGGTGTATCGAATATGCCATGGAGAGCTTGCCAGACTCTGCAATGTGGGCGAGATAGTCTTGTTATCTTGCCAATCTCTCTGAGAGGGAGGGAGGAATCAAACTCAGGTGGGCTGTGAGCAAGGCAAATGCCCTATCCGCTGTGCTATTTCTCCAGCCCATAAAGAAACAGACTAAAGAAATAACAAATTCTCTAAGGCGGCAGAGCCTCAAACCTGGTTTATAGAACTGAGCTTCCCATGGATTTGGAAGAGAGTGTGAGATGAGGGGCCGGACACTGGGATGTTGGGGAATGGTTGTGGACGCTGATAGAGGCAGTTGGTGCTGGAACATTGTGTGCCTGAAACCAACGACCCATGAACAGTACTGGGAATTAAGGTGCTTAAAAAGAAAAGGAGAATAATATCAGGTTTCTGGAGCAACTTTCGTCGTGGAAGAAAAGGAAGATCAGAGAACTCTCATGCACTTTTTATTTCCCCTAAACTTGACTCTTAGGTCCTCCTCCACAAGTCTACAGAGGCCCAGTTTCTAACTGCTTTCTGCCTCCCAAAAATCTTTTGGCATATCTTGGACTGCTCTCAATCTCAGAATAGTAAATCTAATAAGCTGTGGAACTTGAATTTATGTTTTGATACTCACAAACACATGACACCTGGATGCTGCCTATTGCACTATCCCCCGTAAATTTTACAGACTGCCCTAATGACAGTTATTACCAGTTATAAAGAACATATCTTAAAATAAATATTTTATTGTTTGTTGCACTGAAAACTTGTTTTCCATCCTCTTTGTTATCTCTGTTTTGCTGTGAGTTTTCTGAAGACTGGTTCTTGCATCTCCCTCTTACAAGTCTTTGTTCAGGAAAACTTTCTAAAATCAGGTATACTTAGAATGTTCTATATATCAAATGTCATATATCTCCAGTCATGTGAATAAGAAGCTAAATTTAAGCATGATTTTTTAATTTAATTAATATAAATATAAGTGACGACAGTTGAAAGTATAAACATATTCCGTAACAGAGCTACATTATTTTACTTATTTTTATTGTCATTTAGATAACGTGGTTTTAATCATGCTAACTTTCAGGATTTTCATGTGTTGTCATCACTTCCTGGCACTACTAAAGTGACCAATTTCCTCCACCAGTGTCCTTATGTTACATCTATTCCACTTCATTTCTTCCCAGACCCCTTCCACCTTTGGTACTTATCTAACTTAGCTTGTTTATATATCCAAGATACATAAATTACTCACAAAGCTCTATGACAACAAAAACAATGACCATGTGTACCACTGGCACATTTCAGTTCCATCCAAGTTGTTGCAATGTGTAAGATTTCATCTTTTCTTATATTTACATAATATTCCATTGTGAATCTATGCCACAACTTCTTTTATCCATCAATATGTCATTGGATGTTTGCGTTATTTCCATTTTCTTGCTATTCTACTAAGCACTGCAGTAAATACAGATAAACATCTATTTTTTCAAATTGATGATCTTTTGAGGGAGTGATGAAAAGAAGTAGAAAACTGGGTCAGATAGCAGCTCTATAATTAAGTTTTTGAGTAAGATCCACACTATTTCCTGAATCTGACAAAGTCCCATCATCTCTGAAAGAGTGTTCTGTTTTCACCACATATTGGCCAAAACTGGCCCTGACCTCTCCTCTGATATAATATGACAATCTCACTAGTGTGAGATGATAATCTTATTGTGATTTTTGATATGCATTTTCCTGACAATAAGTAACGGTGAGTACTTTTGAAAATTCCTACTGGCACCCATGTAGCTTCTTCAAGAAAGTGTCTATTCATTTGCTCTCCAGATGTTTTGGTGGGGTCGTTGTTGTTGTAGAGCTTTGAGAGTGTTTTATGTATCTTGGACATTGGCTATTTATTCCAATATGTAAATGTTTTCTCACTTTCAGTTGGTTATCTCTTATTTTAGAACAAATTTCTTTGGCCATTTAAATATTTGTAATTTGATGTAGTCTCTTTTTTGGTTGTTGTTATTGTTATATGTTTGTCTATGGAGTAAAATCATTGAAAACTTTGAGACGCATATCTTGGAGAGTTATGCTTGTGTTTTCCTTAGTACAAATGATGTCTTTTGGTCTAATCTTGATATCTTTTATCCATTTCAATTAACAGCAACACAGCTTTATTTTGTGCATATTCTCAATTTCTTCAGAGGCTTGGATAAAGACTTCCATCACCACAGAACATTCTGTCTGCTTGATTTCTGTCTCCAGATTCAATATTGAAAATTTCTGGTGAAAGTCATGGCTTCAGGTGCACTTTTCAAGACAATGAAGGAGGATGCTACCTGCTCCATCTGCCTAGAAATAATGACTAAGCCCGTGAGCATTGACTGTGGGCATAGCTATTGTCAATCTTGCATAATGAAAAACGTGACGAGCCAACAACTCTATAATAAGAAGACATTCTACTGTCCTGTGTGTAGGTCAAAGTTTCAAAAGGAGAGCATCCGGCCCGTCAAAGAGCTGGAAAACATCATCAGTTCAATTAAGAAGGTGGAGCAGGAAACTTTATGTGAGGAACATCGAGAGCTGCTCCAGTTATTCTGTGTAGACGATCAACAGATCATCTGCTGGCGCTGTGAGCGAACACCACAGCACAAAGAACACACCATAGTTCTGGTTGAAGATGTATGCCAAAGTTACAAGGTGAGTTTGTGGTCCAGAGTGCTTTAGCTAGTGCCAATTTTGTCCCGGGGATAATTTAGATTGGAACCTAAGATGGTAATTCTGAAAAATAATTTTAATTATGTTAATTTTCTAATAAATAGTTTGTAATGAGTTCCAAATGATTCAGGAGCCAACTCAACATCCTAAGAGAGTTGTCACTATCTTCTTTCTTATCTCTCTTGCTCTAATAATATTTTTCTACTTTGCGATTAGTCATAAATGTTCCAACTTCATCCTGTGAATGTGCTCTAAAAAACCACTTCACTGTTTGATAGAATCTAAAAACACTGAATTAAAGGTTTATGCTTAGAAGGATAATGAACTAACAAGAACGTGGCAGGAGCTCTCTTTTTGGAGAGGGTCAGCAAAAAGAGGGAGTGACACTTGGGCAAGATGAACAGAAGCGATTCTTGAAGAAAAGATAAATGAATCATGTGAAAATTCAGAGAAAAGAGGCAGTGTCCTAGACAGAGAAACCCCACAGGCAAGGGCTAGGATAAAGGAGATTACTGATTCACACACATCCAGTCCAGGTTTAGGGAGGCAATGGCAGTTGATGTTATGGGATGTAAGTAACCCCCCAAATCCTGATGTCAAGTTAGAGCTCAAATATTAGCCCGGAATAAGACAGTCTACTAAAGAGTTTTAAATTATGGAGCATTTATTTATGTTAGCACTGGAAAAACTTAATATCAAGGTGTGAATATATTGTTTAAAGAAAGAGAGGAGAGAGATCTGATGTTGAGGTCTTGAATCATTTTGAATTGTCTTTGGTGCAGTGTGAGAGGAGTCTGAGTTCACTTTTTATATGTGACTGATGAGTTTTCCCAGAATCACTTATAGAGATTTTCCAGGTTTCACTTAATACTTTTAGCTCCTTTATCAAAAGTGAGATGTCCATGTACCAGAGGATCTATTTCTGGGCTTGCAATTCATATTCATTTGGTTCGATAATCTACCTGTATTCCAGTACCATACTGTATAGATTTAAAGAATAATTTAAAATTGGGGAAGGTGAAGTTTCCCATTCCGCTCTCCCCATGTTAAATTTGAGCAACATTTGGTTCTGTCTCTAAAACATGTCCTGAGTAATTTTATAGGGAGTTAATTTAATCTATGTAGTGCTTTAAGTAGGACTGCTGTTGTGACAATGTTAATTCTTGACATTTACAAATAGGAAATATGTTCCCATGTCCTTGTGTCTTTTAAAATTTCTTTTAGTAGTGGTTTATAGTTTTCTTTGTATAAATCTTTAACATATTTTCTTAGGCTGATTTCCAGTGTGTGCTTAATATTTTGGAACACAATTGTGAATGGGGATTAAAAATATTCCCTGTTTACTTCATTGTTTGCATATAGCAATGCCACGCATTTCTGAATGTTGATTTTGTAGCCCACCACTTTACTTTAGAAGTTTATTGTTTCAGGTATTTTGGTAGCATTTTTAGGCTTTCTAAGTATAGTATCAAGTTATCTACAAATTGTGATAATTCAGCTTCTTTTTTAAACGGGACCCCTTAATATCTTACTTATCTAATTGCTGTGGCAAGGACTTCCAATACCATGTTGAATAATGATGATGAGAGTAGGCAGTCTTATCTTGTGTCTAATTGTAGAGAGAACTTTCTCAAATTTTCACCATTTAGTACAAAGTTGGCGGATTTGTGGTATGTGACGTTAGCTGTATCGAGTTAAAATTCATTCTTAATTAAGAGATTTTTATATCACATCTAAATCCATAATGATATTAAGGAAACATAGGCAGAACCTTTGATGACAGTCTATCTAGTAGCATCTTCAATAACTCAAAATCATTGGCTAAGAAAATGGGGGAAAAAAGAAATAGAGGAGTACATAAAATTTATAAATTTTGCAATGTGAAAGGAATGATGGCTAAAATAAAAAGGCATTCCACACACTGGGAGAAAATATTTGCCCAACAGTCATCTTCCAAAGTTTTACTATCTAAGATGTATAGAGTTAACAAGAAAAGAACATACAAACGCACCAGAAAATGAGGCAGGTGAGAAAGAGAGTTCAGAGAGAAAGGCAGTCACTTTGAATGTGACTGGCCTAGGTTTGATCCCTTGCCCAGTAAATTGGGATAATAACTCTCACCTATTTCTCCAATACAGATACCCAGGAAATCATCTTTATCTTTAAGGACATTAATATGCACAAGAGTGGAATACCACTTGGTCCATGACTGAAAGAACAACTCAGTGTTTTGTAAAAGTTTCACAGAAACTTGTCTTGCGAGTACAGAAAAATGAATGGCTATGCTTAGTACTCATACTGGATTTTATATAATTTATTTTGTCTACAGAACAAGGAGATTAGTACTGATCACATAAAAAGTTGGTTCACCTTAAAAGACTCTATGAAACAGTGAGAAACTGTTTTTAAAAATAAATTGAAAGCTTAATGTTTTTACTAAAGATTTTAGTTAAACTTTTACTAACGATTGTGCAACAGCATCTTCAAGCAGTATTTAAGTTGCCCTATTTTCCTTTTTTTTTTCTTTTTCTTTTTTTCCCCTGTGCTCTGTGATTGGGGGCTATTCTCTACCATACTAGGACCAGAGCGACTCACTGATCAGTTTTAGGACTTGGTGATATGTACTGCTTGAGTCCAGCAGTGTTGGGGGACACCAAGACTATAGCAAGGGTACTCAGAGGAGAATATGGGTCTGAAGATTGAATTTTGGATCTTTGCATGCAAAGTAATTGCTCTAGCCCTTTGAACTAACAGCTTTCTATGGACTGTTTCTAATAACTTAGCGGTACTAGCTATACTTCTTGACTCATACTAATATGAACAAAGTGCCACGTATGTCAACAATTTGGTATTTGTCATTTAAGATTTAACATATAAAATTATTTAGAAAAATATGATCTAGCTCCTTGAGCAATATTTCCCTAGAAAGAATGTAGGACTTAGAATAACTTTGACCATAGGTATGAACATTTATTTGATACACAATCCCTATTTCAGAAAGTTTACTCCCACTGTTCATAGGGAAATTTACTGTTTACTAGTGAATTCCTAGAAAATATCACACTTCCCTAATTGTAATCAGGATGTTGCCAACCACAATTAACCCCCATTAAACTAGTGTCTCCCTGGGTGCAGTACCATTCACTTTGGGTAAGAGTGACTTAGGCCTTGAGTTAGCAGATGAGCCTAAATTTCTACAAGACAGAAATTATATTAAAAATATTTCCAAACTTCTCATAATTTTAAAGGATATAAAACCGCACAGCCAACACTTAATAAATTTCCTCTGAAAGTTAAGAACTTGATAAGTATTCAATATTAGTCTTACATTTGGAGGACTGGGATTCTCTTTATGGTTTATAAAGAAGGCTTAGAAAACTGAGTCGATTCTAACCAATTGACCAATTTTTATTCAGGATAAGTTCCAGGAAGCTGTGACCAAACTGAAGAAACTGGAAAACCAATGTAATCGTTGGATGTTGGACACAAATGAACAAAAAATAAAATTCAAGGTAAAGAATTTGTTGATGTGAGATTATTTCTCTCCTAGAGCTTGGGTGTACGATAGTATTGGAGAGCCAAAATTATGGTGTATTCTCATTAAATCAGACTGACTAGATGGCACCCAAATTTATACCCCTAGTTTTGTATATATATACAACTTGTGCTGGCTGGAGTGATAGCACAGCGGTAGGGCGTTCGCCTTACAAGCGGCCAACATGGCCGACCCGAGTTCGATTCCTCCGCCCCTCTCGGAGAGCCCGGCAAGCTACCGAGAGTATTTGATATGCCAAACACAGTAACAACGAAGTCTCCAATGGAGACGTTACTGGGCCCGCTCGAGCAAATCGAAGATCAACGGGAGGGCCTTTACCTTTACCTTATACAACTTGTATATATATGCCCCTAGTTGTATATATATACAAAAAAGATTTTTATGTTTATGCCCCTAGTTTTGTAAATATATAAGATTTTATCCCCAATATCTTTAAACTTTGGATGACAATTCTCTAGGGTTCCTAAACCTCTATTAAGAGAAGCAGAAATGATTTCCTTATTATTATAATACTTTGGGTACTTAAAAACATAAACATCGCAATGCATCATCCTGGTTTGAGGCCTCAGTCTCATTTCTTTTTCACACTGCCCACAGTTCAGGGTCTGACTCATGTTCAGAAACCTCTATCTTTGTAAATATTAACAAAACACAATCACTACAAATGGGATTCATATTAATCACTTAATCACTTAATCCCCGTTATTCATCGATTTATTCGAGCGGGTGCCAGTAACGTCTCCATTCATCCCGGTTGCGTGCTAGCGTAGCCCAATGGTATCTGTTCGTTTTAGGAACATGTAGAGGCTCAAACCGATCATTTAGGGTCTTGACGAAGAAGTCTGACCATCTTATAGGTGGCCGTCCACGTGATCTTTTGATGTCTCGTGGAATCCAATCAGTAATGGCTCTAGTCCAGCGGTTGTCTGTAAACCTCATTACGTGTCCAGCCCATCTGATTTTTGATGTCTTGGCAAATGAGACAGCGTCCCTGATTCTTGAGCGTTGACGAAGATCAGAACTCCGGATTCTATCTCTCATTTGAGTGAATCGTGATATTCCAAGCATAGTTCTTTCGATTCCTCTTTGAGAGACCCGAATAGCGTTCTCATCCTGTTTTCGTAGGGTCCAGGTCTCTGAGGCATATGTTAATGCAGGAAGAATAGTGGAATCAAAGAGATGTGCTCGTAGCTGGAGGTTCTTTGTCCTTTTAGTTATTTCTTCAATGCTCTTGAAGGCATTCCAAGCCGCTCTCTTCCTCCTGCGCAACTCAGGTGCCAGGTCATTCATCATGTTGATTTCTCGACCTAGGTATATATAACTGTTGCATTCGGAGATGGTGGTTCCGTTGAGAGCGAATGGAGCGTCAGGAACAAGGCTGTTTCTCATAAACATTGTCTTCGTAAGATTCAGCTGTAGTCCTACCTTTCCACACTCACGGTCAAAGTCCGCCAGCATTTGTGCCGCTTGGCTGATGTTTGGTGTTATTAGAACGATGTCATCAGCAAAGCGGAGGTGGTGTAGTTGCCGACCATCTATCTTCACTCCCATGTTTTCCCATTCTAGTCGTCGCATGATGTTCTCGAGGGTGGCACTGAAGAGTTTTGGTGAAATGGTATCACCCTGCCGAACCCCTCTCTTGATATGGATGATTACTTCTTTGTAGAATGGTGAGATCTTGGTAGTGAATCCGCAATAGAGCTCACGAAGGATCCTGATGTATTGAGTTTGTACGCCCTGATTGGCTAGGGCTTCCATGACCGCTTCCGTCTCAACAGAATCAAAGGCCTTCTTTAAATCAATGAACGTTAGACAGAGCGGCATCTTGAACTCCCGAGATACCTCAATGAGCTTGGTTATTGTGTGGATATGGTCAATGGTACTGAATCCTTTTCGGAATCCAGCTTGTTCACATGGTTGTCCTTCATCTAGTGTTCTGCTAATCCTATTCAGGATGACTATTCAGGGATTCATATTACTCAAACATTTTTTTTCTTTTTGGATCACACCCATCATTGCACAGGGGTTACTCCTGGCTCATGCACTCAGGAATTACTCCTGGCAGTGCTCAGGGGACCATATAGGATGTTGGGAATTGAACCCGGGTCGGCCACGTGCAAGGCAAACAAACGCCTTACCTGCTGTGGATCACTCCTCCAGATATCCGTGTATGGGTGTATGGATATTAAACTTGAACTCTTTTATGAACATTGTTTTTTAGTTTTTTTTTTTTTTGCTTTTTGGGTCACACCCAGCAATGCTCAGGGGTTACTCCTTGATCTGCACTCAGCAATTACTCCAGCAATTACAGTGCTTGGGGAACCATATGGGATACCAAGTTTGGAACACAGGTCAGCCGTGTGCAAGGCAAACACCCTACCCACTGTACTATCACCTTGGTCACACTTTTAGAGTACTTTAAGCACACTTTTTTGTGGGGAAGGTCACACCTGGCTATGCATAGGGGATACTCTTGGCTCTACACTCAGGAATTACCCCTGGTGGTGCTCGGGGGACCATATGGGATGCTGGGAATCGAAAGTGAGTTGGCCACGTGCAAGGCAAAAACATCCTACCTGCTGTGCTATAGCTCCAGCCCCTTTAAGGATACTTTCAAAGGACACTTTTAGGGATCTTAGGAAGTAGGAGGAAACAGTTCATAATTAAAATGCAGAGAACCCCCACAAATGTGAGAGATAAATGGCCTAGTCTCTCATAAAAGTTCCTTTTCATTCTAAATCATTGACACTCAATGACAGCATTTTGTCAGTTCATCAATAGATGAAATTGTGTGCCCCCCCATCTCACCCCGCCATAACTGTTGAGTACATTTTCTTTATTCTAGGAGAAGATAGAGCTTAATATAAACAAGATCCAGTCTGTCTTTAAGAAATTTTACGTGATCCTCCATGAAGAGGAGCAGGTTTGTCTGTGTCAACTGGAGGGAATGAAAGAGCAAACTCTGAGGAAACTGGAGGATCGAGAATCAAGTCTGGAAATGCAGAGCCAGAAACTCAAGAACCACATCCTGGAACTAGAAAATAAATGTCAGGGATTGGCCCAGAATTTGATGCAGGTGAGGCTGTGTGCTGGGGAAAAAGGAAGGAGGTGACTGATGCTGAGTTCTTTAGAGGAGAATGAAGAGAAAGACTGGGGGCCTTTCAGAGTATCTGCAGCATTTCACAAGGTCATGTAAGCGTGTGGAATTTGGAATTGCACTTCTTCTGGATTCACTGCATTTGTACAGTGTGTTGAATGTCTTTACATAAACCAAAAAGTTTACAATATGGTTGATTTCTTAAGGGAACATGCGGTATCTTTCAGTAGTAACTGCTTATTAGCCTTTGTTCTATGTGCACAAAAATCTCTAAAATTGTTTTCTGAAAGACTTTCCAGGGTTAGAGAGATAATGCTTGGTTCGTTGCTTGCCCTGCAAGAGTTGATCTGTGTTCAATCCCTGGCACCACATATGGTTTCCCAAGCCCTGCCAAGAATTATTCCTAAGTCCAGAGCCAGGAGTAGGACTAACTATAGCTGGGTGTGCTCCCACCCACTCGTGGGAGATAAAATGAGCAATTTAAATGAGCAAAATCTTTCATTCATGCTCATGAGTCTTTACATCAAAAAAATTTTATGTGGCTTTATTTCAACTAGAATACAGATATAACAGTCTAATCTAAGGGGATAAGAACCTGGTATTTGCACACACGCATAGGCGTGTGTGTGTGTGTGTGTGCATGAGTGCATGTGTGTGCGTGTATGTATAGTTATTTGATCCACTATAATTTACAGAATGTTCATGTTCCAACATATAAAAGAATAAATAAATGGTCTTAGCCCCAATACTGATACAGAATAAACGTAAAAAATTAAAGTCAAAGAATAAACACAGTCTTCCAACTCAACATTGTACACCAGAGTTTATCCTTCTCTCATCATTGTCACAGTTTCCCCCTCCTCAAACCTCCCTACCCCCATAATGGTAAAAATTCGTGGAACTCTTTATTCTAGTTCCCATAAGAGAACTAGAGGTGAGCACTGCTGGCTGAGAATGTAGCAGCCTTGTGACTCCCTCTGCTGTCACTTTCGAGAATTAATTTGGGACGTTACATTTTGCTAATGATGATCTTCTTGAGAAGAAATCTCTAATAGACACTCCCCTAAAGAAATCTGGCCAATGGCTGCAAATCTTGCATTCAGAGAGCATGGAAAAACTCTTGGCCCTTTTTCCTAAGCATCTCACAGGTTGATACGGTCACAGTTATGACAGCTCCTTACAGCTCTCAGCAGAAGACAGCACACTCAGACATTGTCAGTCACACCACCAGTGGAGAGCCTAGGGAAGAAGATTGGAATAATCTGACTTGGGAATTTATCAGTTGGGGCTAAGACATTTGTTTATTCTTTAAAGAAGCGATGAGAGAAGCATGCTGAAAGTGGACTATAGACAAAACATCATTGCCATTCAATGCCTCTTTTACAAACCACGACACCCAAAAGGAGAAGAAAACAAAAGAGAATGCCCTGCCACAGAGGCAGGGTGGGATGGGGAGGATGGGGGGTGGGAGGGATACTGGGACCCATGGTGGTGGAAAATGGGCACTGGTGGAGGGATGGGTACTTGATCATTGTATAACTGAAACCCAAGCACAATAATTTGTAAGTCTACAACTGTACCTCATGGTGTTTCACTAATAAAATTTTTTTAAAAAAATTAAATTTTTTAAAAAAGAAGCGATTTTAGACAAAAGACATACATGACAAGTCACATAAAATTTTCATGTGGTCTTGTTCCTTTTATCTTTTCTTTTCTATAGGATGCAGCCAAGATCTTGCAAGGGTAAGTGCTCTATAAATCAAGAAGGGAAAGACTATGATGTGTTTGAACTTCGATGGAATGTCCCACTGATGAAGTCTTGGTCTCTGCTTATTCAAGGATTTCATCTGTGACATTGGAATCACCGGAGACTGTCTCTTTGGAGCTTCCTGACCTGTGTAAAGTTTCTAATATTTACGTTAATATGAAGACAATTTTAGAGACCTGTCATGGTATGTGACAACAATAATTGTATAAATGATACAGGTGGAAAGGATCTTAGGCAAAAAAAATAAAACATTATTTCCCTTCCCTAGGAAGGTTCAAGGAATGTTCAATTAGTTCAGCACAAGTGCCTCTGTGTCCCTAACCCTCCTCTCTGCCTCTCTCCCTCTCCCTCCCTCTCTCTATCTCTCTCACTCTTTCCCTCTCTCTCACTTTCTTTTTCCTCTCTCTCCTTTTCCCTCTCTCACTATCTCTTTCCTCTCTCTCTCTCTCCTTCCATCCCTTCCTCTCCCCAACCACATTAGTAACTTCTGTGTCTACAGTGACTAGAGTATTGGTAATTAGAGCCTCTTCTTACTCTTCTTCTCCACTGGTGGTGTGACTGGCAATGTCTGAGTGTGCTGTCTTCTGCTGAGAGCTGTGAGGAGCTGTCATAACTGCGACCTTATCAACCTGTGAGCTGCTTAGGAAAAAGGACCAAGAGTTTTTCCATGCTCTCTGAATGCAAGATTTGCAGCCATTGGCCAGATTTCTTTAGGGGAGTGTCTATTAGAGATTTCTTCTCAAGAAGATCATCATTAGAAGATCATGTCTACAGTGACTAGAGTATTGGTAATTTCCAAATTCTTGCTGTCTTGTTTATTAGCAACATATTCCAGCCAAAAAAATCTCTCATCTTCCTCCTATAAGAAACAAAAATATAGATAAATCTCTCTCAGTGGACTATCACAAGTGACATGAATTACCTAAGTAATGTTCTTGAACATAATGTTTATTGTTCACATTTCATTCAACTCTCAAAAGAATGCAAAAATTATAGGTAAGGATTAGTCATTGACTGTAATTTCAAATTTTGGGGCTTGAGCAGATAAAAAATGAAAATAAAAATCTGAATCATCATGAAAATCAAGTTATACCAATTTCACAACTTTTGCTTTTTTGGTCTGATTCTCATTATCGTTGGTATATCTGCATATTCATTCATCCATATCACTGTATCATGGTATCACTGTCATCCCGTTGATCATTGAATTACTCAAGCAGGAGCTAGTAACGTCTCTATTCCTCTCAGCACTGAGATTACCAGCCTCTTCTTACTCTTCTTCTCCCAATGATTGGAGGCTTTTTCAGGGTCAGGAGAATGAGACCTGTTGTCATTACTGTATTTGGCATATTGAATACACCACGAAGAGCTTGCCAGGCTCTGCCTGTGTGGGAGGGATACTCTCGGTAGCTTGCCAGGCTCTTCGTGGGGCACATATTCATATATTTTTCTCTTAGATTTGTTGCCTACTGTCTGAACCCCATCAGATATGGTGTGGTAACTTGTGGAGAATGGGTAGGAGGTCTCTTATAATGTTTCCAGAAAGCAGCCTGATGTGTGGCGGTGGTTGTGTAGTGGAGGTTGGCTGCCAGGGCTGGGTCCCTTGGGTTGGGGAGGGCTCTCACCTGCCCCACAGCCTGGTTAAGAATCCGGTGGCATGGTTCTGGGAGCCTCATTCTACACTCCCGTCTGGGAGGAGTATCCTGAGTTTTGAAGGGTGGCTGATAAGGACATTATCTGGTGTGGGCAGGGGATGGCTATGGGTGTGATCACTGAGTCACCCGAGACTGGGGGAAGCAGACAGAGACTCTCTTTTCCTGGGTTCCGTTGAGTCCAGAGTCCAAGGTCACGAAGTTCCAGATTATTTGGGTTCTGTGGGACTTCGTTCATGTGTGAGGCTCGGTCTTTTTTATCCATAGTATTCAGAAAATAATTTTTCAGTAATTCAGAAAATAATTATGCAGTAATTGAGAAAAATCTATAAGCTTAAAGGATTTTAAAAAATAATTTGTAAAGCTGGAGCAATAGCCCAATGGGTAGGGCATTTGCCTTGCACGTGGCTGATTTGGCTGACCTGGCCCACTTAGGTTTGATTCCTCCGCCCCTTTCAGAGAGCCCAGCAATCTACCGAGAGTATCTCTCCTGCATCTCGCCCACATGGCAAAATCCTGGCAAGCTACCCATGACTACCCATGATGTATTTGATATGCCAAGCACAGTAACAAGTCTCACAATGGAAATGTTACTGGGCCCACTCAAACAAATCGATTAACAACGAGAGGACAATGCTACAGGACAGTGATGCAATTTGTAAGGCTATAAAGTCATATCTAACTTGAAATAATTATTCTTAATCACTTAATCACTTAACTTCCCGTTAGTCGTCGATTTGCTCGAGCAGGCGCCAGTAACGTCTCCATTTGTCCCTGTCGCGTGCTAGTGTAGCCCAATGGCATCTGTTCGCTCCGGGAACATGAAGGGCCTCAAACCGATCGTTCATGATCTTGACGAAGAAGTCTGACCATCTGGTAGGTGGGCGGCCACGCGGTCTTTTGACATCCTGTGGAATCCAGTCGGTAACAGCTCTAGTCCAGCAGTCGTCTTTAAATCTCATTACGTGACCAGCCCATCTGATTTTATACACCTTGGCAAATGAGACAGCGTCCCTGATTCTTGATCGTCCACGGATGTCAGAACTCCGGATTCTTTCTCTCATTTGAGTGAAACGTGATATTCCAAGCATAGCTCTTTCTATTCTTCTTTGGGAGACCCGAATAGCGTTCTCATCCTGTTTGCGTAGGGCCCAGGTCTCTGAGGCATATGTTAATGCAGTTAGATTTAATTAAAGAGTAGTGGTGTAAAGTAACACCAAGTATCTCACAGGTTTTCTGGATCACAAATTTATTCAAGGGTTCAGATGAGTTTTCTAGTAAGAATCCTGCAGAGTTGTAATAAAAATATTTATTGAACTATGTTTTCACTTGAAGATAACATTGAGAATAACCGTTTTGTACATGTATCTGTCCAGTTTTTGCGGTGTCATTTACTAAAGATTATTTCCTTACTTTACTTCATGAATCTTGATCCTTTGTCTAAATTTACTGTTCAAATAAATATCTGACAGCTTATCTCTGGACACTTATTTCCATTATATTGGTCTGAGAATCTGCCTTTATTTCAGTGGCACACAATTTTTATTACTATGCATTTATAGTACATTTTAAAACCAGGAAATGCAATAATTCCCATTTTCAAAGAATATCTTTGAAATATTCATTTTTAAAGAATATCTTTGGCTATTCAGGAAGCTTATGATTCCATGTAAATTTTAGTAGAATTTATTTTTCCTTGAAAATTTTTGATGGGGATTTTATTGCGTCTGAGTATGTATAATACTTTGAGTAGGATGGTCATTTTAACAATGCCAACTCTTTCAATATGTGAGCATGGAAAAATTTTCTACTTTCTGATTCTTCTCATTTCTTTCAATATTTATGTATATTTTATGATGTACAAGTCTTTCAAATACACTTCATTAAATTGATTCCTAGGTACTTGATGTATTTAGAGAGTACTTTATAAATGTAGATTACTTTAACCATTTTCTTTCTTTTTCTTCTAGTTCATTGTTTACATATATAAAAACCAAATGTTTTTAATATATTGATTTTTTTCTCTGCTACTTCGTTGTACCAGTTTAATGTTTCAAGAAAAGTTTTTAGCAGCGTTTGTAGGGTCATCTATGTATGTTATCGTTTCATCATAAAATAGTAATTAATCATGTATCTTATTATCTTAAATAAAAAAACAAACAAACGAACACTGAACAACGGGAGGACAGTGTTTTTTTGTTTGTTTTGTTTTATCTTAAACAAAATTTATTTATCTTCTTTTCCAAGTTGACAGGTTTTAGTTTCTTTTCTCTCCTGATTGTTGTGTTGAGGACTTTGAAAATTATACTGAATAATAGTGGTGAAAGTGGACTTCCTTGCCTTGTACCTAATATCAGAGGGAAAGCTTTTGTTTTTTTGCCATAGAGGTACTGAGTGTGAGCTTATTGTATGTGGATGTTACTGTCTTGTGTTACATTACTTCTCTTCCAATTTTGTTGAGGTTTTTATTTACTTTTTTATCATGAGTAGAAATTAAATTTTGTCAAAAGTGTTCTCTACATCTCCTGATATAATAATATAATTTTTATATTTAGTTTTTGATAATGTAACATTGGGTTTGAGTGATAGCACAGCAGTAGGGCATTTGCCTTGGCCGCAGCCAGCCTGACCGAGCCAGGTTCGATTCCTCCGGCCCTCTCGGAGAGCCTGGCAAGCTACCAAGAGTATCCAAGCTACCGAGAGTATCCAATATGCCAAACACAGTAACAAGAAGTCTCACAATGGAGATGCTACTGGGCCCGCTAGAACAAATCGATGAACAACGAACAACGGGAGGACAGTGTTTTTTGGTTTAATGTAACATTATGCTAACTAATTTGCATATATCAAAACATTCTTACAACCCTAGAATGAACCCCACTTGAACATTGTGTATGTTCCCCTTGATATATTGTTGGATTCAGTTCACCAAAATTTTGTTGAGGATCTTTGCATCAGTGTTCATTGAGGATCAATCAGCCTGCAGGTTTCCCTTTTAATAAAATCTGTCTGCTTTTTTAAGTATTAGGGTAATGCTGACTTTATAGAAGCTTTAGGAATAATTTATGTTTTTTCAATATTTCAAAGAGCTTTAGGTGTATAGGTAATAAGCTTTCTTTGAGTGTTTAGTAAAGCTTAATAATAATCTTTCTGAGTCTGGGCTTTAAAGAGATTATAAATTATGGTTTTAATTTTTTTATTAATGATTTTTTAAGTTCAGGCTTTCTGCTTCCTCTGATTTAGTCTTGGGAGAATGGATGCTTTTCTTCTATGCTACCGAGAGTATCTCGCCCGCACGACAGAGCCTGGCAAGCTACCCGTGACGTACTCGATATGCCAAACACAGTAACAACAAGTCTCATGATGGAGACGTTACTGGGCCCGCTCGAGCAAATTGATGAACAACGGGAGGACCGTGACCGTGACCGTGATTCAAATTATTGGCATAAAGCTGTTTGTAGGAATCTTTTATGATTTTTTGCTATTTCTGGTGATATACCTTTTAAATTCTACTCTGTCATCTCTGAAACTTTTTTTTCTCATTTTACCCCATGAATCGAATAAAAAAGGTAAAGGCCCTCCCGTTGATCGGCGATTTGCTCGAGCAGGCCCAGTAACATCTCCATTGGAGACTTTGTTGTTACTGTGTCTGGCATATCGAATACTCTCGGTAGCTTGCCGGGCTCTCCGAGAGGGGCGGAGGAATCGAACTCGGGTCGGCCATGTTGGCCGCTTGTAAGGCGAACGCCCTACCCGCTGTGCTATCGCTCCAGCGAATCGAATAAAAGGTTTGTCTATTTTATTTACTTTTGTGGAAAAAAAAAGCTTCTGATTTCATTTAGCATTTGTATTGTTTTCTTGATTTCTATTTCTTTCATTTCTGCTCTAAGTTTCATTTCCTGACTTTTAATTGCTGTGGGATACATTCGTTAAATGGGTCTCCAGCTTCATGCCCCTTTTGAAGCCTGTGCAACATTTATCTTTTTGTGTCTCCCCAAAATTTCAGCTGCGCCCAACAACTCCATCCTTAGTTTATAGTTTTCTAGCATTCATTTTTCTAGAAAAACATTTAAGGGTAATACATCTTTCTAAAAATTCTACCTTGACTTATTTTATTACTTTTTCATGTTATGTTTTTATTGTTCATGCCTGTGTACCTTCATATTTATTACTTGTCCATTTCCTAATATTTAGAACACAGTTGATCTTTTTAGTCTAACTTAATTATATTGATGCCAATGAATATTATCTGTATAACATGCATTTATTAAAATTTGTTAACTTTTATTTTCATTAGACCTTAATTTGTAGATAGTTTATCTACACATGAGGAAAGAACATTGTTTTTGCGTATCCAAAATTATTGTTTTATTCTGATCCTCAATGTTCATATAATTTGAAAAAACTGGGAAGGTTTGTTTCTCCAACGATATTCTATGATTTGTAAAACTCTACATGGACTCCTACATAGAAGAGGAGCTTGGAAAAGAGAATTATATAAGCATTCAGCTTTTTAGCTCAATTCCTTAACTTATATAAGGAAAGTATGCTAAAGAACAGAGTCATGGTATTAGTAAATGTACTAGTAGTGATGCTAACATTATTATTATTGCTACTTTTGCCAGATACTTGACTATACCATATAACAGCAATCTCATATGTTATCTCATTCTTAACACTATTCTTTATGAACTATAGGATTTAAACTTTATTTTTAACAAACTAAGTCTAAGCATGATCCATACAGAGTAAAAAAAAAAAACAACTTGCTTTTGAACATAAATTGGTTTTGTTTAGTAGATACTGTCATTTCAATATGAAAGAAACATATTTTTCTTTTCTTATTTATTTTGCAGTTAGCGTGACTCTGGATCCAGATACAGCTCATCGTGAACTAATTCTGACTGAGAATCAGAAACAAGTGACTCGTGGATGCCCTGAGAGGAAGACTAAAATTCCTAGTAGATTTACTGTCTCACCCTGTGTCCTGGGTTGTGAGACCTTCACCTCTGGAAGACATTTTTTTGAAGTGAGTGTTAAGAACAGCATTGATTGGGATGTAGGAGTTTGTCTGGAAAGTGTACCAATGGCTGATAGAGATGATATAGAACGGGACCCTGAATATGGATTCTGGGCTATTAGCCGTAGTAGAAAGATGGGAGGGTATGTAGTACTTACCCTTCCCGTAGAGTTCATTAATTCAGAGATGATAAGTTGGCATATTGGAGTTTTCCTGGACTGTGAGAATAGGCATGTGTCCTTTTACAATATGAACACTAGGTCTCGCATCTTAACCCTCCAGAACGCCAACTTCCCTGGGCCCCTCAAACCTTACTTCAGGGTTGGTAAAGGTTCAATTCTGTGCGGACCTCCCCTTGAAAAATGAGAAAAGAGCAAAGTTGTTGCTTCTGTTTTGCTCTGTTTTTATTGGGTGACCACACCCAGCAATGCTTAGATCTTACTTCTGGCTCTAGGCTCGTACTCGTGCTCTGAGGATTTCTTCTTGAGAAACAAGAACAGCAACCCACCCCCCCGCAAAAAAAAAAAAACCTATTTTTTTAGTATAAAAGTGCTGAAAAATATCCACCCAATTGACATTGGAGACACTTGTCCAAGCCATTGTGGTAAATAGGCCCAAGTATCAGGTAACCAGGCATCCTTCTGTCTTGTGTTATGACTATAAAATTCTTATCACAGGATGTCATTCAGTCACCTAAAATGATATGTATTTCAGGCCTGTAAGTTTAAATACAACTTTTGTTCAGCCAGGATAATGTGAATTATCAGGAGATTGCTGAAAGGCAGATGCTTGTAATTTTCACCTCTGTTAAAGATATCTTACTTACCAAAGTTATGTAAAAATTATATAAAACTGGTCTATGTTGGAAGAGGAATAAACCATAAAATGCAATCTGTCTGACTTCTTTCTCCAGTCAGCCTAAAATTTTCGGAAACCAAAGTTCTTTCTTTTTCTTATCAAAATGAAGAAATAGTTTAAAGGCCCTCCCGTTGATAGTCGATTTGCTCGAGCGGGCCCAGTAACGTCTCCATTGGAGACTTTGTTGTTACTGTGTCTGGCATATCAAATACTCTCGGTAGCTTGCCGGGCTCTCCGAGAGGGGCGGAGGAATCGAACTCGGGTCGGCCATGTTGGCCGCTTGTAAGGCGAACGCCCTACCCGCTGTGCTATCCTCCAGAATAGCACAGTGGTAGGGCGTTTGCCTTGCACGCAGCCAACATGGCCAACGCGAGTTCGAAGAAATAGTAAATGTTAGTTAATAATTTCCAGGAGTTCTTAGACACCCAGCTATATGAACCCAAGAAAAGGAGGGCAAAAATGTGTCTATGATACTATGAAACGCTACTTCAGGAACTAAAAGAGGACACGAGGAAATGGAAAGATATCCCCTGCTCATGGATCGGGAGAATTAGCATTGTCAAAATGGCAATACACCCCAAAACATTGTACAGATTCAATGCAATTCCTATAAGGATACCCATGACATTCTTCAAAGAAATGGAGCAATCAGCCCTTAAATTCATATGGAAAAATAAGCCCCTACGAATAGCTAAAGCAATCCTTGGGAAAAAGAAAATGGGAGGAATCAACCTCCCCAACCTCAAACTCTACTACAAAGCAGTAATAATTAAAACAGTATGGTACTGGAACAAAGGCGGAACTTCAGACCAATGGAACATACTGACATACAGTCGAATATACTGACACCACCCCCGCAAATATATGATCAGCTAATCTTTGATAAGGGAGCAAGATATGTGAAGTGGAGCAAGGAAAGCCTCTTTAACAAATTGTGCTGGCAAAACTGGACAACTACATGCAAATCAGATCTCTACCTTACACCATGTACAAAAGGGCTCAGATCTCTACCTTACACCATGTACAAAAGTGAGATAAAAATGGATTAAAGACCTAAACATCAAAAAAACGACCTCAACATCAGATCGGAATTCATGAGGTATATTGAAGACAAGGTTAGCAAAACCCTCCAGGACATTGAAGCTAATGGTATCTTCAAAGATGACACACCACTGGCCAAGCAAGTGAAAACAGAGATAGACAAATGAGACTATTTAAAACTAAAAAGTTTCTGCAACTTAAAAGAAACAGTGATCAAAATACAGTCACAGAATGGGAAATGATATTCACCCAATACCTATCTGACAAGGGGTTGATATCAAGGATATACAAAGTACTGGTTGAATTCTAGTCCAGCGGTCATCTCCAAATCTCATTATGTGTCCAGCCCATCTGATTTTCGATGCCTTGGCAAACGAGACAGCGTCCCTGATTATTGATTGTTGGCCAGAACTCTAGATTCTTTCTCTCATTTGAGTGAAGCATGATACTCCAAGCATAGCTCTTTCAATTCCTCTTTGGGAGACCCGAATGGCATTATCATCTTGTTTTCTTAGGGCCAGGTCTATGACACATATGTTAATGCAGGAAAAACAGTGGAATCGAAGAGATTTGCCCAGAGCCGGAGGTTCTTCATCCTCTCAGCTATTTCTTCAACGCTTTTGAAGGCATTCCAAGCCACTCTCTTCCTCCTGCGCAGCCCAGGTGCCAGGTCATTCGTCATGTTGACTTCTCGGCCTAGGTACACATAACTGTTGCATTCGGAGATGTTCATTCTATTGAGAACAAATGGAATGTCAGGAACAAAACTGTTTCTCATAGACATTGTCTTCATGAGATTCAGCTGCAGTCCGAGCTTTGCACACTCATGGACAGTCAGCCAGCATTTGAATTTCACAAGAAGAAAACATCCAACCCCATCAAAAAATGGGGTGATGAAATGAACAGAAACTTTCCCAAAGAAGAAATCCAAATGGCAAAAAGGCACATGAGAAAATGCTCTACAACACTAATCATCAGGAAGATGCAGATCAAAACAATGAGATGTCATCTCACTGACCCATATCCAAAAGAACAAAAGCAACCGGTGTTGACGTGGATGTGATGAGAAAGGGACCCTCCTTCAATGCTGGTGGGAATGCCGACTGGTTCAGCCCTTTTGGAAAACAGTATAGATGATTCTCAAAAAACTAGAAATTGAGCTCCCATTTGACCCAGCGATAGCACTCCTGGGAATATATCCCAGAGAGGCAAAAAAGTACAGTCGAAATGAAATCTGCACTTGTATGTTCATTGCTGCCCTGTTCACAATAGCCAAAATCTGGAAAAAACCTGAGTGCCCGAGAACAGATGACTGGTTAAAGAAACTCTGGTACATCTACACAATGGAGTACTACATAGCTGTTAGAAAAGATGAAGTTATGAAACTTACATACAAATGGTTCTACATGGAAAGTATCATGCTAAGTGAAATGAATCAGAAAGAGAGGGACAGACATAGAAAGACTGCATTCATCTGGGGAATATAAAGTAACAGAATGGGAGTTGAATACCCAAGAATAATTGAGATAAGTACCAGGAGATCTGTTCCAGGGCTTGGAAGTCAGCCTCACATGCTGGGGGAAAAGCCAGCTCAGATAGAGAAGAGAACACCAAGTAAAGGATGTTTGGAGGACTCGCTCAGGATGCGAGATGCATACTGAAAGTAGACTATAGACCGAACACGATGGCCACTCAAAACCTCTATTGCAAACTACAACACCCTTAAGGAAAGAGTGAGCAAAAAAGAACGCCCCACCACACAGGTGGGGTCGGATGAGGGGTATGGGGTGTGGAGGTGGGAGGTCTACTAGGATCATTGGTGTTGGAGAATGGGCACTGTTGGAGGGATGGGTACTCGATCATTGTATAACTGAAACCCAAGCATGAAAGTTTGTAAGTCTACAACTGTACCTCATGGTGTTTCACTAATAAAAAAATTTTTTTAAAAAATCAATCCTTTTCTTATCATATCCACCCCTGTATATTTTTTTAGAATGTACTTCATACACTTCCTAGGAGTTGTTTTCCACTTATTGGTTGTATTGCTGCCCAATTTCTTAACTATGTAAGAAATTCAATTAATTTTTAAACTTACTTGGTTGAATTTTCTTTCTTACAACACAAAACATATATATTAACCTCTGCCACCAGCTCCTGGCACAATTTCAGCCCTGTAATTTCTTAAGATCTAAGAGCACTAGAGCATGTTTGAGTCTAACACTTGGTCTTTGACCCTAGTTGCAGCACAAAGTTGCAAAATACCTTGGAATTTCCTGGGTGTGAAGAGCTCCCTGTTTTCTAATGTAAGAGCTCCCTTAGTAGAATTTTGAGATTTTAACTAGCTTGTGAATGGGACAAGTCACCAAAATTACTGAATCATAACGAGAAACAAATATTTTAACTCAACTGCTCTTCCTCCAAGAAGGTAAGAGGGGATAATAATTGACTATACCTATCTGATGATGTCATAAAAATCCTAAAGGTACAGATATGAGAAAATTTCTGGGTTTATGCAAACAACCCTATCCAGGAGGGTGGCAGACTCTGATTCCATGGAAATAGAAGCTCCTGTTCTGGGAACCCTTCTGACACCACCTATTTTTATCAGATGGCCATGAATTGTCTTTATCATGTCACTTACGGTGTAATAAACCTGTAAACAAAGTGTTTCCTGAGAGCTGTGAACCATTCTAGCAAGTGATCAAAAACAAAGGCAGTCACAAAAACCTTTGATGTTAAGTCAGTAAGTCACAGGTGACAACCTGAACGTGGAGCTAGTATGAAGTGTGTAGGATAACACTGTTTTGTCCTTTCTCAGGTAGCTTAAGTTTATCGGGTCACACCCATCCTAGGACACTGAACTTGTATTGTAAACAATGTTTTGTATGGACACAGGAAGACAGTTAATATTATGTTTTGTAACTTAGGAGTTGATTGACTCCAAATAATATTTACTCCTGGGCATCTTCTTTCTTGACTCAGTTGCCCTTAGTTCCTAGCACCCCAAAAGCAGGGTTCCGATGAGGGACTGAATGGACCCAGGGCAAGCTGTGAGCTACCCTGGCATCGAAATGGGCCAAGCCAAAGCACCACGATACTCAACTATAAATTGAGGGCATGATCATGGACAAATGCTGTCATGATCCAAAGTAAGCAACGACGAGACTAGGACCTTGCTGGGGCTAGGAAGACTAACCTGGCCTGAGGACTGCAGAATGTATAATGAGATGTTTATATCTCTTACTGTGCTCACACAGAATGACATTGCTAGAAATATTAGAAGTAGATTTACTACAACTATTTAAGTAGATTACTAGCTGAGGAAAGAACACACCCTTGTTAGGATCCCACCCTTGAGCGGATCTCCTAGTAATCTGGAGTAATCTCTTTAGATGATATTTTATCCTTTAGTTAATCTCCTGGAGGAGTGGTCTTACCTCTCTTTGTTGATTTGTTAGTGTTCAACCCACCTTTGCGTCACTGCCTTAAATGATTGCTATATAAACTAAGATGTAAGCTTGGAGAGCAGAGTCAGAAATGAGAGAGCTCAGGTTCCAGAGATCCAGAGATCCAGAGTCAGAGCCGGAAGGAGAAAGGGTTCCAGATTGGGGTCCAGGAGAGAAGAAGGCAGAGGTGAGACAGGAGTGAAGAGGATTGGAATAAGCTACAATTGATATTGACCAGCCTGGCCCTCATTTCTTCCTTCGCCTGCTCTTGGCCAACAGCCATCCTGATCCAGGCCATACACAGCGGCTCAAGAGCACCGAACGTGGGCGGTGAGATAGTGCCATCGAGTGATCCCGCGAACACACAACCTCAGTGTGCTAGGATTTTACAAGGTGGGGGTGAGGATGGGGCTATAAACCAAACCTATACCCTGAACTGTGTACTCTAACTCCAATATTTTCATATTTAAGTGATTTGCAGAACACTCAAATAAAAGAACTAGCATGTCCAGATGCCTTGGAGGTGGGCAGGTGTCTCCCTCTGCCTGCCCCAACAGAATCCCAGCAACCACAAACCTCCAGAACCCAACTGTCACCATGCCTACCACCAATCTTCACAGACTCGGGCTTCACACGTGAGAATAAATCTGCTGAAAAACCCAGGTATGTGGGTTTTGTGACTAAAATCTCCAGGCTCACACGGATTCAGGAAAGGGCTCCCTCCTCCCATCTCCCTGTACATCTAGGTCCCTGGCAGTGACGCCCACAAACTGCCTCTGGTGCCAAATAAGGTCGTTAATGGCCACAATTCAGAGACTCATAAGTAAATCTCAGAAGAGAACAACATGCTGCAGAGATGCCTCCAGACCCCAAATTACCATCCAGTTAAAAATTAAACTCCAGCTCTAGCACCCTATTGAAAATTTTAGAATTCCTGGAGCTATATCTCATACTCTACACCACTGATATACCAAGAGTAGCACACCATGTTTGATGGGGTGTAAGGTAGAGGACAACCAATCTTGATGATATATATTAGCACACAAGTGTCAAACTCTAAAACATTTTAGTGATCTCTTACCCAGAGGCTTAATGGCTCCAAGGTGAGATACAACAATTTTCACACACTTTCCTCTAAGAAAACCTTTTTGGATCATTTTAGCCTATTATTCATAAGAAGCAATACAAAATAAATTATTTAGCATCTGCCTCTGGGGCAGGCTTGGGTGGTGGTGAGAAAATTTCAAATAAATTTGGCGGGAAGGTATAATGGTGGTTGGATTGGTGTTGAAATATTGAATGTAATATATTATTGAGTAACTTTATAAAATAATTTTTTTAAATACATACCTTTTTAAAAAAAAAAGACAAAATTCTGGAGAAATAAAAGAATTACCATGACTTGCCTGGTGTCAGAGTGAAGGGAAGTGATGTGAAGGTGCATGGTGAGAGGGAAAAAAATGGAGCTTTCCAAAGCATGTACATCCTGCATACACAGAGCAGTGCTCAGAGGCTAGAACTGGGGCTAACAGAGCTCCATTGCAAAGGAGCACTTTGGAGAAATGACATAATAGAGACAAGAGTACAGTGGGTAAGGTGCTTGCCTTACACACAGCTGACCTATGTGATTCTATCCCTATCACCACATATGGTCCCTGAGCACCATCGAGAAGTGATCTTTGAGCACAGAGACAGGAGCAAGCCCTAAGCATCAGCAGGTATGGCACAAAAACCAAACCAAACAAAATCAACCAAATAAAATTAAGATGATAAAGGAAAATGAGTCAGTCCCTGTCTGGCTGAGGGAAGTAAATTTATGGGGAAAATAATGACAGGAAAAGGTGAGTTAGGCAAGGTTTATTATTCGGATATGTCGAATGTTGTGTGTGGGCTTACAGGCAGTACATGGAGTCACTTATCCACATTTACATACTCGGCTTTGTAGTTACTTAACTGCTCACCCCAAAACTTTTAGAAATCAAAGATCTAAATCCGCAGGAGAGGAATATAGGATCACTGGTATTATTTTGCTTTATCTGTGTGCTTCATAGTCTTCATATTCATTTATATAATGTAGCTTATCACATTGTATTATACTATTTCATTAATAGATACATCATAGATTTATTAGTATATCATAAAGTAAGATGAGCACTGTTCTCAATACAGTGCAATAGCTGTGAAGAAACAATACATTTCTGCTTCACAGGATTTAAATTTGCTTCTCTAAACTAGAGAAGATGGAGAATCGGCTTCTTTATTTACATGTCTGGATGAACGCAATGACAACAGAGAATCTTTACCAACTCGGAAGTAGGGTCTAAGATTATAAGAGAAAGAAGCCTTGGGGAAGGTGAAGATGTGGGAGCCAGTATTCATGTTGTAAAAGGAGACAAGTCCAGCTTCCCGGTCCAGGAAAACCCCCACAAACTCCAGCTCCTCTCTAAGCTGAAGAGGAGTTCGGGGAGAGGTCAGGGCAACATAGCCATACTGTTTACAACGTCTGATGGCCCAGAATCCAAACTGGGGCTTCAGGGTCATGTCACTGTCCCTGGGCACATTTTCCACGCAGAGTCCTACATCCCACTCAGTTCCTTTCCCCATGTACACTTCAAAGTAATGTCTCCCAGTGATGAAGATGTCGTGACCCAGGACACAAGGTAAAACTCGAAACCTCTCAGGAATATTAGACTTCATCTGGATGGATCCACGAGTCACTTGTCTTCCATTATCAGACAGAATTAATTCACTATGAGCTGTACCCGGATCCAGAATCACACTGGCTATGAGAATAAAACAAAATTGAGTTACAAACAGGAGAAAACAAAAATGATAAGGTTATTTCTTGTTGAGACCACCAACTGCATTTTGCTGTAAGCATGGGATCCAAACCACAATAACCAAAAATAAAAATGTGCCTGTTAAGGAGGCAGGATGGGGTGTTGGTGGGAACCTGAGGACACTGATGGCAGGAAGTTGACCTGGTGGTGGTGATGTAAGCACGTAGATATGGAAAGGCCCTTTGCAATGAAACAAAGTTTCATGGAAGAAGAATTCTAGGAATGACCCACCTTGTGGATACAGAAAACAAAGGCCTGATAAGACCATCCAAGATGATCCGCAGACCCTGAGGATATAGGCCTCCTCTCCATGAAGTTCCTCTTTTTGGACCTCCCCTTTACTCCCAACCTCCCTGGTAACCTCCTTAGCAATGGACTTTTACTTGGGAAAAAGCCCCACATGGGGGCAGGTTGGAGAAACCCTATAAAGGCCGCCTGGAACAAAGGAAGGGCGCGCATATGCTGCCTGGGCCCATGTGCTGCTTGCGCCCACGTGGCCAAGCACATGTGGTGCCTGAGCACATGTGTCGTCCGCATCTCCCCTCTTGAGACGTGAACTTTCATGCTTTCGTGTCTAATGCTAGGATGTGTGTAGGGGCTCTCTTTGCCCTTAGAGAAGCTTGTGTTCTCTCTTGAGTATGATACTCTCTCTCTCTCTCTCTGTCTCTCTCTCTCTGTCTCTCTCTCTCTCTCTCTCTCTCTCTCTCTCTCTCTCTTGCCCTCGCTCTCCCCCACCCCGCACCTAAAAATCATCCAAATAAAATCTATTTGTTTCACTGCTTCTCTACTCCTGAAATTCCTTTCTGAGAGGCGAGACAAGAACCCAGTAACCCTGGGTCCCAGGTGGCAGAGGCGGGTGGGGAGAAAGTGACCGTCTTTCTCCTCCCCACTTCACATAAGTCACCCGTGGGGCCCACCGACATCAGTGGGATTGATATCGGAACATTTTATGCCTGAAACTTTTATTATGGACACATTTATAAATCATGGTGGCTGAATTGAAAATTAAAAAATAAAGTAATGCAATAAAAATGAGATCTTGCTAAAGGGAAAATAAAAGAGTCTCACCATTTACTTTCAAACTGATGAAATTGCACTGAGGCAATAAGGCCAGTACATTTCCAGAAACACTACCAGTGCTTGATGCTATTGTGTTTTTCCAGGCCATTCCCTTCCTTTCTCTAACTTTCTCTATTCCCAGGAATGGTGATCCTATAGATGCCCTAAGGAGGCTCCATCTCTCTGACTCTGATTCTATCAATGTTGAGTACTAGCGGAAACCATGGGGAATAAAGAAGCAGGGTAGGAGTAATGAGTACACAAGTACCTCTACACTGCTGTGATTGAGAGCGTCTGCAATCCTTTGCCTCTGACCACACACTCCTATCTTTGCTCCTATGTTATGATTACTCAGTTGCTATTTAAGGTCCCAAGGGATGATAGTTTCTAACTCATCCTTGATTTGGGTGCTTGACTATCCTTTCCTCAACACCCTAATTCTCATATTTGCAAATAAACTCTTCACCAAACTTTCTTCAATCAGTCCTTATCATGAATCTGATTAACAAATACTTGAGATTTCATTTGCATTGCCTAAATGGTCTGTGAAAAAGCATCTAAAGAAGCTTAAATATTTAAGTCCAGAGAGAAATATACTAGAAAGGAAGAAAATTCTGTTTGAGATTTTCAATTCTATCTACATATTATTTGTAAATAATACTCAAAACAAAACTCATAATTGTCGACAGTTTATGGATAATATTGCTATATACCTATTATATTTATATGATTATATCAAAACATATGTCACTGTCACTGTCACTGTCCTCCCATTGTTCATCGATTTGCTCGAGCTGGCCCAGTAATATTGTGAGATTTGTTACTGTGTTTGGCATATCGAATACATCACAGGTAGCTTGCCAGGCTTTGCCGTGTGGGCGAGATACTCTCAGTAGCTTGCGGGGCTCTCCGAGAGGGGTGGGGGAATCGAACCTGGATCAGCCGCGTGCAAGACAAATGCCCTACCCACTGTGTGATGTCAAAGTAATATTAGCAATAACAAGGACCACCTAGTACAGAAAAGTATTCATTCACTGGGAAGGTATTCCAATTAAAAACATACATGTACTAATAACATATATCATAACATGCAATGTAAAAACTATAGAACTACAAAAAACTAAAAATATAGCCCTCAAGAGATATTTAAGCATTCTTCTCTGCCTCAAAACAAAATAAAAATCTCCTCAGCCACAGGAGTTGCTGATGTTACATACCTTCATATCTCTCTAAAAATTTTCTCATATCAAAGTAAAGTTTAGAAACACTGCATTCAGTGTGGACTTCCAAAGAGGGAACTTCTGGTGTTTTTAGCTTGACGGCTGAACTCCTAGAAAAACAAATGGGCAGAAATTCCTTCAGTGACACATTTCATTCAGCATTGTATACCCACACTTCTTCCCTTCTCCATTCACACAGTACTCACCTGCTCAAGGTGCCTTTCACATCCTGTAGAGAAGCAAAATAAAAAGTAGGTATGGGAACATCATTTTCTAATGGGTTTTGCTCATTGAGCTATTCTCTATAAAAACTTGTTGCAAAGAAGTAAAGGAGTGACCTCACACTTAAATACTGTTAAATTCCAGGTAGTATGATTACCGTCTCTGTTCCTTTAGAGAGTCAATATGTAGCATGTTAGCAAACTCTAAGTTGGTATCTTCCATGCTGAGCACTATGAGGACCTGAAGTGTTTGCAATCATATTATCTTGGTGAATACTTGAGGAAGAGAACTAGAGTGTGCCTACGATCCTTCTGGCAAGTTGACAAGTGACCCTCTGCATTCAGTGAGCTAATTCTCTCCGAGGAATTCTTATTAGCAATTGTTTATCATAAATTTCTTCAGTGTTGAATCCATGAAACTAGATTATAAATCCATACAGAGTCCTCGGACTGACCACCTAAGTGTTGGTGGGAGATATCACATAGTGATAGAGAAATCATGTTACATGCTCAACCAAAAGTATCACTTCCAATTTCTTGGGTTTTTTTTTTTTTTGCTTTTTGGGTCACACCCAGCGATGCACAGGGGTCACTCCTGGCTCATCCAGTCAGGAAATACTCCTGATGGTGCTGGGGGACAATATGGGATGCTGGGAATTGAACCAGGATCGGCCACGTGCAAGGCAAACGCCCTACCCGCTGTGATATCACTCCAACCCCAACTACCAATTTCTTTATGGGAATTGGAATATGTTCTGGATACGTATCTTAATGGGTTGGAGCAATAGCACAGCAGGTAGGGTGTTTGCCTTGCATGCGGCCAACCCGGGTTTGATTCCTCCGTCCCTCTCAGAGAGCCCAGTAAGCTACTGAGAGCATCCCGCCCACACAGCAAAGCTTGGCAAGTTACCCGTGGCAAATTCAATAAGTGAAAAACAGTAACAACAATTCTCACAATGGAGACATTACTGGTGCCCACTTGAGCAAACCGATGAACAATGGGACAACTGTGCTACAGTGCTACATATCTTAATGAAACAGATCCTAATTCTAGCTGACAGAGATCTCATAAGAACTCCTGGAGCAAGGATTCCATGAGAAAACTAAGGAAAAAGTTGCACTACATTTAGGCTGTGCCACATTATCACCCACTGGTCACCTGGAGACTCTTTCAAAAGAGAGTTTGAACTCTCTTTTTGAACTTCAAAAGAGAGTCAGAGTACAGTGAACAGAAGACAGAGGCAAATCACAAAAGTTCTCCCTGCATTTACTCAGAGTGAACATTATCAAAATTATTCACATAAAAACTCTCTAGACCTCAATACAAATCTTAGCATGGATCTAGAGGAACACTTTCATATTCCACACCCAAGTGTACATGGGTGAGTGAACCAATAGATCTTGCAAATTTCCCCATACTTCCGTATATTTCTCTAGCAGCTGAGGAAAAGACACGTCCTTCCTTTCTTCAAGTACATAGTCTCACCTGGAGCAATTTCTGGGCTGAGCCCTGACATTTTCTCTCCAGTTCCATGATGTATTTCTTGAGTTCCTCGCTCTGCTTATCCAGCTTAGCTTCACAGTCCTGCAGTCTCTTCAGAACTTGCTCTTTTTCATTCTCTAATTTCCACAGAAAAGACTTTTCCTCTTCATGCAGGAAACAGTAAAGATTCTTAAAATCAGACTGGATTTTCTGTTTTCTAAGCTTTATCTTCTCCTAGAACGAGTAAAGTGTGCTCAAAAAGCAGAGACAAACCAAATTTTCATCTATGAATGAATTCACAAACAAAATACTAGGGCAGAAGGTCAATGATTTAGGTTGATGCAAGACATTTTCAAAGACAAAGTGTATTTATCTTCAATTAATAGATTTCTCTATTAGTTATCATCTTTGTCCTCCCACAGCCCTGGATCCTAAGCAAGGGAACTATCACATCTTTTGTGAGTTCAAGTTAAACATCTGCACCTAAAGACCAGGGAAGAAGTTGGAAGAGACACATGATAAAGGTAACACTGTAGACTGAAATTGGAGGGAAAACTCTTGGATCACTTGAATGGTTCCAAAAAAAGGTATGGAACTCTCTCCTCAGGGGTTGGAGACTCTGCAAAGTCTCAGAGACACATATAGTGCAGTTATAAGTGTGTTTGTTCTTGTGACAGCTCTGGTAATCCTCACGGGCCTTGTGCGCTTGAGGAATATGAATCCCATAAGGAGTGAGCCTATTCCTTAGTTTCTACAAACTGGGTTCTGAACATGGAAGACTGAGTGTGGTAAATATACCAGAGTGACAAAGTTGAGACTTCAAAGGAACTTAAAGATATTTAAACTTTAAGGCAGCAGTGCAGGGTGATTCTGGGTCAGGAAGCATGTTACTTCTGGATCTCCTGAGCTTCAGGAATCAGACAATTACTATAGTGGGGTTAAGGAAATGGTAAATAAATTCTCATAAATGCAAACAACTTTCTCATAAATATGAATAAATGTAGAAATTCATCAATTAATTTTTGTTTTTTAGTAAAAAATATTGTCACTTTTTTGGTCCAAATATCCCATATGTCAAGCTTTTGGGTATATGATCCCCTAAAAACCACCAGGAGTAATTCGTGAGTACAGAGCTAGGAGTAACCCTGAGCATTTCTGGGAGTGAGAAAGAAAGGAAATAAAAAAAGAAAAGAAAGAAAGAAAGAAAGAAAGAAAGAAAGAAAGAAAGAAAGAAGGGAGGGAGGGAGGGAGGGAGGGAGGGAGGGAGGGAGGGAGGGAGGGAGACGGAGGGAGACAGAGGGAGGGAGGGAGGGAGGGAGGGAGGGAGGGAGGGAGGGAGGGGAAGGGAAAGAAAGAAAGAAAGAAAGAAAGAAAGAAAGAAAGAAAGAGGGAGGGAGGGAGGGAAGGAGGGAGACGGAGGGAGATGGAGGGAGGGAGGGAGGGAGGGAGGGAGGGAGGGGGGAAGGGAAAGAAAGAAAGAAAGAAAGAAAGAAAGAGAGGGAGGGAGGGAGGGAGGGAGGGAGGGAGGGAGGGAGGGAGGGAGGGGAGGGGAAGCGAAAGAAAGAAAGAAAGAAAGAAAGAAAGAAAGAAAGAAAGAAAGAAAGAAAGAGGGAGGGAGGGAGGGAGGGAGGGGAGGGGAAGCGAAAGAAAGAAAGAAAGAAAGAAAGAAAGAAAGAAAGAAAGAAAGAAAGAAAGAAAGAAAGAAAGAGAGAGAGGGAGGGAGGGAGGGAGGGAGGGAGGGAGGGAGGGAGGGGAGGGGAAGCGAAAGAAAGAAAGAAAGAAAGAAAGAAAGAAAGAAAGAAAGAAAGAGAGAGAGAGGAAGGAAGGAAGGAAGGAAGGAAGAAAGAAAGAAAGAAAGAAAGAAAGAAAGAAAGAAAGAAAGAAAGAAAGAAAGAAAGAAAGAAGCCTGTTTTTTGGAGCATATGAACACATTTGAGGTCAATAGACTCTTACCTCCCATTTTTCTTAACTGATCTCTTACCTCCCATTTTATTATATGATCTCTTGTGTTCAACTTCCATCTCTTACATTGGTCTTCCAGTTTCCTCAGCTTTATGACAGCTTCCTGGAACTTTTTCTGAGTGAAAAATTGGTTGTTGAGAGTCTATTCAAACTGTCAATTCTTTGTTTACACACTTAAAGTGAATTCCTGCTCTCCAAGACATAGAACATCAAAGAATATGTACTGATAGGTGAGCATGCTAAAGCTCCAGACTCAGTAATTATTTGATAACCTTAACAGTTTTCAATAGTTGGTAATATTTTTAACATAACTTTTGTCTTTAGAAACTAAAGCTAGAAAGGGGTTAATGATCTGACCACAAGGTTACAACTGGGGTTTTTGAGCTGTGGTTCACAAATCATACACTACTCTGCAACCAAAGAACCTGGTTCTTTGTTAACCTGTATAGCTGAGCCAGAGAAACAATGAAGAAGATCACTGATTTTATATAATAATATGCTGAGCCCAAGATAAACAATTCCAGCCAGCTAGTTTGAACACATAGAAACTTCTATGTGAATTCGTAAATCAGGGGGGAAATCCAATAAGTCAGCTGATGTCTTTAGAGTCAGTGGAGGAAGAAACTGTGATATGTCTTGAAAAAAATATATAACCAATTTTAAATATTTGAGTATTTATAATAAGCTTTTAAGGTAAGCTCATTTGTATAAGGGCCATAACCCATTGCTTCTCTAGTACTATCAAGAAAGTTCTCTGAAATACTTCTAGGAAACAAGGGCCATGATCCAGAGACACACAAAAGAATCTCCAAACCGAGCAGCTCACTGAGGAGACTCTAATTATCTAAAATTTTAGAGTTACAGGAGTGTGCGGCTGTTCTTGCAGCCATGTGATATCATAGGCTATTCATAAAAAGCAAAACAAAAGAGAGTATGGGGGGATTATTTGCCATAGAGGCAGGGGGAGGGGTGGGATGGAACATACTGGGGACATTGGTGGTGGAAGATGTGCACTGGTGGAGGGTTGGGTGTTCGATCATAGTCTGACTGAAACTCAAACAGGAAAACCTTGTAACCGTATCTCATGATGATTCCATTTAAAAAATACAAATAAAAGTAAATAAAATTAACATTGTGAATAAAAGAAGGTAATGTGAACTTCATGCCCAATTCAATCAGCTTAATCAATGACGAATAAACAGTGGTACTCCTACATTAAAAAAAATAAAGACTAACACAAATAATGTACATTCTCACCGATGACAAGAAAAGTCACTCATAGAGTGACAAGACATGGAAATGAAAAGTATTAGGCAATGGCAAACCCTTGGTCCTGGATTACAGAATTGATAATGCCAAGGAAAAGGTGGGGGGAGGCAAATAAGGAAGTGGACTAATGATAACATAAGGACATTGGTCAAGGATCTTGGACACTTTGGTGGTTCAGAAATGAGGTAGTTATGTACCTCATCAAAACTGCAAGGGTCAGGGCTGGAGTGATAGCACAGCAGGTAGGGCATTTGCCTTGCATGCAGCTGACCCGGGTTCTATTCCCAGCATCCCATATGGTCCCCCGAGCACCCCCAGTAATTCCTGAGTGCACAGCCAGGAGATAGCCCTGTGCATCACTGGGTGTGACTCAAAAAGAAAAAAGAAAAAAACTGCAAGGGTCAGTGCTTTTAAAAAGATGTGACCCAGATAATGCTAAGCATTTCTTTAAAAAAAAAAAAAAGACCTGCTGTTTTTCTCAATGCAGGTTATTTGTGGGGAGTAGAAGGAAAAAGGATCGAAATACAGGAAGAGTTTTAGGTAATAAAAACCAATGGAAAAAGATGAGTTTTAGAGATGTCAAAGAGGAAAATATGACAAGATTTTGGAATATATTTACAGTGAAAATAAAATCTATTTTGTAAAAATAAATACACACACCAAAAAAAAAATCCCTGTTGTTATTACTAGGTGTCAAGTGCTTATCTTCGTGTCCTTAATTTAATTACATGTCTCCTTAATTTACATTTTTTAGTGGGCTGGAGCCATAGCACAGCGAGTAGGGTGTTTGCCTTGCACACAGCCAACATGGCCGACCCAAGTTCAATTCCTCTGCCCCTCTTGGAGAGCTCGGCAAGCTACTGAGGGTATCTCGCCCGCACGGCAGAGCCTGGCAAGCTACCCGTGACATATTTGATATGCCAAACACAGTAACAACGAGTCTCACAATGTTACTGGGCCCACTCAAGCAAATTGATGAACAACGGGAGGACAGTAACAGTGACAGTATCCTTAAAGATTCTGAAAACTTTCTAGGGATGCAAGGAAGGCAAGGAGGAAGATTATCCCCAGTTACTGAGGGCGGAACCAAAGCAACAGAAAGACTTAAATAACTTGCTCACAGTTACTTATCTAAGTAGGTGGCAGAACCAAGATTTTAACCTAAGCAGTGTAACTCCTGATGCTATAATCCATATCTCATGCTGCTCATTTTCTTTTGGAATGAGCAGTTATTCACTGTTCCATAGATTATTAGAAAGAACAGTCTATTCCTATTAGGTCAGGATTGAAATGTGTCGGGGAGAACCTCTGAACTTCAAACAAGGTCACCTCAGCTTCCTTAGAGAACAGTAAGGAGCCCCATACCAGGCACATTTTTCTCAACCTAGACAGGGCAGAGAAGAAATGGTAAAACAGAACCCAGCTTGCACCTTTCTTCCAGCACTGCGAAGGGTAGTTTTCCTTACATGCTCTTCGTTGGGAAACTCTGAAGGTGCCCCGCTGACTATATTGATGCCTTTATATGTATTTGATTTGGAGACCACTCCCGGCTGTGCATGGGGCTTAATTCTGGTTTCATATTCAGGGATATAAGGGGTGCTGCAGATTGAATCTAGGTTAGCCAAGTGCAAGACAAGTGTCCTACCCCCTCGTACTATCTGTTCAGTCTTCCTGTGTATTTTGTCATGCCAGCATGCTCTTTTAAAGTAAATATGATCCTGTAGCTATCGCTCCAGCCCCTGTTGGTATGGAGTGATAGCACAGCGGTAGGGTGTTTGCCTTGTGCGCAGCCAGTCCAGCCGAGCAGGGTTCGATTCCTCCACCTCTCTTGGAGAGCCTGGCAAGCTACCGAGAGTATTCAATATGCCAAACACAGTAACAAGAAGTCTCACAATGGAGACGTTACTGGGCACGCTCAAGCAAATCGATGAACAACGGGAGGACAGTGTTGGTTTTTTTTTTTTTTTTTTTTTTATGATCCTGTACTTCACATGTGAAACTCCCGCAGAGAACAATTCTGTCTGGGTGTAGAACATGGACTCTGAGCTGATACTAAGGTTCTGGGCCCAACTTTATTTCCATGGTTTTCTTTCCCTACTATTAAATTGTGCTAGCCAATCAGGTAAGTTCCCTTGTCTATGCCTCGGCACATACTGTCTCTCGGCTTGGGACTGCCTCTCTTCTATATAAAATTATCTTTTCTGCATATAGTTATCTTGCATGTGTCCTATAAGAGTTACTCCTGAGTATCTTCCCCAGGTACCACTCTCCCACCTTCTGATGCTCTCCCTAAGCCCAAACCAAAGGACTCCTGCAGTTCTTTCATGGTTCGTTTATCACCCTAGACTATGCCTAAAAGGTGGTCTTTGCAGCCATTATTTTCAGATTCTGTCAAACGCATATTGTGATTTCTCAAGTGATCTTCACCAGGTGAAGCACAAAAACATTGAGTTCTAGAAGAGAAGTTCCTCATAGCAAGAGAAGATGGAAAGAAGTTGTATATTCAACCTACTAGAGGTCAGGGAACCCCTTACAGTTGGTACCTGATCAGAGGTAACCCATTATAAATTATCAGAAAATTAATATCATGAAAGTTATATTTCAGAATCATAATCTCTGGTGTTGGGGACTAATAGAAGAGCAGGTATTTGCTGATGGGCTCTGGTCAATACACTCACCTGGTAGAACTGGCATGCATCCTTTAAAAGATCTGTGTTGTGTCCTTTGTGCTGTGGTGTGCGCTCACAGTACCAGCAGATGAGCTGACCATCATCTTGGCAGAACAGGTGGAATGGCTCTCCGTGTTCCTCACACAGCTTCTCACGCTCCATTTCCTTGATGGTTTCAATAAGGATTTCCAGCTGTTTTATGGGCCGGATGCTTTCCTTCTGAAATGGAGTGTGACACTCAGGACAGGAAAATGTCTCCACTGACGACATCTCTTTCTGATTCTCAACAAAATTCACTATGCACATGCGGCAGAAGCTGTGTCCACAGTTGATGCTCACGGGCTCAACCATCAGCTGTTGGCAGATGGAGCAGGAGGCTTCCTCCCTCAGCTTCTTAGTAGCTGTGGAGTCTGAGGCCATGGTTTCTCCTGAAAGACTACTAATGGATCTAGTGGTAAGATGATAAAAAAAAAAAAGGAATTTTCCGCTGGAAATAGACTTCAACTAAGCCTCTGCACATTCATGGGTCTTGAAATTCTTTTCTCTGGAAAGGAAAATAAATTAAAATTGTGATGATGTGAAAGAATCCATATTAGGGCATCAAATTTTTGTGTACTTTAGCTAACTTGCAACATTGCTTTCTGTAAAACTGCTTGGCTGCTTTGCACCTGGGGGAGAGGGGACTTGGAAAGTGAACAGGGCATAACTTCTTTTCTAAACCAAGTGTGACAGGATTCAGGTGTATTTACTGTCCCTGAAATGTATTGTCTCAGTAAAGCACCCTGCAGATTTGGGTAAAGGATAACTCAGGATGCGGGTGGTTGGGGGAAATTGCCCTTTCCTGGAATGTATTGTCTCACTAAAGCACCCTGCAGACTTGGGTAACTCAAAAGGAGGATGGTCAAGGGAGTATACCTAAGGCTTAATGATTCCAGCTATAACCTTGCTTGTGCTGACAATCGATGTAGATGTACGTAAATGCTGATCTTTGAATCTATAGGCTAAGGAGTGAGGTACTTTTAAATGGATTGGTTAAGAAAGTATATGTTGTTACAAATCTATTGGCTATGAAATGCGCGGGCTTTGCTACAACGGCCAGTGAAGGCCTATATAAGATCCCCTTTGAAGAAGTTCAGGGCTCTCAGCCACTGCCCATTTTTGGGGTATGCTGCGGAGCCCCAGCATGCTGGTCTAAATAAACCCCGTTTTTACTCCTGCAGGAATTGTGTCTATCTGGTCTCTCCGCGCCTCTCAGGGCTAGGGAACTCCCGATCCCAACAGATGCACAAAATAAAGATGTGTCATAAAATCAGGTAAAATTATTATCACATGTGATCAACTAATGTAGATTACATACATTTAAACACATTTTAAAATCCAGTTTTCCATTCTAACTATATACATTTTTATTGCTTAGTAATGACTTGTGGCTGGCAATATATGACTGCCCAATTACAGAACTTCTCATCACTGAAGAGAGTCTTCTTGGACTGGGGGCTAGATCGATAGTACAGCAGGTAGGGTGTTTGTCTTGCATACAGCCAACCTGGTTCGATCCCTGACATTTCATATGTCCCCTAAGCACCACCAGGAGTAATTCCTGAGTGGAGAGCTAGGAGTAACCCTGAGCATTTCTGGGAGTGGGAAAGAAAGAAAAAGAAAAGAAGAAAGAAAGGAAGGAAGCAAGAAAGAAAGGAAGGAAGGGAGGAAGGAAAGAAGGAAGGAAGGAAGGAAAGAAGGAAGGAAGGAAGGAAGGAAGGAAGGAAGGAAGAAAGAAAGAAAGAAAGAAAGAAAGAAAGAAAGAAAGAAAGAAAGACAGACAGGCATTCTGACCAAAATCTGAGAGAAGAGAGAACACAGAGTGACACTCTATCCCATTATAATGAGCACCAACAATATTTAATTCCAGATCACTTCCTTGTACTTGTAATAATGCTTAAATGTCTAGTTATCTTAGGAGAATTTCATCAAGGCTGTCATTTTAGAAACCCTAACTCCAGTTCACTCTACCACTAACTCTACTAGAAAAAAAAAAAAACAACGGATAACAGATTAATAAAGTCTCAGTGTGTATCCCACCTGGATGATAATAAATGCCAAGGAAGAACATGAAGAAGCAGTTTGTCCTTCCTGTCATCCTCCCTGACCTTAGGGGAAAAGAACTGAAAGAGCTAAGAAAAAAAGGTGCCCTTCCTGAGAACAGAGGGCCAGGGGAATGACGTGATGTCTGTTCTCCAGGTCAGACTTCGGTCTCCCAGAAGTTCAGGTGACAGGAACACTGGATATTTGCAGACCTCAGGATATTGAGGCAGGCAGGAGTGCTAAAGGCAGGACGTTGTGGAATCAAGAGTATTGAACTTCCCAGTGTCTACCAGTGAGGAACTAGAGGCAGGAGACTGACAAGATGCAAAAGAGGCTTCCCCTCCTCTAGGCAATCGCCACTTCAGGAACCTTGTCCCCAGTTCCCACTGTGGGAAGAAAACGTTTAGCAAATGAACTTTTCTTTGAACTGACTACCCTGAACTGCAAACAGGATTCAACTGTGACTTTCCGGGAAAGGTGCGTCCCCTCTAGTCCTGGGGATGAGTTTCTAAAGGGCCGCACACATCTCTTCCAGAAATGTCTCTTCCTTGGCAGATTATTTCTCCTACGGGATACATCAGGTTCTCATCTGTCAATGAGAAAGATCCTTTCCTCCTCTGTGTTCAGGGGCCCCTACCCTGAGCCTTCACTCACCTCGTAATCCTGGCTCTTCTGAGACGAAGTGTTGCCAGAGTTTGGGAAAAGAAAAAGCAGACCAGGAAGAGAGAGGAGGCAAAGTCCTGAGCACTTTCAGAGTGGAAGGCACTCCCCTCCCTGCAGCTTTGCCTCCACGCCTTCTCCCAACCCCCACTCAGGCTTCTAGACCTCACCTAGCAACCTTTGATCTGGATTTTATTGTTGCCTTCACCACCCAGCAGGCAGTTACACCAGAGTTGCCAGTTCCCAGTGTTGGTGTTATTTACTGAGGCCTTGACAAGGAAGTTCACCCAGACTAGGAAGTGAAACTACTGTGAGGATCAGAGTTTACTCTCACTGTGAAGAAACTTGTGAAGTTGTCAATATATTTGCTTTGTGGGTCACACCTAGCAATGATGCGCAGGGTTTACTCCTGGCTCTGCATTCATTCTGGCGGTGCTCAGGGGACCATAGAAAATGCCAGGGATCAAACCCAGGTTGGCTGCGTGCAAGGTACTAGCACTCCAGCTCTGTCCTGATATTTTTGCACTCAGATTTCCCTAGAAGGGTGAAGACATAGTAAGCTACATCGTCTGATTTGTGTTCTTTCACTCTGTTAGGCCAAGATCCAGAGACTATGAAACAAAGTTCCCAGAAGAGAGTGACAGCAGTATTTCCTGGAGCCTCTCCTTCCCTCTTGGAGAGCCTGGCAAGCTACCCATGGCGTATTTGATATGCCAAAAACAGTAACAATAACAGTCTCATTCCCCTGACTCTGAAAGAGCCTCCAATACGGCGGGTTGGGAAGGACAAGAGAAGAGGCTGCTAAAATCTCAGGGCTGAGACAAACGGAGATGTTACTGGTGCCCGCTCGAGCAAGTCCATGAACAATGCGAAGACAGTGCTACAGTGCACTCTGTTTTCATTAAACCCTCAGATCTGAAAAGTTGTGGACTCTTACCCTTTCTAGTCAGTGTTGTACCGAAGGTTTCTAGATAGAGTGATTAAGCAAGTAGAGAAGGCATCCATATTTCAAAGAAAGAAAACACCGTTTTCTGTTATAACCGATACTGCAGAACACGAAGTATCAAGAGACTTTATGCAAACCAAGCAAAGTGAAATAAATACTCTTTGCTTAGACATTTTCTATTCGCCCAGTAGAAATGGAGAAATTTTACTATCAAATTAGCTGCCAAGAAATGAATTGTTTTTTCCTCAAGTTCCTCTTTTAAGATATCCCTAGTGGAACATAAAGTAACAAAATAGGAGACTAACACCCAAGAGTGGCCGAGATTAGTATCAGGAATTTTGCTCCATGGCTTGGAGGCCAGCCATACATGCTAGGGGAAAAGGGGGCTCAGATAGAGAATGGAGCACCAAATAAAGGGTGTTGGGAGGATCCTCCCAGGATGGGAGAAGCATGCTGAAAGTAGACTATAGACCAAACATGATTTCCACTCAATGCCTCTTTTGCAAACTACAACACCCAAAAGGAGAGAGAGGACAAAAGGGAATGCCCTGCCACAGAGGCAGGGTGGGATGGGGGGGGATGGGGGGTGGGCAGGATACTGGGACCCATGGTGGTGGAAAATGGGCGCTAGTGAAGGGATGGGTACTTGATCATTGTATAACTGAAACCCAAGTACAAAAATTTGTAAGTCTACAACTGTTCCTCATGGTGTTTTACTAATTAAAATTTTAAAAAAATAAATACATAAAATACATATTATCACATCCAAAAAAAAAAATCTCCCTAGTAGCTTCGACTTCTTGTTGAAGTTCTTCTTTTAGTGTATTGCTTCGTTTGCTTTTTGATTTGATTTGTTTGCTTTATTTGATTTGTTTGCTGTATTTGTTTCACTGTGCATTTTCTATAACCACACCTTAGTCAACAGTCAAATGGTTGGAGCAGAGAGAAAAATAAAGGAAATGATATTCACGCTACCACTCTGAGGCCACAGTTCTCTGGCATGGGATGGAGTGCCCCTCTTTCAATATCTGGTTATGGAAATGCTTCAGAGATGAAGAAAGGGAAAAACTACAAAGGATACTCCACTCTCCTGAGTGTTATAACACACATATCCTCAACATAGGCCAGAAAAAGAGAGCTTCTTCAGGAATGCCTTTATGTCCCTATGCATACTTTTTGAACTGTAGTTCACAGAAGTCCAGGTCAAGGTATATAAAAGAAAAATGAAGAATTAACATACCCCCCCAGCTCAGTAGTACTTTAAATTCTCTTTTCTCCCCCATCTGCCTGCTACCTTAGAATTTCAGTGTCCTCCTAAGCTGCTCTACGCAACAGCTACAGATGAAGTCAGTGAATGGACAACATGGAGCATGATTATTTAATTTACCTGGGATTAAATTAGTAAGATTGTTGTAGGGCAGAATTAATTAGTAAAATATCAATCACATGTATAAGCACAGAGCTTAACTTCCTAAGTAACAGAAGTAAGAGCAACTCCTATTCTGATATTTGGTCTATGAACTTGGATCCTGATGGAATTGATACATTCCTTAGATTTTTTTACTAGTTAATAGGATTAACTCTGCTTCCAATGAAGTGACTTTTGGTGAACTCCTAGGTCCTCCAAAATGGATTTGCTACCAGGGAAACAAGTAAGCCACATTAAGCAGCTCAGAACTTTCTACCACAACACCCATGCTTCAGGAAGAGAGGAATCTGGCGTCCTGTGAACTGTCCTTGCAACTCTGAGAAGGGTCCTGGGAACCTCAGACCCCAGAAGCACTGGGACAACCTAGACTTGTGATGACTGTGAGGTGGGTGGAAACTGCAAAACTGGGTCCTTAACCTGAGAGGTATCCTCCAACTCCTCTAATTCCAGCTGCAGTCAGAGTTGAATTGTACAATACCCAGCCTGATGGGAAAACCCCAATCCACTTGGTTTCATAAATGCGGTGTTGGAAATGTGGGTAGTAGTGAGAGATTTAAAACAACAACAACAAAATAAAACAGGGAAGTCTTCCTGACACGTGTGCATCTTGCACACTCAGGGGAACACTCAGAGATGTGTAACTCCAAGAAGTGGTTACTGGTGGCTTTCAGAGCATCTTAGCTAAAAGAATAATAGATTTTTTTTTTTTTTTTGCTTTTTGGGTCACACCCAGCGATGCACAGGGTTTGCTCCTGGTTCATGCACTCAGGAATTACTCCTGGCTGTGCTCGGGAGACCATATGGGATGCTGGGAATCGAACTCGGGTAGGGCCGCGTGCAAGGGAAACACCCTACCCGCTGTGCTATCACTCCAGCCCCAAGAATAATAGATTTTTAGAGAAAGAAAACCACTTTTGTGTAACAGTCTGTAGGCAAATACATGGGAAAATAGTGAAAAGTAAGCAAGGTTTGTTTTGAGGATCCTTCCATGCTATGCCAATGCTGAGAGTTCTCTGGCAGTGAACGTCTACACTTTCTCCTAAGGAATAAGCACTATGTGTCTTTATGTGCTTTTCTTTGGCAAACAGAAGGCTGAGAGCCTTCTGTTTTTACCTTCTTTTTACCTTCAGTTACGCCCATCTCAACATGTTTTATGTCAATGTGACAAATTTGATGGTGACGACTTCTTTTCAGCTTCAATGCATCTGATTGGAAGGACTTCTGAAGCTGGAAGTATAATGGTCTAACCTCTTTGATGACTTCCTCTGGGCAAAGAGAGATGTCTAATCAAGTCTCCAATGTACAAAATAACTCCTGCTTTATGTTCCCTATTCCTGGAAAGAAATCTGGGTGGGCTGGGAGGAAAACATGCCACCCTAAATATGTCATTCGTGTAAGGTTAATTTTAAGGGAGGGGCTCAAAGTTTGAGTAGCAGTAGTCTTCTATGAAAGAAAACTTTGGTGAAACATTTCATAAGCAAATGTTTCCCTTAAAGGAGAATTTCTGTAAGACCCAATCTCCTTTTCTTTTTAATGGAGAAAGCAGAACATAAATCTTCATGCCAATCTTTATGGTGCCTTTTCTGAAACCACCCTTTCGACCTTTCCTTTCTTCTATTTCATCTGCTTTAACTAAGCTATTTAAATATTGCACCAATATTTATATATTGAGAAAGAGGAACTGATGTAGAGCAAGGCACAGAGTCCAATTTTTCTGGGTCTCTTGTAGCACCGGTGAGGCACAGATAGATGCCACCAGGCCTGAAAGGCCGATGTTAAGCTGTGCCTGAAGCCCACTTGATCTCCATGGTGTAGGAAGCACGCCCCACCCCACCAGAGTTCTTGGGACTCTGTGGTCTCAGCCCAGAGAGACTCTACAGGAAAAGAGAAATCAGTCAGAACCCCTGTTCAGGTTTTCCAGGAACATCTCTTTCCCTCACAAAAAAGAATTTAAAAAGAAAATGAATGGGGGTATGGTGACACCAGCAGGTCAACCTGTTCCTGCGGGGCGAGTGCATCAGCAGCCTGATAGTGCCTTCAGGCTTCCTGATACCCCAAAATTGCCACTGTGCCTTTGGCCGGACCTCAATAACTTGGGGCCAAGTTTACCAAGAAATTAAACGGCCAAAAGTTAGGTATGTGGGAGCCACACCCAAAACCACCTCTGGCTCAGCTATACAAGCTCACTTATTGGCCTTATTTCAGAGACCCATACGTCTCGAAAGAGATCAAAAGCCGCAGTTAGGGCCGACAGTGCAGTGCATTACAGGTGAGCGGGCACGCCCTGCAGGGCATATGCCAACAGTTTATTTCTCTGGAAAAGATGGAAACAAGGGCCATGATCCAGAGACAACACAAAAGAATCTCCAAACTGAGCAACTCACTGCAGAGATGCCTTAGGACCCTTAAACCAGGCCGACTTCACCGGGGTGCCTCAGACGGGGGCAGGTGTCATCCCTACACCTGCCTCCTAAAAGCCCCCCCATGGCCGACAACTTCCAGAACCCAATGAGAAGGGCATGTATGTGGGTTCAGTGATGGCAAACTCCAGGCCTCAAGGGACAGGGGATGAGTTGGTCCTTCTCAACATCCCTCCGCCCAAAAAAAGAATCTCTGAACCGAGCAACATGCTGTAGAGTTTTCTCCAGATCCCAATTATCTGAAATTTTCAAATTCCAGGAGCACAGCACCATGAAACATCTTATACTATTCATAACATGTAATACAAAAGAGAGTATGGGGATATTGTCTGCCATAGAGGCAGGGGGAGGGGTGGGATGGGGAGATACTGGGGACATTGGGGGTGGAAGATGTGCACTGGTGGAGGGGTGGGTGTTCGATCATAGTATGACTGAAACTTGAACAGGAAAGTTTTGTAACTCTATCTTGTGGTGTAAAATCCTGTTCTCAAACAGGGTCTGCTGCTGTCAGAAGACCTAAGACAATGGCACAATTCTTTCCTGCTGGCAGGGCTACCACATCCCTAATTGTTATAGCACAACGGTAGAGCATTTGTCTTGCGCGCAGCCGGCCCGGTCGACCCGGGTTCAATTCCTCTGCCCCTCTCGGAGAGCCCGGCAAGCTACCGAGAGCATCTTGCCCACCCGGCAAAGCCTGGCAAGCTCCCCATGACGTCTTTGATATGCCAAACACAGTAACAACAGGTCTCGCGATGGAGACGTTACTGGGCCCACTCGAGCAAATTGATGAATAACGGGAGAGCCGTGATACCGTGATCTTGTGGTGATTCAATAAAAATTATAATAATAATAAAAATAAAATTAACATTCTGAATTTAAAAATAAAGTAATGTGGAGTTCAAGCCCAATTCAATCATTTTAATCAATGGGTGAGTACATAGCATTACTCCTACATTAAAAAAAAAAAAGAAAATGAAATTGCAAAGTATTTTTATTTTGAGAAAATTACTTAAAGTACGTATGGGAGGGTAGGGGGTGGGAGGAGAGAGAACACAGGCTTCTGCACTGGGAAAAAAGTCAAGAGCACATATATACAACTTAGGTTGAGACATGAGTGAATCTCCACGATGGATAATGAAAATCACATGCCTATAAAAGTTGGTTTTACAACAAAACTTTCCTTAAATTCCCATCCCCCACCCCACCCTGAGTAAGAATCTGTTTCCAGTGCCTTGTCAAAAACAAAAAAACAAAAGCCTTGGATTCTTGATTTTTGACACATACGCTCTTTAGGTTGTCTTTTTTTCTGAGGGAGTTCATTCTTTGCTGGGTGATGCCTCAGTTTCTGCATCCGGATGCAATCTTATTTTTGTTATCTTCAAAGAACTTGGTATTCATATCACAAAGAGAGGTGGTCTTCATGTCTTTGGCTACTTCAGGACTAGTAACTAGGAAATTTCTTCTTAATTTTATTATTTCTCAGAAAATCTCATTACTAGGGGCTGACCCTATCAAAATGCCTACAACATTAATAAACATCTTAATCCTTCTTTTATTACTTTGTCTGACAATGTTTATCAGCTTATTTGATTAGGTGTCTGGCGTCTGAAGAATTCAGAGGGTATAGATTGATTTCTTTGAAACCCTGACAATGGTTTAAAAATAAACAGAGAACCCAACTCTCCTTACCTCTGGGTCAGTCAAAGATTCATGGAAATTAAAAATCTGAATCCACTGAAGTGGATGGCAAGGAGAATCCATGGTCAATGCTAATATCTTGCTTTCCCTCCAAGCTTAGGCTCATCATATGCATTATTTTTCAGTCTTTTAATCCACTCATTTAATGCAGGTTAAAAAAAAGCACTGAAGAAAACTAAATAGTGTCTTCTCAAGTCTTATGTAATATTTCTATTCTGGGTAAAGCAAAAGAAACTTCATTTCTAGAGAAGGGACCACCAAGTAAATGATGCTTGGAGGGTTCGCACAAGATGGGAGATGTGTGCTGAAAGTAGACTATGGACCAAACATGATGGCTACTTAGTACCTGTGTTGCAAACCATAACACCCACAAGGATAAAGAGAGTAAAAGGGAATGTGCCTGCCACAGAGGCAGGGAGGGGGGTAGTGGGGAGAAGTGGGGTGGTGGGAGGAATACTGGGAACATTGGTGGTGGAGAAAGGGCACTGGTGGAAGGATGGGTACTCGGTCATTGTATGACTCAAATGTAATCATGAAAGTCTGTAAGTCTGTAAATGTATCTAATGGTGATTCATTAAAAAAAAATTTTTTTTAAATGGGGCTGGAGTGATAGCACAGCGGGTAGGGAATTTGCCTTGCACACAGCCGACTGGGTTCAATTTCCAGCATCCCATATGGTGCCCTGAGCACCACCAAGAGCCATTCCTGAGTGCAGAGCCAGGAGTAAGCCCTGTGCATCGCCAGGTGTGACCCAAAAAAGCAAAAAAAAAAAAAAAAATTAAAAAAGAAACTTCATTCTTTTCCTTCCTTACCCTCCTTCCTGAGTAAGATCAAAGGAGAATCTTGAAAAATCATGAAGAGGGTTTGAGAGTAGGTAAAGATGTGGGAACCAAGATTCATGTTGTAAAAGGAAACAAGTCCTGCCTCAAAGTACAAAAAACACCCCCAAAACCCAGAGCTGCCCCTTCAGTACGAGAAGTAATGATGGACTGGTAAGGAATACAGAGTTGCTTTGCTTGGGTACTGTGATGGCCCAAAATCCAGACTGAGGCGTCAGCTGTGAACTAACATCTCTCGTCACATTCTCCAAACAAACGCCTACGTCACACCCAGTTTCCTCACCTACGTCCACTTCAGAGTAATGTCTCCTGGAGGAGAAGCCCTCACAGCCCAGCACACAGAGGAGCACACTAAATCTCTCAGAACTGTCCTGCTTCTCTTGGGGGCATTCGCATGTAACTTGTCTCAGGTCCTCAGAGAGAACCAGATCCTTATGAGTTGTAACTGGATCCAGAGTCAGGCTCACTGCAAAACAAAAACAAACACCAAAGAAGAAAAAAAAAGATGATGTCTTTTCATGCTGAGGATGGTGTTTATTCTCTGTTCAAATTCACTTTGTTCTTATTAGCTGCATGCATCATACTCTGAGCTCACCTTGCTAACAAATTAAAAACCTTATCTGTTACGAAGAATGGTGTGGAAGGCCTACTGCATGCTTTGTGCTGAGTGAAGTTGTTGGTGCAAGGCATGTTCCCAATAAATAACAGCAATAATGGTATCGTCATTGTCATCATCCCCATTTTATCATTCAGAGTCAATTAACTCCCATGTTACAAAAGCATAGCATTAACTGTCTTCTTGTGTCTGTTCCAACAGCACATTGTTCTGAATTAATTATGCAAAGGACTTAAGAAGAGGAAAACAATATTTATAAGTCAACAGAGCACAAATAAAGAAGTTACAAATAAACACAGAGGAATGAGAGCACTGTGAGGGGAGCAACCCAATTAACCTAAGCTCCCTGCAGCAAGGCAGAAAGGACAAACCAATGTTATCCTACACTTTAGATATGGTTCATGGGGACAAGCTTAACAATAAATAGAAAACCGAGACATTATATATATATATATATATATATATATATATATATATAAATGATCTGTCTATCATCAAGTAAGATGGAAAGAAAAGTTCTGATGACCAACATGATGTAGGCCAGCAGTACAATTCACTCAATATGACATCACAATAGAGTTGATCTAGCAACAGGGTTCAAAACTGACCGCGTACTTGGTTAAACAGTAATCAACCAGAGTGTTAGTAAGGGAAGAGTATGCAGAAACCCTTCCTGTGCTGGACACTCTGTGGTTTTTTAATAGTTCACTCCTCACTTTTCTCTGCCTACTCTTTTCCCCAGGAGGCTACGCTATGAACACATCAACGAAGCTCCCTTCCTTCTGACCTCTGTTTGGTTCAGTCAATGAGACACACCAAATAGAGATAACAGGGCAGAAAGAAGCAAAATCAGGAACAGTAAAATTAGGTCAGAAACCAGTAATTTAAAAAGACCGCCTCCTCCAGAGGGAACCCCGGTGACCATGAGCCTCTGCAAGCATAGCTCGCTTATGCGGGAACCAGGACTCTCACTGCAAACTGCTGGGACTGCCCTGGCACCCAGGTAACCTCTGACTCCGGAAGTCACGCCCACAACCCGCCCCCCAGCGCCATCTTTACAGCACACAGCCACAGAGAAGAAAGGCGGGGGGTGGGGGGCGGGGGGGGGGGCGCTCCACAGCTACCGAGAATGCGGTTCTGAAGAGAGCCAGAGCCAGATCACCAGGAAGTCCCAGATGGGGTAGGTGCCGCATCCCGCCTCCTCCAGAGGGAACCCCGGTGACCATGAGCCTCTACAAGCATAGCTCACTCATGCAGGAACCAGGACTCTCACTGCAAACTGCGCGGCTGCTTATGCGGCTGCGCGACATCTTCTTATATATAAAGTGGTCAATGGAAAGTGAATTCTCCAACGTTTTTCCCTGAAAATCAGGCTTAACTTTTTTACAAACCACAACACCGAATAGAAAAGAGAGAACAAAAGGAAATGCCCTGCCACAGAGGCAGGGTGGGATGGGGATGGAATGGGGGGTGGGAGGAATACTGGGATCCATGGTAGTGGGAAATGGTTACTGGTGGAGGGAAGGGTATTCAAAATAAATAAATAAATTTAATTTAAAAATAAATAAATAAATTAAATAAAAAGACCAATATAGTGGAAGGATGGGTATTCAATCATTGTATAACTGAAACCCAAGCACAAAAATTTGTCAATCTACAGCTCTACCTCATGGTGTTTCACTAATAAAAATGTAAAAAGTAAATAAATAAAAATTTTATATAATTAAAAAAAAGTCTAAGCCTAGTCCCTGAGGCATTTGATGCATTTTATTGAGGAGAATATGTGAATAACTTTAAAATATTTTTAAATATTTTAAAAATAACTTTAAAATATTTTAACTTTAAAATATTCTCAATTTCTCTCTTGACTTCTAGAATGTAAGCTACATAAATGTTTTGTCTTTTTTAACTGATGTTTTCCCAGCACCTAAACATTGCTTTGTATATATTTATTGAACATTATTTAATAAACATATGCTAATGGAAAAAAAGACCAATATAAATATTCTATCAGGAAATAGAAGTAATTCTAACAGAATTGAAGATTAATGAAATACTACATACAGAAAATTATATAATTGATAAGGCAGAATTCTGAGGAAAGTACACTGTATATCCAAAGTAAATTTTTTAAAGTATAGACCTACCCAAAGGAAATTTTAAAATAAAAATAAAATAAAATAAAATAAAGGAAAATGTAATAGAGATGAAAACATCCAAAGTTGATTCTTCAAGAAACCTAAAACAGATATTTGTGGATTTATCCAATGAGAAAAAGAAAGAATGCAAAATTGGAATGGATACTAAGATTTTAAAAAGTCTTGGTGGCAAGGAGTGGCAACCGCCTCCCAAACAGTTTTCAGGGGGTCTACATGATTCCATTAAAGCAAGTAACTCACTGATAAAAATCAGGGCTGGAGCAATAGCACAGTGGGTAGGGCGTTCACCTTGCATGCGGCCGACCTGGCCAACCCAGGTTCGATTCCTCCTCCCCTCTCAGATTGCCTGGCAAGATACCGAGAGTATCACACCCACATGGAAAGCTACCCATGACGTATTCAATATGCCAAACACAGTAACAAGTGTCACAATGGAGACATTACTGGGCCCACTCGAGCAAATCAATGAATAACGGGAGGACAATGACAGTGACAGTGATAAAAATCAGTGTCCAAAAATTTCAGTTTTCAAAGCTTTCTGAATAATGAAATTACAAATTAGAGATTTTGGAAATAGAACAATTATTAACTAGGAGAATCAAGAGACAGAGTCCAGAATTTTCCATAGGAAGCATGTGGTTTCCACCATGATTCTATATTTATCAAGTTAATGTTATATAGGTAAAGGTAATAAAATAAATTGCATCAATCCAAGAGCCTCACTGACCTTCATAATTTTTTCCTACGGACTTGTTTTTGCATTACCAAGTTGAATCAATAATGAACAATACACATTATGTCCCAGACAACATTCTAAACATTTTAAACAGGCTGATGTAAATGCATCATAAAAATCCATCAAAGTGGGAAATATTTTTCATTTTCAGGTGATATGCCTGGGGTGACACAACTAATAAATGGGACAGTAAGAATGTTCAGAGTGTCAGAGATTGCCTGTAGAGTGCCACCCCGTGTAGACACTGGATGAATGTATAAACACACAACTGATATAACAGTATATATCAGTATATTACAGATCTTGGCATGTGAGTCTCTAAACATTCTTTCCAGAGGAGTAAAGAGAATGGCCCCATTCTTGGTGCTGATCCCTAAGTAAATTAACAACCACACTAGTCCCCTGACTAGTATGTATCAACTTCTGAGTGTGTGGTCTTCTTTGATGAGGCTTGTAAAGAGCTGAATTATCTGCAACCACATCAGTCTGTGGGCAGTTTTTAGAAATAAACTAGGAGAATGTCTATGATGTCTCTAGAAAGACTTGCTTTTTAAAGGCTTAGTTTTTTAGAGGCAATGTAGTAGAGACTGGGTGCCACAGAGATCTCATGGGTGAATCCTTGCAGGAGTCTCTGAGATGGGACCAATAAAGTGGTGGAAGTAGGTGTACAGCAGTCAGGCTGTATTTTTGGACCTATAGTGACACCTCCAGATCGCTTATGGAATTTAATGAGCTGGATCTTTAATTCAACTGAGAGAAGGTCCCATAAGAGCTCTTGGAGCAAGAACTTCACAAGAAAACCAAGGAAAGGGTTTTCACTCATTTTGAATGCCACAACTTATCACCTACAGTCATCTGGTAGAGTCTTTGAGCAATAGACTGACAATCACAAATCCATGCACTATGGGACACGGATGATAAATGGTGGCAAAAGTTACATGATGACTCCAATAGGCCAACCCACCATATCTACCAGAAAGAACTACTCTTTCTTTCTGATTCATATGACACTCTTTCAGATTCATATGATAGTCTATGATTAGCAACAGCCTACACATATTGATATGTCTAAAGGAAACAACACTATTTTTGTTTTATTTTGTTTTGGGGCCGTACCTAATAGTGCTCCTGGCTTACTCCTGGCTCTGTGCTCAGGGATCACTCTGGCCAGACTCAGGGGACCAGAAGCATGCCAGAGATAGAACCCAGGTTAGTGGTATGAAAGGCAAACACCCTACCCACTGTACTATCACTCTGGCCCCAGAAAACACTATTTTTGCAATGCCAGGGATTGAACTTCTGTATTATTTCTCTGGCCACCTCAGTGATGTCTTTTGAAGCATATGTGTTTGAGTTGGATGAAGTTGAATTTTTAAAAATTACTTATGCTGTTGGGCTAGAGTGATAGCACAGCAAGTAGGGTGTTTGCCTTGCATGCGCCCGGCCCAGGTTCGATTCCTCTGTCCTTCTTGGAGAACCCTGCAAGCTACCGAGAGTATCCCACCTGCACGGCAGAGTCTGGCAAGCTCTCTGTGGCATATTTGATATGCCAAAAACAGTAACAACAAGTCTCACAATGGAGACATTACTGGTGCGCGCTCAAGCAAATTGATGAAGGGGGGGAGGGGCAGACCTACACCAAGGAGAACTATTAAACCACCTTCTCTAAGTGCACAGTCTCACGTGCAGAAAATTCTGGGCTGAACCCTGACATTTCTTCTTCAGCTCCTGAAAGTCATCCAAGAGATGACTTTTCTGGATTATCATCTAGAGTTCATTGTCCTTCGGTCTTCTCAGAGTCAGCTTTTTTTCTGTCTCCAGTCTCCATAAATAAGACTTTTCCTCCCCACGCAGAAATTCATAGAGATTCCTAAAGTCATACTGGATTTTCTCTTTTTGAAGCTGTATCTTCTCCTAGAATTAAATGTGATCAAAAGGTTAAAAACAAACCAAACGTTCATCTAAGGAATAAATGCACAAATAAATGAGGTGCACAAAACAATGGGATACTATTCAGCCTTTGGGAAGAAAACTCACATATGAGTTCTGAATTCAATTCTGAGCACATCAAAAAAACCAAAGAAGGGGCTGTAGTGATAGCACAGTGGGTAGGGCGTTTGCTTTGCACAGGGCCGACCCAGGTTCGATTCCCAGCATCCCATAAGGTCCCCTGAGCACTGCCAGGAATAATTCCCGAATGCAGAGCCAGGAGTAACCCCTGTGCATCGCTGGGTGTGACCCAAAAAGCAAAAAATATTAAAAATAAAAAACAAAAAAACAAAGAAAACAAAGTAGGAAGAAACATGATAATTGAAGACATTACACTAAGTGAAGCAAGCCAGAAACAAAAGAACAAAGCATTTTATTTTTCTACTTATAACATGTTTTATTATTCTACTCATATTTTATTGTTCTATTCATATGAAGTTAACAGACAAAATCTTAGAGACAAAACACAAATGAAGGCTAACAGAAATAAAAAAAGATTAGGTGTTATTATGAGATATTGTTTAATGGAATAGTGTTTCTGTTTGGTGTGATGAGAAAGTTCTGAAGAGCAATAATGACAGAAAATATAAAAGACTAAATACGACTTAACTTTAAAACAGTAATTTCATGCTTTATGTATTTTATTATATACCCCTTCCCCCCACACACACAAAAGAAAGCTAGTTCAGTTGCTGTAATATTATTTTCTCATGTGTCATTTGAACTGGAAGAAAGTTCCAAGTTCCCTGCTGCCAAGTCATTCCTGGAAGAAAAGCATTAATATATGAGCATTAATATAGGCATTAATATAAGTGTTAATATTATACCAATAATATAGTAATACGTGACACAATGGGATTCGTGAATGGCTAAAACCTACTACCTTAGCAACAAGGTCTAGGTGGCATTGAGTCTCACCAAGGGGTCATGATTGCTGGTGTCTGGCAGTTGATGTGTCATCATATGATCACATTAACAGATGCATACAAAGATTCTGACAAGGTTCGACATCCACTCATGAAAAAAAAATTAACCTCAACAAAAACGGGATAGAGAGAATGAATATACCTCAACATGGTAACTGCCAGTTATAAAAAGTCCACCTCCAACATCATAGTCAACTGTGAGAAACTAAAAACCTTCCCTCTGAGCTCAGGCCCAAGGCAAAGATGTCACTTTCTCTACTATTATTCAATATAATTCTAGAAGTCCTAGCCACAGCAATTAAGCAAGAAAAAGAAACATATGGTGGGAAATACATACTGGTGAAGGGACAGGTGTTAGAACTTTGTATGACTGAAACCAAATCATGAACAGCTTTGTAACTGTGTATCTCAAGTGATTCAAAAAAAAGAGAAAAGAAAGAAAGAAAGAAAGAAAGAAAGAAAGAAAGAAAGAAAGAAAGAAAAGAAAGATAGATCACTAGAAACAACCAGTGTTGGTGGGTAAGTGGCAAAACAGAAACCCTCATTTACTACTGGTGGGATCATCATCTTTTCTGTCTCTATGGAGGACAGATATTTGTACACCTATGTTCACTGCAATGTGTGGTACAACAGTCAAGATACAGAAAGAGCCCAGATATTCTATCATAGATTGCTGGATATTAACACAAAGTGTTTTAGGCTTCATCAGTTCATTATCTCTTTTCCTCACCCCAGAGAGGCTTACAGTGCTCTTACGAACACCCCTAATCCTCCATGTTTATCTTTAACCTTTCCTTTGTGCTTTACCTCTCCTTCTGTGAGCTACCAAATTCAGGATGAAGTGGAACTTCTGTGGAAAGGACATAGACAGTTTTAATGCTTACTTACACTGATGGAGTTTCCTATATGTTCGAATCAAAATTCTCCCACTGTCCAAAATACCCTGGATGAGGGAGGAAAGAGTATACTCTGAGGAGCAGGAATAATAGTATTATGGGTAAGGTACTTCACTGGTACATGGTCAAACCAGGTTTGATCCCTAGCATCCCATACATTCCCTGAAGCACTGCAAGGAGTGATTTTTAAGCACAGAACCTGGAGTAACTCCTTAGTATTGCCTGGTGTGGCCCCAAAATCAAACTGAAATAAAATAAAAGAGCATACTTTGAGAGTGCAAGGTTAACATCTATTCATGAAAAACAGTGGCAGGAGTGGGAAGAAACCTTTATAAGAGCAAAATGGCTCACCAATCTGCAAAATCTAACTGCCAACTGAAGGTTACATCAAAATTTTCATAAACAATTTGATGTTCAGGGATTGAAGAGATAGTACAGCAGAGAAGGTGTTTGCTTTAAATGCAACTGACCCAGATACAAACCCTGGCAATACATATGGTCCCACCAAACATGACTGAGTGCAGAGCCAGGAGTAAGTCCTGAGTACCTCCAAGTGTTGCCCCAAATCTAAATAAATAAAATTAACTGTGAGGCCCAAAAAGCAGGCTCCTCAGCACCATGACAGCCCATAGCTAACATTAAGTGTCAACTAGGCCTCGGTTACTGTTTCCCCAAAGCAGGACTTGCAGTTTCTGGTAAACTCCCAGTTGAGTAATGTGCCTAGATAAGGATCTGGGCAGTTGGGTCTGGCCGGTCATGAGGGGTCACTGTACCCTCCTTAGAAACTATTGTTAATCATTGCTTAATGGCTGACCACCATTGTAATATGGCCAATGCTAAAAAAATAGAACTCCAGCAGTCGAAGACCTCCAGAACCAGCCACAACCATGCTGAGACCACTCTCCACACGCATGAAAGTACCGGCAGAGGAACAAAGGCATGCGGGTTCCAGGGCAGAGATCTCCAAGCCTGCTCGGATCGGAGCTGAGCATCCTCCACCCAGATCCTCCATCTTCCAGTAGGCAGGGGTCACACCCACCAACTGACCCCCCAGCGCCGTGTAATCCCATCAACGGCCAAGACCCAGAGACTATCAAACCCAGCTCCCGGAAGAGAACAGCGCAGAGTCTCCTGCCCCCATGCCTAGCTGTCCTTGCTGGGGCCCCTTGGAGGGGGTGAGGGGCGGGTTGAGTTTCCCTCCCTGCCCCAAGCAGAGCTCCGGCAGCCGAAGACCTCCAGAACCAGCCACAACCATGCTGAGATCACTCTCCACATGCAGGAAGGTACTGGCAGAGGAACAAAGGCATGCGGGTCCCAGGGCTGAGATCTCCAAGCCTGCTCGGATTGGGGCTGAGCATCCTCTACCCAGATCCTCCATCTTCCAGTAGGCAGGGGTCACACCCACCAACTGACCCCCCAGCGCCATGTAATCCCATCAACGGCCAAGACCCAGAGACTATAAAACCCAGCTCCCGGGTTAATAAGACATCTTATTATCTTATTCTTACTTTGGATAATCTGGCAGGCTACTGAATGTAACCTGCCCACACGGCAGAGTCTGGCAAACTCCCCGTGGCGTACCCAATATGCCAAACACCAGTAACAATGATGGGGCTCATTCTCCTGACCCTGAAAGAGCCTTGAATATGGCATTTTTTAAAATCTCAGGGCTAGGACAAAGGAGACATTACTGGGGCCTGCTCGAGGCAATTGACAAACAACAGGATGATCGTGATCGTGATCACTAAAAATAGACCAGTATATAAATTGCTTAATTCTGAACCCTATATAAACTGCTTGTGATCTGGAGTCGGGGTCCTTGTCAAGACTCCACTAAATTGGATGAGACTTGGACCCTAGCTCGAGCTAGCTCTGGCTTGGGCTAGTAATAAAATTCCTTTGCTTTTGCATTATCGTGTGTGTACTTGGTCTCTCCATAATTGGGGATCTGAAACTTGGGCACAACAAAATCATTATCTTAACACATACACAATTGTTTAAAAATATGAAAACAATAAATTCAAATTCCTACCTCCTAACTAGTTGTTTCCTTATATCCAGTTGCATATTTTCACAGTTCTTTATCAGCAGACTTAGCATTTTCATAGTTTCCTCAAATTTTTCCTAAGGGAGAAAGTGGATAAATTAGGTGCAATCAATTTGACAATCCTTCAGTAGTGACCTATGAGGAATACCAGTCTTCCATGAACAACACTGAATTAAATTCTTGAATAACAAGAATATTAGAGTAACACTGACTGTTCATAGGTTCCTTACACTCTGAGAGAAAGCATGCAGATGTTTGTGCATTAATATATTTGGTAATACTGGAAAGGAAGTGTCTAATTGGTAAATTTTTTTTTGCATTTTTGGGTCACACCCAGCGATGCACAGGGGTTACTCCTGGCTCATGCACTCAGGAATTACTCCTGGCAGTGCTCAGGGGGCCATATGGGATGCTGGGAATTGAACCTGGGTTGGCCACGTGCAAGGCAAATGCCCTACCCACTGTGCTATTGCTCCAGACCCTAATTGGTAAAAATTTTAACATCATTTTTGAGCAACAGAAATTGAGACTTAGTAACTCAACAAGTAAATACAGGTAGGTGGTTGAATTGTGATTCTAGGCTCAACACTAAGAGATTCCTGCCACTGCCATGTAATCCTTTCATGGCACACATTTAACAGAGAAACGTAAGTATCATCCACGTGGAGATTGGTTTGTTTGTTTGTTTGTTTTGCTTTTAGATCATATCCAGAGATTCTCAGGGGTTACTCCTGTCTCTGCACTCAGGAATTACTCTTGGAAGTGCTCAGAGGACCATACATAGATACCAGGAATCAAACCTATGTCAGCATATTCTAGAGAAATGCCCTTTCCACTGTATTATCGTTCCAGCTCTCAGGTGGAGATTTTATAACATTTCTATAGAGGGTTACAGATTTTCTCCACATTTCTCTATATTGTTACTTATCTGTCTCTCAGTATATATTTCTGGGAAGTTTTCCCCAACCCTCCCATAACTTCATAGTGGCCCGCTCCCATTTCCCAAAACAATGAACTTCCCCAGAGATACTCCTCTGGTTTGCTTACCCTTTAGCTAGGATAGCTAAAAGCTTTTGTGTCTTTGTCCTTGAGTTTGCAGGTGTATGTCCTGGTTTTTTAAAGTATATACACTGCATGAAGTAATAGAGACCGTCAGGTTTAACACATTTACTCTAAAGCAGAAGTTCCTCAGAGGCATATTGAATTGGCACAAGTTTGACCATTCCATGGAAGGGTGGACAGTAAGATTCTGATTTAGTGGAGACCTATCATAACCTACTTTTTCAGAAAAAAAGACATGATTTGAATTGTGGTTCCAGATCAAATCCTGGGATTCAGGTTTTAAAAGAAAAATCTCACATCTCCGGGAGCAAGAAGAGAACCAGTACTTGTGAATTCCTTGCCCTACACACTCACTGTGTAGCCTTGGCAGACGTCTTCCACAAAAGCTACAGGTGCTGTGTCCTTTGTGCTGTGTCCGCTCACAGTGCCAGCAGATGAGCTGTTCTTCGTCTTTACAGAACAGGTGGAGTTGCTCTCTGTGTTCCTCATTCAAATTTTCACATTGCATGCCCTTGATGATCTCAATGAGACTGCTGAGCTGTTTTACAGGGCGGATACTCTCCACTTGAAATGGTAAGGAACACAGGGGACAGCCGAGTGACCCCCGGGATGATTTCACCTTTGCTTGTTCCTCAGTGAACATCAATATGTACCCCTGACAATAAATGTGCCCTAAGGTGATGCTCACGGGCTCCGTCATCAGCTTCTGGCACAGGTGGCAGGTGTCTTCCTGCTTCAGTTCCTTGGTAGCCTTGGCCAACGTCATGCTTTCCTTGAACATTCTGAATATGGGATTTAGAAACACAGATGAAGCTGCAATATTTCACTGTGATGGAGGTATACTTCCCTGAGTTTCTGTGTCTCTGGTCTAGATGCCAACTTCCTGAAGAAAAGAAACAGATTTGAGAATATACATATATACAATATTGTGGGGGCTGGAGAGATAGCACAGCGGGTAGGGCGTTTGCCTTACATGTGGCTGACCAGGGTTTGATTCCTCTGCCCCTCTCGAAGAGCCCGGCAAGCTACCAAAAGCATCCTGCCCACAGGACAGAACCTGGCAAGCTCCCCATGTAGTATTGGATATGCCAAAAACAGTAACAAGAAGTCTCACAATGGAGACGTTACTGGTGCCCGCTCGAGCAAATTGATGAACAACGGGAGAACAGTGCTACAGTGCTACAATATGTGTGGTGGAGGAAGATAGCAGTCAACTAGGGCCATTTCAATCTAAATAAAATTTAGCGTTATTTCTCCATCCCACTGGCTACATTTCAGCTGTGTAACTGCTGTTTGTGGCTGTCACTCCATGACTGCACTGAGAGAACATACGTCACTGGTGACTTTTTGAAACAAGTGCTATGAGGAAGAAGCAAGAATGGCCTGCTCTCAGAAGTCGTAGCCAAGGGAGAGAACTCAGCGAGGGCAGTTTTTCAACTCTAGTGAACATCAATGACTAGGATGAAAATTATTTCTTTGCAAGGGGAAGGAACACACAGGCAACTGGGAGGCCTAGGAAGAAGTTCATAGAAACAGCTGCTTTTCACAGCAGATAGGGCGTTTGCCTTGCATGCAGCCAACCCGGGTTCGATTCCCAGCATCCCATATGGTTCCCTGAGCACCGCCAGGAGTAACTCCTGAGTGCAGATCCAGGAGTAACCCCTGTGCATCACCGGGTGTGACCCAAAAAGAAAAAAAAAAAAGAAACAGCTGCTTTTGCCTTTCCAGGATGGAGGGGTCCAAGAAGGCTTTGGATTCTCTATCCCCAGGTCCAATGTCCTTGGAACTCTCATTTGATTTTCTACACTCTACTCATCCACCGAAATCTCTCTTACACCCAGAGTTAAAAAAACAAACAAACAAAAACAGGTTAATAACATCAAGGTCCAGATTTAACCCGAGAACAGTAGAAGCCCCGGAAGCTGAATGCCCTCTCTGTCATCCGCCCTGACCTGGGGTAGAGAATTAAAGGAGCTAAGAGGAGTCTTGAAGACAGAGAGATGTCTCCTCCCCAGACGGGTGGCCTCTGAGAAGTTTGGTTTCTGGAACCCAGGCTGAAGGAGAGGCCAAGTAGTTACTATGGGAATCAGAGGGCTGACCCTCTGCAATCTACCAGGGAGGACCTGACAGCTAGAAAGGAGAGGTCCTAAAGAGGAGAGATTAGCTTTGGTCTCTCAATAGGAGACTGTCTACCTTACTGACAGTGATTCAGCACAGTTACTTCCAGGAATAAGACTCTTCTCTAAGGAGAGTCTCGAGTATAAGAAGCATTAAGATTAGTGTGCAACGCGTGTTTCATATTTATGGAGAAAGGAGAAATTGGGAAGGAGCAGAAAGAATATTCGAAGGAAAAATAGCCTAAAACGTTTCTTAATATATAAAACAATTAATGAATCTCAAGGGAGAGATTTCAGAAGGACAGCTGCCTTAAGGGGAACAGGGGAAATTTCCTTCGGTTTAACTTGCCTTTAAAAAAAAATTCTCAGAGCACAATCTGAACCAAATGCAATCATTACATGTTAATTTCTTTTCTATCTAGGAGTTAAAGGTGTAGGTTTCAGTTACCTGACGTTTGGGAGCGCCGGGGGGAGGGTCTCGGAGCCCTGCAGAGCCTGTTCGATCCCCAGCACCAAGCAGGGTCCGCGAGCCCCTCCTAGATGACTCCGGGAAAGAGTCCGGGTCGAGCCCTGAGCACAGCGCGAGTGATCCCCAAAGAAAACAACGGCAACAATAGCAAACGATGATGTCATTTCCTTTTGTAAATAGTGCAATAGCAGTCTTTCACAGTAAAAGCCCAGTCCCCGCTGTTTCAAGCCTAGGAAAGGCCGAGGGGTTCTGGGGGTGCACACCGCTCTTCCACTCTTGCAACCCCACTCCACGCCTGCCCCGTTTCTTGGTCCCGCCCTTCTGGCACCCAAACCGGGGGAAGGACTCGCATTTCCCCCTCAACCCTTTCGCTCCAGCACTCACCCCGGGAATCTTCAACTTTTCTAGCGAAGAAGGTTCGCCCGGGTTCAGTTCTTTTCCCCCCAAAGCTCATCAGATCTGTCGCAGGAACGGAGAAAGGATGACCCACTGGGGGAGTCTGCAACGCCGCACGCAGTGTAACCAATCAAGTGGAAAGATGTTTGATTGGCTCCGAGAACTGGCCAATCAGAGGCCCCAGAACACAGTCCGGGTAAGTAAGGGGAGGGAGAATTGCGTGGTGGGAGGGAGGAGCTCAGATTTGGGTGCCACAAATCTGGGTTCGAGGTCAAGAGGCTGAAAGGACCCAGACGGCCCTAAGTTAGTGTCAGTTGGGGGTTCAATTGGAAGGTATCCTGGCAGGGACCTCCTTCCAACCCGCGGAATCCCCACCCACTTCCTAACTCCTGCCTCTGCGCACTCCTTTGAGTCTCTGAGTCTCATAAATAACTGAATTTTGGATGTGTGAATTACCAAAGAGAAGGAATGGGGTTTTCTCCTGAACAAACACAACATGGAAAACTAGCAAGGGAACTCTTCAAAATGGGAGAACTGGGTTCTTGTAGAAAATAAATCCGTATCCCTTGTCATACACGAAGGTTAACTCAAGTTGACCAAAGGCCTAGAAGTTAGATCAGAAGTCATAAAATACAAAGGAAAATATTGGCAGAGTTCTCCAGAATCTGGACATCTAACCAGTCATTCTTGACCTGATTCCACTGACAAAAGTAACAAAACCAAAGTAAGCAAGTGGGAATACATGAAATTGAAAAATTTCTTCATGGCAAAAGAAACTTTTATATAAAACGACACCCAAATACCTGAGGGTAATAGTCACACATAATATTTCAAATAACGGTCTAACATCAAAAATTTATAAAGCACTCACAAGGCACAACAACAGCAACAAAAAACCAATAATCCTACCCAAAAAAATGGTAAGAGAGGAATAGACACTTCCATGAAGAAATACAACAAATAGCCAAAAAACATGTGAAAAAATTGTCATTATAATTTTATTATCAGGGACTACAAATACAATATTACCAGGGTATCATCTCATGCTAGTATGGCACATATTTAAAAAAATGAAAACAAACGTTGACAGGGATGTGGTGAAAAGGAATCCTCATTCACTGCTAATGGATCTGGCCTAGCCTATATGTCAAACAATATGGAAATTTTGTTGAAATGGATTTCCCATTTGGTCCAGCTATCCTGCTCTAGGTGTCTAAGTTTATACACACCTATGTTCATTGCAGTTCTTACTATAATAGCCAGGATATGGAAGAAACCCAAATGTCCAACAAAAGATAATTTTTTTTAAATATAATACTATTGTGTATACCATTTTTTTTGTATTTGCAGCCAATAGGAAAAAATGTATATTTGACAGAAGTTTTTATAACATTGGGGGAGTGAAATAAGCCACAGGAAGAAGAACAAATACAGAATTATCTCTCTCATCTGTGGTATATAAATTAAAAAATCAAGGGTATGGATGATATCAATTGACAGGAAATTTCAGGTATGAGAATACAGACCTGAGAGTGCCAGATTTGGTGGGAAGGGGTGAGGGAATAAATAAATTGCCAGAAGTAACACAGGAACGTTACCGTCTCAAGCACATGGATGAACTAAGGGAGGTAACAATATACATTAAAGCCATAATTGTTAATCAACAAATAATGAAGGAGGATCACAGGGGAGGGAACATTGAACTGGAGGCGATGTCGGCATGGGGGAGAGCCATGAGCACTTCAGCAGCAGGGCTGTGCAGTAACTTTGTACATCAACACCAGACACTAGCACAGTATTGTAACCCTATTACCTAAACGATAATAATACGCAAATTTTAAAAATTAACTTGCAACTATGTCCTTGTCTGAACTTTAGACTTTGCCCACAAGATCTCTCTGTTGATAGTAAGAAAAGAATCAGTTACTTAGATCCAAGTTGTCTTCCTTTTACAAAACAGGCAACCCACCCCCTTCCATTCATGAGTTCCAGGGACCATGATCTTCATTCTCTGAACCTCAAGGAAAGTAACTACCCTCCTAAACCCTCTAGGAGGCAGTCACACTACACCTATAATGTCCACTTTACCTGGGAACTAAACTCCTGACTCAGAAACGCAGGGTGGCTGTGGAACTCAGGTCAGCATGAGATTTAGCTCCAGAAAAACAAACAAACAAACAAAAGGTGTGGAAAGTGATGGAATACTGAATGCCTGTGACAAATCATGATGAACAACTTTGTAAATCACGGTGTCTATATGAAGAGTAAGGGGGAAAATGAAAATAAATTCAAAGAAGGCTAAAAAGTACTAAAACTAAAAAAGATGTGGAAGTGGCCACCACCCCAGATAAGGTTATTTTCCTTCCCCAAGGAAAGAATTCTGCTAGGAGACTAATTTCTAATCCTATGCAGGCCACCTAAACAGTAACCTTGGGAAAGGTTTTCAGGAGGGAGGGTGCAGGGGAAGGGCAGGCAAGAGGGGGTACTCCACTGTACCTGGGCTCTGTCCAAGAAAGAATAAAAGGATAAGACAATGGTCTAGAGAGATTTATTAAAGAGTTAGTATGCACCTGAAACATGAATCAGGAGTTCTCAAGGGCAAGCCATGCACTGGGTTTGGGATGAGGGTTGTTTGAGGAGTGAACTAAGGGGTGGAATATACATAAGGGATTAAGCATGAGGAACATCATTGGGCTGATGCCAAGGTTGCGCACACATGAGTACATTCTTCTCAGACATCACCTATTTTAGTAGCAGCTGATTATGCAGCTAAGGAATATGCATGTGAATGAGGAGAAAAGTGAATTTCAATCAGGGCTCTATCCACTGAGAATGCTCCAGCGACTGGTTGGAAGTGATTTTTCACAGTCCTCCCTTTATCACAAAGTTGGGAGCTACAGTTTATCTTGCGTGGAGTTTCAAGGCTCCTTAGTTGTTCTGTAGACACATGAGCAAGTCCTTTTTTTATTTCTCATAGTTTTCCATGATAAATAAAATGTAATAAATAAAATGTAATAGGGTTACAATACTGTGCTAGTGTCTGGTGTTGATGTACAAAGTTACTGCACAGCCCTGTTGCTGAAGTGCTCATGGCTCTCCGCCATGCCGACATCGCCTCCAGTTCAATGTTCCCTCCCCTGTGATCCTCCTTCATTATTTGTTGATTAACAATTATGGCTTTAATGTATATTGTTACCTCCCTTAGTTCATCCATGTGCTTGAGACGGTAACGTTCCTGTGTTACTTCTGGCAATTTATTTATTGAAAAATAAAACCACCATCTCCGAATGCAACAGTTATATATACCTAGGTCGAGAAATCAACATGATGAATGACCTGGCACCTGAGTTGCGCAGGAGGAAGAGAGCGGCTTGGAATGCCTTCAAGAGCATTGAAGAAATAACTAAAAGGACAAAGAACCTCCAACTACGAGCACATCTCTTTGATTCCACTATTCTTCCTGCATTAACATATGCCTCAGAGACCTGGACCCTACGAAAACAGGATGAGAACACTATTCTCTCAAAGAGGAATCGAAAGAACTATGCTTGGAATATCACGATTCACTCAAATGAGAGATAGAATCCGGAGTTCTGATCTTCGTCAACGCTCAAGAATCAGGGACGCTGTCTCATTTGCCAAGACATCAAAAATCAGATGGGCTGGACACGTAATGAGGTTTACAGACAACCGCTGGACTAGAGCCATTACTGATTGGATTCCACAAGACATCAAAAGATCACGTGGACGCCCACCTATAAGATGGTCAGACTTCTTCGTCAAGACCCTAAATGATCGGTTTGAGGCTCTACATGTTCCTAAAACGAACAGATACCATTGGGCTACACTAGCACGCAACCGGGATGAATGGAGACGTTACTGGCGCCCGCTCAAATAAATCGATGAATAACGGGGATTAAGTGATTAAGTGATTAAGTGAGTTTTCCATACTGCGTCTCCGATAACAAATCCCGAATCCTGAGTGCTCTCTGGAAGGGCTTTTGTATCTTGCTAAAATAAATTCAGGGAGGTCTAGGAGTCCCAAGCATCATCAGATCAGAGTTGTTCTGTTTTATTTTTGTTCTTGTGCCACACCTGACTGTGCTCAGGGCTTAGTACTGCTTCTGAGCTCAGGAATCATTCCTGGCCAGGCTCAGGTGATCATTTGGGCAGCTAGGAATCAAAGTATGGCTGGGTACGTGCAAAGCAAGTACTCTACCCACGCTACTATCACTCTGGTCCTCCCACAGATCATCTTGAGGGTATTTTGAATGTCAAAGGCAAAGACTAAAATATGGACCTCAGGAACTATATGAGCCTTTTCCTACCACCACCACCATTCTCTGGTCAGCTGGAAATTCTGGATTCTTTTTATCACTTCTCCAGACAAAGACCAAAGGCTTGTTTAGTAGAACAAGTCAAGTTTCCCCCAAGTTCAGGGGACCAGAGGTGGTGTCAGGGACAGAAACTGGGTCAGCATCAGGCAAAGCAAGTATCCTCCCTGGGTACTCTCTTTCTCTCCGGCCAGCCCCCATATTCTCACACTTCAGTCATTGTTTTCTTTTGTTTCCTGTGTTGGTATAGCACTGTAGCACTGTCCTCCCATTGTTCATCGATTTGTTCGAGCAGGCCCAGTAACGTCTCCATTGTGAGACATTGTTGTTAGTGTGTTTGACATATAGAATACATCAAGGGGAGCTTGCCAGGCTTTGCTGTGCGGACGAGATATTCACAGTAGCTTGCTGGGCTCTCCGAGAGGGACAGAGGAATCAAACTCCCGTCAGCTGGGCCGGTCCACGTGCAAGGCAAATGCCCTACCGCTGTGCTATAACTCCATTCCATGTCAGTATAGCTTCCTTTTTAATGCTTTTCTCTTGCCACAGATGTGATTTTAAGTTGCTGAGTCATCATCCAGGGCTTTTCTTACCATGATGCTTGCTTTGCATGTTGCCAAACCAGCTTGGTCCCTGGCACCACATTTGGTCCTCTGAGCTCTGGGGAAATTTGACTTGTTCTACTGAACAAGTCTTTGGTCTTAAAAAATATGTATATATGCCTGCGAAGTGATAAAAAGACATCCAGAGGAGGGAGCTGCTGAAATTTGGCTTTTGAACTAGCAGCCTCACACATATTAGAGATGTGCTTTAAGCCACTGAGCTCTTGAAGTTTGAATATTTTTAATTTTTGTTTTATTTTTGTTTAGGGCTTGGGACACGTCTAACTGCTCTCAAGGTTTTCTCCTGGTTTTGTGCTCAGGATTGAGTCTTGGAGGTCCTCAGTGGGGGCCCTATGCAGTGCCAGGGACTCATAGGTCTCCCTCATACAATGAAAATGCTTTAAACCCTATATTATCTCTCTGGACAGTAGAAAGATTCTTAAATCAGGGCAAACCATAGAAGAGACTTCAGGGCCAATAGGCTAAAAAACAAACAAACAAAAAACATAGCTCAACCTCCCTAGCAAAATGGAGAAACATAAATTAAGTTTAATATTAAGTGCCTTTTGTACTATATATCAGGGATATAGTATAGTTGGTAAGGCACTTGCCTTACACACAGTCAACTTGGATTAATGCCAGGCACCATATATGATCCCCGAGCAGTACCAGGAATGATTCTTGAGTTCAGAGCCAGGATTACTTGAGTAAACCCTGATTACTGCAGGGTGTGGCCCCAAATAAAATTAATTAATATAAAATCAAATTGCACTTCAAATATAGCAGTTTATAAAAATTCACAAATCATAGAGCAATACAAAAATATATGGAACAGTGAGAGCTCTTTAGTATGTATATGTGCAACAAATAATAGCCACCAATTTATTTTAGGTTAAATTTTATTTTTTGACAAACAAGATATAAAATTCATTCGGTTCTCAGAAATTTTTGAACTTATAATTGTGGCTAGGATATTATGGAATTATAACAGGCAATCATTAGTAAAATCAACAGCATGATACTGAGTTTGGGATTTGATAAAACTTGGTTTTAATTATAGTTATTTAAAATTTCAAAAATTTAGTAACATGGATTAAACAATTTCCATTTTATTAATACTTCCAACACTACTTCCCCGTTCCCACCACCAGTGTCAGTAAGCCACAACTACTGTCTCAAGATTCTCTTTCTATCCCCAGATTTATTATTACAAATTACTGTTCTATTGACACTATCTCAGAGTTCATTTCTGTTAAGGACTGTCTAATAATCCCTTGCTTTGTTTCTTTATATTTCACATATGAATGTCATTTGGTGATTGTGTTTTTCCTTCAGACTCACTTTGTTCAGAATACCTTCTAACCCATCCAGCTTGTAGCAAACGACATTATTTCATCATTTCTCTTAGCTAAGTAGTATTCTCTTGTGTGCATATTCCAGAATTTCAAGATCCATTCATTTGTTGGGTTCTTTCTGGGTCTTCAATATTGTAAATAATGTTTCAATGAACATAGTTATGCATATCAATGTTTTAGCATCCTTGGGATAGGTGCCTAGGAGAGAATTTCTGGGTTATATGGAAATTCTATTCTTAGTTTCCTCACCTTTTTAATGAGGGTTGGATTAGAATACAGTCCATCAATATTGTGAAGTGTTCTGTCCATGTTTTCTTCAGTTTATTTTTATGGATAAAGGCCTGATATCAAGGTTCTTCATCAATTTTTAATTAACCTTTGTGTATGGTGGATCTAGTTTTATTTTTTGCATAAGGCTAGTCTGTTTTCCCAGCACCACTTGATGAAGAATTTCCTTCCTCCACTTCATGCCTTTATACATCTTTCATGAATGAACTGTCCATACATTTGAGGGGTTAACTCTGGGTTCTAAATTCTATTCCATTGTTTTGTGAGTCTCTTTTTAGTCCAGTACTTTGCTGGTTTGATTACTATATCTGTTAGTATATTTTAAAGTCTGGAAATTTAACACTTTAAATTTTTTTCAGGATTACTTTGACTGTTGTTGGATTTTTATCATTTTCAGATATTTCAGAAATGTTTGTTCTGTGTTCTTTAGGAATTCCAACAAAATTTTGGTGGGGATTGCACTGAATCTCTAAGATGCTTTGGGTAGGACAATCATATTAACAATATTGATTCTTCCAATCAACAAACATAGAATTTTCACCTATCCCCTGTGTCTTTCTTTCAATAGTTATTTAAAGTTCTCACTAAATAAATATCACCCCTCCTTTCTTAAGCTGATTTATAGATACTTGAGGGTTTTTTTTGTCATAGTCATAAATGAGTTTTAAAAAATTTCTTTCCCTTACCCAACATTGTTTACCTATAAGAATGCAAGTATTCTTGAACCAAAGTTTGTTGGCAAGTTACAATACTCGCCAACACTGTCACTTATTAATTGTTAAGATCTTGTTCAAGTTACTGTACTGACTTAGTCTGTTTCCTTGAGTTTAAGTAGAATTGTTTTACATAGAACTATTGTGAAATTTAATTAAATTGTTATGTATGTGTAAAGCATTTGGACAGTGGTTGGCACATAATGAATGATATATAAATGCTTGTACAATAAAATGAGTTTTATTTAAAAAAAAGAATCCAACATTGATTTTTATATCCTGTCACTTTACTGTAAAGTTTTACTGGGTTTTGGTGGCATCTTTAAGAATTTCTAAATTCATTGTCATGTCATCTGGGAATAATGTGAATTTGACTTCTTCATTAGCAGTTTGAATTATTTAGTTTCTCTTTTTATCTTATTATTGTGGCTAAGATTTCCACAAGATTGCCCCCGCGCCTGGGTGTTCCTTCCCGGAGTCCCTTGGAGGGGAACGGGTTGAGCTTTCCTCCCCGCCCCGACCAGGGCTACGGCAGCCGAAGACCTCCAGGACCAGCCACCACCATGCTGAGACCACTCTCCGCACACATGAAGGGACTGGCAGAGGGACAAAGCCACGCGGGTTCCGGGGCCGAGACCTCCAAGCCTACTCGAATTGGAGTCGAGCATCCTCCACCCAGATCCTCCAAATTCTTAACAGAACTTTTTTTTATGACATCTTATTGTCTTATTTCTACTTTGGACAAACTTGCAGGCTATCGAATGTAGCCTGCCCACAGGGCAGAGTCTGGCAAACTCCCCGTGGCGTACCAAATATGCCAAATACCAGTAACAATGATGGGTCTCACTCTCCTAAATAGCCTTGAATATAATCTCAGGGCTAGGATGAAAGAGACGTTACTGGGGCCTGCTCGAGGCAATCGACAAATAACAGGATGATGAAATGAAATGAAATGAAAAAAGATTTCCAATATCATATTCAATAATAACAGTGAGAGTAAACATCTTGTCTTGTGCCTGATTCTGGAAAAAAAAACTTAAGCTTTTCTCCATTAAGTATAATGTTGTCTCTCAGTTTGTTATAACAGCTTCTACTGTATTGAGGTAAGCTTTTTAAATTCCTATTTTGTTGAGTTTCTTTTTAAAAAAAATCATAAATTGTTATCATTGTTAAATCATAAATCTTATTGAATTCTTTGTCTTCATGTATATCAGTGATCATATTGTTTTAATTCTCCCTTTTATTAATGTGGTTATCACATCCTGCCATCTTAGGATGGAACTCCATGGTGTTATCATGATGTGTGGTTCGTTTAATGTAACATATTGAACTTGATAGAATTATATTGAGGATCCTTGCTTCTATATTCATCAGGGATATTGTTCTTTTGTTTTCTTAGTGGTGTCTGTCTCCTTTTAGAATCAGGTTTATGTTGATCTAATTGGAAGTGTATGGGAAAATTCCTATCTCTTCTGCTTTCTATAAATGCTTCAGAAGGATGGGTAATAGATTCTCTCTGAACGTTTAGAAAACTTAGTAAGAACCATTCTGGATCAGAGAATTTTTTTTCTTGAAGAGTTTTTGATTACTGTGTCTCTTCTGTAATATAAATATGCCTATTTAGATTGTCTACTTCCTCTTGACTCACTTTCTGAAGGTTGCACAACTCTAGAAATTTATCACCTTTTAGATTCTTCAATTAACTGGCATGCAGCTTTTCAAAGCAATCTCATATGACCTGTTGTTATTTTATATTTTTTTTCTTTTTGGGTCACACCCGGCAATACTCAGGAGTTACTCCTGGCGGTACACAGGGGACCATATGGAATGCTGGGAATCGAACCCAGGTCGACAGCGTGCAAGGCAAAAATGCCCTACCCGCTGTACTATTGCTCCAGCCCCAACCTGTTGTTATTTTTGCTTTAACTGTTGTGGTCTCTTCCAATTCATTTCTGATAGGATTTGTCAGGTTTATCTCTCTTAACAACTCTAGGATTTACCATATTACTTAGATCAGTTTCCTAGAACCATTTGGATCACAGTTCAAAATACTCACCTACTTTTTTTACATTTAATTGGGAAATGAATAAAATAAAATATGAACAGTAAAACTTAAAGTATAGAGTGTATTCTAAATATTTACATATGATGATAACTTAATTTTCAAAAAAAATTCTGAAGTGGGAAATGTTTATTTTCATTTTTCATATAGAGAACTGAGGAGGCTATTTGGCTGGTGTGATATAATAAAAGGGAGAGCAGGAATTTAAGGCATCTGTAACAAATAACAAATATGCTATATTTCCCAGCACCTGAGTATACAAAGTATAATAGCTTCGTGGAAATTAATTACCCTTTCCAATTGTCTAGAGACATGTGCCAATCTTATTTATTGCTTCTGATTCTCTGAGTAGCTTTAGGCATTCTTGACTTCAAATACCTTAGGAATCCTTGGATATTTTCTTCACATCAAAGTAACGCTCAGAAACATTGCATTCAGTATGAACCTCCAAAGAGACGGCATTTGGTAAACGTAGCTTCACAGCAGAACTCCTAAAATAAGCAGAGACCAGTGACCTCCTTTGTGGGACTGAAGGGAGTATTCAGATCAATTTAGTCATTCTCTTTTACTCTGTGTTCATCTAGCACTTACCTGCTCAAGGTGTTTTTCACATCCTATAGAAAAACAAAGGTAGACAGTGAGTATGGGAACCATGAATATTTTATGGGACTCAATACATGTTCGTACTCCTAATAAACCCGCCTTCCAAGTAAGTAAGGTGATTCCAGTATTATAAATTGATGAATTCGGGGCTGGGGCAACAGCACAGCAGGTAGGGCATTTGCCTTGCTTGCAGCCAACCTAGGTTTGATTCGCAGCAACCCATATGGTTCCCGGAGCACCGCCAGGAGTAATTCCTGAGTGCAGAGCCAGGACTAATAACTGTGCACCACTGGGTGTGACCCAAAAAGAAAAAAATAGAAATTGATGAATTCAGATGTAAAATGATTCTGTTCCAGTCCCCTAGGACAGTCAGCATAATAGTATGTTTATCAGTCTCTAAGTCTGTTGTCTTCATTGCTGAGGCCTGTGGGGGAGCAATTGTGTCTGCAACCACATCAGTTGTGAATTACTTGGGAAAATAGGACAGGAAGATGTACAGTGTATCTCTTGTTTTCAGTGACCTAATTTCCTTCACAATGAGCTCATGTTAGAGATTACTTATCGCAGAGGTCCCTAGTGGTTAACCTATAGAGAGCCCCTGACAACTGGTACATTAATGTGATTAGAGCAGCTATTACATATTATTTGAGCAGTCATATGACATTCTCAACCCCAGAAAACCTCTGAATATATATATGTACATATATACTTGTACTTATGTGCATATATATGGTTCTAGAATAATTATCTCCAACTATTTATATAAATAGGCTGGATTTTCATGCAGTAGAAAGAAGGCCCCACAGAGCTCCTAGAGCAAATATTTTTGTTTTATTTAGTGTGAGAATATCAGGGAAAAGTTTATCACTCATTCTGTAAACTTTGCTTTATCCCCTACCTGAAAGAGTTTATTCAGGAGATAGTTTGGCAGTCAACAACACAGAGTTCTGTGCACATGGGACAGAGACAGACAAATGGTTGCGAAATTATCTCATGTCTCTACCTATCCTAGGAGTCCACCATACAAACACTAAGGTGGTGAAATGTTTTGCTTCACATAAAGACACTCTAGAGACTAATAGAAGGACCCTGGAGATATTAATATGTATAGGAAAAATTCTGCTCCCTATTTCCCACATTGGTGTCCAGTGTTGAATGAAGCACCAGGCCTTGTCGATCTTCCTGTATTCCTCAGCATGCTCCTCTTAGCACCTCTGAAGCAAATGCCTCCATTCTTTCGATCAAGTACACACCCTCACCTGCAATAAATTCTGGGCTGAGCTCTGACATTTCTTCTCTAGTTCCAGGATGTGGTTCTTGAGTTCCAGGCTCTGCTTTTCCAGGTTGGCTTTATTGTCCTGCAAACTCTTCAGAGTCTGGTATTTTTCTTTCTCCAATTTCATTATAAGAGACATCTCTTCTTCGTGAAGAAAAGTATGAATATCCTCAAAGTCTGAGTGAACACGTGTTTTCTGACGTTCTATCTTCTCCTAAAATGAAGAATGTATGCTTAAAAAGTGAGTGATGAGAAACAAAAATGTCCATGGATGGATAAATCAAATCAACACATATATAAATAAAATACAATTCAATCTTGAAAAATAAAGGAAACTCTGATAACATGCTTCAGTATGAATTCTGAGGATACTGTAGGAATAAAACAGAAACAAAAAAAGCACTCAATTTTTGTATGATTTTACAAAATAGTTAAAAATAGTTATATTTACCACATAAAACAGTGGAGGGTCAGAGCAATACTACCGGTAGGTAGGACAAATAATTTCCTTGCATGCTGCCGACCCAACTTCAATCCCCAGCATCCCATATGGTTCGCCAAGCTCACCAGGAGTAATTCCTAGCTTCAGAACCAGGAGTAACCCCTGAGCATCACCTTGTGTGACCCAAAAACCTAGAAGGAAGGAAGGAAGGAAGGAAGGAAGGAAGGAAGGAAGGAAGGAAGGAAGGAAGGAAGGAGAGGGAGAGAGAGAGAGATAGAGAGAGAGAGAAAGAGAGAGAGAGAGAGAGAATACCAGGAGTTGAGAGAATGGAGTAACTGGAATTATTATTTAATAGCATTTTTATTTTCATTTTGAAAGTGCTGCAGAGTGATAATACCAGTGATTGCAAACAAAATGAAAGTGTTAATGCCTATGAAGATTTTTAAGTGGGAAAAATAGTAAATTTTGTGCTACATATATATTTTAACAACACCCATACAATAGAAAGTTTGCTCAGCTACTTTTCTATTGTCCTCCAGTGATTCCTTTGAGCTAGAGGAATTGCTGCTGGTGAGGCATGCCTCAGAAGCAGGCACTCATGAGGGAGAGATATTGTCACTGTTCTCTCCGGTCACCTGCTTCATTTCCCTCTTCACCTAAAAGATTGGAGAAAGTAGGGCAGGACAAATAGGTATTTACTCATGAACATCGACCAGGTCAGTTGCTTCATTGGTTAAAAATTGATGATGGAAGCACGTAAAAAGATCCATATGGATCTGAGGGGACTTAGTGAAGCAAATTAACTTTTAGGCAATTACTCCTATTTGCATTGTTTGTTAATTCTCCAGTATATCATGAATTTAGATAATTAATATTAAAATATTAAAGTAATTTAATATAAGTTACTACATATTTGGGCAAGTAGGGGCATTAAAATAATGTTTTCCTTTTAGGTTCATCTATATGATCTGTTAGCTCTTAGCTGTTAGCTATTAGCTAAGAGGACGAAAAACTCCGGGCACATCTCTTCGACTCCACCATTCTTCCTGCATTAACATATGCCTCAGAGACCTAGATTCTATGAAACAGGATGAGAACGCTATTTGGGTCTCCTAAAGAAAAATCGAAAGAGCTATGCTTGAAGTATCACTCAAGTGAGAGAAGGAATTCGGAGTTCCGACCTCCATCGATGATCAAGAATCAAGAACACTGTCTTGTTCGCCAAGGTGTTCACATGTTAACAAGGGCTGGACACATAATGTGATTTGGAGACAATCACTGGACTAGAGCTATTACCGACCAGCTTCCAAGGGACATCAAAAGATTGCGTGGCCGCCCACCTACAGATGGTCAGACTTCTTCATCAAGACCCTGAACTAACAGTTTGAGGCTCTTCGTGTTCCTGGAGTGAGCAGATACCATTGGGCTATCCTAGCACGCAACCAGGATGAATGGAGACATTACTGGCACCTGCTCAAGCAAATTGATGAGTAACGGGATATAAAGTGATCAAGTGATATGAGCTTTTTAAGTGAAATTAAATTGTTGTGGTGATTTATCCAATCATCCCTAATATGTAAGAGAATTTATTTGGTGTCATCATACTCAAATTCCTACCTCCCATGCAGTTATTTCCTCTCTTGTACACATCAACAGAGTATTACAGTAGTCTTCCAAATACTCCAGTTTTGTCACAGCTTTCTGAAGCTTTTCCTGATGGAAAAAAATATTAAATAAAATCCATTCAATTTTACAACTCCTAATCAAGCAAATGAGAATTCCTGTTCTCCAAGACTTAAAATAACAATTGAATATTTGTTGGGTCTTTAGATACATGATAGGAAAAAATTACATGCTGAGAGGTATATGTGTAGTAACATATTTGATGTCTTTGGCAATCCTAAGCACCTAGTAGGATTTTCATGTCATTACTGGTTTTAGAAATAACACCAGAACAGGGGTAGGAAGTTTACTGAAGGGTAGAAATTATGTAAATCATTGAGCTGTGATTCTAGGCTCTTCTGCTGACCCGGAAACTGAGCTATAGCTGTTGCCACTTCTTGCTAGGAAATGTTGCACATTTAACAAGTCAATAACTTTCTAAAAGAAAATTTTATTTGGGTTTTTTCGTTTGTTTGTTTTCATATAGGCCACACCCAGCAGTGCTCAGGACTTATTCCTGGTTCTGTATTCAGGTATCACTCCTGGAGGCTCCAGGGACCATATGGAATGCTGGGGATTGAACCCGAGTCAGTCACATACAAGGTTAGTGCCCTACCTCCTGTACTGTCTCTCTGGCCCTAAATGAGGAAAGATTTTTATTTCTTTTTCTTTTTGTGTTTGGGCCACATCCCGCTATGCTCAGGGGTTACTGCTGGCTCTGCATGCAGGAATCATCCTGGCAGTGCTCAGCCACCCAGTTTAAAAGCTACTCCAGCATTGCCATCCTGATAAAAATACCGAATACCCTGAGCACCATGACCTCTTAGTACCTAGATGGCAAACTATAATGCACAGAAGGAAAAGGAGAGAGAGAATAAGAAGGAAAGTGCTGCCCATAGAGGGAGGTTGTGGGTGTGTTCTATGAATGGGTTCTTTATTGCATTCTTTTATGAATGAGTTCTATGAAAACTTCTGGCAAAAGAAGATTGGATTGTCCTTGCTGCCCACAAAGGTCAGTACTTCTTATTCTTTACATTATTAATGTCCTTAACGCTTATGACAACCTCCTAAATAGGAGTACTGGGGGTGGGGGGGGGAGGAGAAATAGGGAGCATTAATGATGGGAAATATATACTGGTGTAGGAATGGGTGCTGGATCATTGTATGACTGAAACTCAGTTATGAACAGCTTTGTAATGGTCTATCTCACGAATATCTAATTTTAAAAATTGTTTTTAAAAAGTAATGTGGAGTTCATGCCTGCTTCAATCAGCTTAATCAGTGACTGAATAAATCACAGTATTCCTATATCAAAACACACACACACACACACACACACACACACTCACCTTGTAACCCTGGTATACATCTTCAGCATGAGCTGTGAGGTGTCCTATGTGCTCTGATTTTCGTTCACAATATGAACAAATGAGCTGGCTGTCATCCTCACAGAATATGTTGAGAAGCTCTCCATGTTCTGCACACAAACTTGAAAGATTCATCTCCTTAATATATTCAATGAAGCTTTCCAGCTGCTTATTGGGCCGGATGCTTGCCCAATTAAAGGAAGTCTCACACTGAGGACAGTAGAACCTACCAAGCCATGCAGCCAGATGACGTTGATTTTGAAGTTTATCCACTAGACAAGAGCGGCAGTAGCTATGCCCACAGTTGATGCTCACGGGCTCAGTCATCAGATTCAAGCAGATGGAGCAGGTGGCTTCCTCCTTCATCTTCTTGGTAGCTGTGACTGAGACCATAGCTTTTGCTTAAATGCTCCAAATTTGGAACTAAAGGGCAAGTTGAAGCTGGCAGAATTTTCCACGGTGTCGAAAATACACTTCATCCAAGTCTTTGTGCTTCCAAAGGTGTTCAAGTCTTCTCTCTAAGAGAAGAAATGAGTCATCATTGAGAAGATGCATAATATATAGTTGACTTGTACATTAAATTCAGTTACATTAAATTTACACAAATTAAATTTAAATAAAATTTTAAATTATGTCTCTCTGTATCACTAACCACATTTAAATTGCTTAATATTTGCAAGTGGATGTGGCTCTATCATAACCCAGACAGAAAGTTCTAACTTTGTAGAAAATTTCTTGGGCAAAAGAGAGAGAATAAATTAGACCATCTCACAAAAGTTGAGAAAAACTGAGTGGGAGAATGTGAAACTCTTTTCTCTTTTACTGAACAACAACAAAAGTGAGTCCCTGGATTTCTTGGTAGTAATGGATAATAATGGAAAGGTTATTGAAGTTCTATGAAGAATTTCACGCATACAATCAATCACCTTTGATTCACTTTGAAGCTCAAGCCCCAGGGTTTCTTTTAACCCTCACTCCACCCCCAAAGAACAAAAAAAAAGTGGCAATATCTTCTCAAAGGTTATCTAACCAGGATCAGAATAAAAGTCAACAAGGTAACTTGAAGAAGCAGAACAAAAAAGAGAACATCTTTTCTGTTCTCTCTGACTCTGTTTTCCTTTATGAGAGAAAGAGAATTAAAAAATGCTAGGAAGAAATGGAGGTTTCATCCGATAAGGGATTAATATCCAGGATATAGAAGACACTGGCAGAAGTGTACAAGTGAAATACCTCCAACCCCATCAGAAAATGGGGAGAAGAAATGAACAGAAGCTTCCTCAAAAAAGAAATACAAATGACCAAAAGGCACATGAAAAAATGCTCTACATTGCTAATCATCAGGGAGATGCAAATCAAAACAACAATGAGATATCATCTCACACCACAGAGACTGGCATACATCAAAAAGAACAAAAACAACCAGTGCTGGCACGGATGTGGGGAGAAAGGGACCCTCTTTTATTATTGGTGGAAATGCCGACTGTCCAGCGTTTTTGGAAAACAATATGGGCATTCCTCAAAAAACTAGAAATTGAGCTTCCATATGACCCAGCAAAACGACTTCTGGGAATATAATCCGAGGGTGCAAAAAAGCACAGTAGAAATGACATCTGCATTTGTATGTTCATTGCAGAACTGTTCACAATAGCCAGAATCTGGAAACAACCCGAGTGCCTGAGAACAAACGACTGGTTAAAGAAACTTTGGTACATCTACAAGATGGAGAACTATACAGCTGTTAGGAAAGATGAAGTCATGAGATTTGCTTATAAATGGATGGTCATGGAGAGTATCATCCTAAGTGAAATGAGTCAGTAAGAGAGGAACAGACATAGAGTGACTGTACTCATTTGTGGGATATAAAATAACATAATGTGAGACTGATACCCAAGGACAGTAGAGACAAGGGCCAGAAAGATTTATCCATAGTTGGAAGCCTGCCTTATAAGCTGTGGTAGAAGGCAGCTGGAATAGAGAAGGGATCAATAATGGTTGGAGGGATCACCCAGTGTGGGAGATATGTGCTGAAAGTAGATAAAGAACCAAACACAATAGCCTCTCAGTATCTTTATTGCAAACCATAATGCCCAAAAGGAGAGAGAGAGTATGGGGGAAATTGTCTGTCACAGAGGCAGGGGAGGGGAGGGAAGAAGTGAGTACTGGGGATATTTGGTGGTTGAAATGTGCACTGGTGCAGGGATGGGTGTCAGATCATAGTGTGACTGAATCAAACATGAAAGCTTTTTAAGTGTTGCTCAAGGTGATTTAATAATAAGAAAAGAAAAGAAAAAAAAAGAAAAAGAAAAGAAAAGAAAAGAAAAAAAGAAAGGAAAGGAAAGGAAAGGAAAGGAAAGGAAAGGAAAGGAAAGGAAAGGAAAAGAAAAAGAAAAGAATGGGGGTTTTTCTTGGGAACAGAATTATTGGAACTCAAGGGAGTTAATAGTCTTTCTCCAAGCCAGCATGGTCTCCCACAACTTCAAATAACTGGAACATAAAGAGTTTGCAAAACCCAAGACATGAGGAGGCGAGAGGTCAGATGGGGCAGCCATCTCTGGGATCCTGACTGCTGTTTCCAAGTGTCCACCAGGAAGAGCTTGAGAGTCTGGGACACAGAAGAGGAACCAAAAGTAGGGGAACCAGAAGTCTTTCCTTCCCCCACTGCTGCAGCTGTTTCTTCAAACCTGACCCTGTTCCCCATTTCCCAATTTCCTGGAGTTGGAGGGCCGGGGTTGTGGGGGGGGGAGGGAAGGCAGGAAAGGGATGGGGTTATGGGGAATGAAACAGAGGCAGCTGAATGTTTAGAGAATAAACTTTCCTTTGAACTGACAATAATACCCTCATCTAAAACCAGGAGTTCACATAAAGAATATTTGAATTAGATAGACTATTTTTCTGTAAACAGTTAGGGCATTTCTTCAAACCAGGAACAGTTTCTAGAAGTCACAGAGCAGTTATTCTAGAAACTTTTGTTCCTTGACAAGTTATTTCCCTAAAGGGACACTCTTTGCTCCTCTTCTCTGAGGAGAAGGAACATCCCTTCTCCGAGACCCCAAGATGCCTGTACTGAGTCTTCACTCATATATTGGGTGTGCTGAGGTATGGTACAGAGTGAGCTCGTTTGTATACACACACCCAATCACAGACTCACACACACACACAGAGACACACATCATCATCATCATCATCATCATCATCATCATCATCATCATCATCATCACATCATTGTCCTCCACTGAGAGAATCTCAACTTTTCACTCTTTCCCCTCACAAGAAACACTCACATTTTTGTTGCCAATCCTCTCGGTGGCTGCCAGTCTCTAAGGCTTCTACAAGGAAGTCCACTGTAGTTGGGTTTATTTCAGAAGTGAAACTACTGTGGTAGGTGGAGCCCTGGATGGTGACAGGAAACTTATGAAGTTGTCCATAGGGTTTGCAATTAGCTTGTCTGGAAACGGTGAGGTAACAGGAGGAGTAGGTTTTATCCTCTATTTGCACTGTATGTTTTATACTCTATTTGCAAATCGGTAGGGCGTTTGCCTTGCACGCAACCAACATGGCCCATGCGAGTTCAATTCCTCCGTCCCTCTCGGAGAGCCCGGCAAGTTACCGAGAGTATCTCGCCCACACGGCAGAGCCTGGCAAGCTCCCCGTGACGTATTCGAGATGCCAAACACAGTAACAACAAAGTCTCCAATGGAGACGTTACTGGGCCCGCTCGAGCAAATCAATGATCAACGGGAGGGCCTTATTTGCACTGTAGATTTTATACTCTATTTGCACTGTAGGTTTTATACTCTATTTGCAAATACTCCAAAATTGAGGAGCAAAACAAGGATGTAATATTTTAACATTTTGACTCAGTATTGTAACAAAGATTTTCCTTATTTTTTTTCTCTTATTTTCCATTTCTTCTGAAAACCCAACGATGTGAAGTTTTGTCATAGACATGTACAAAAATTGGCTCATGGTTACACCTTAATAGATATTTCTCTCTCTCATCAATATTGTTTCCTTTTGTTTTCCTTCTTTGTCTTGTGGTAAATTATTCCCTTAATAATAACCCTCAGGTCAGTATAGTCCTTGGGTGATCAAGTGATCAAGATAATCAGAGATTGTCAATTAGAGGGATAAGAAAATTTCTTGGGTGTAATATCTAGCTTAATTTAGCCTATGAAGGCTACAAATGTGTTTTCCAGACAAGAAAAGGAGAGTAACCTATTTCAATGTATATTAAAGGTGCTTGTTGATTGTTTATCACCTTATTGCCACAGCTATGTAAAAATCCTAGCCTTTGCCATTAATGTGCCTTAACATAACACCCTTAATGTAATGGAAACATTCCATGATGGAAGAGTAGAAATTATGTTCAATAAATGGCCAGCATTCCTTTGTTCATGGGTTTTAGTGGCTAGCTTGAGACCTGGACAAGCCTTTGAGTCTGTTTCATTCTTTGCCACTGAACATTGATTGGTTATTTGGAAGTTTGTTAGTTTCAATTATCCCAGTGGTTATTGCCTCTATATGTTTTATTTACTTTGATTGCTGATCTCCATTATGATCAGACATCAAATTTTAAATTCTTTAAAATTTTACCATCTTGTATGATAGCCTAGAGTATGTACCATATGTACCTGAAAAGAGTGTAGATGAGGACATTCACACATTTATAAATATTAATTAACAACCATAAATATTTTTATTCATATCTTTAAGTTTTTACTGATTTTTAGTAATCCATTCATTACTGAAATAAGACTATTAAAATCTTTAACTATATTATAAGAGCTGTTTCTTTTTCCTACAATTCTTTCCATTTTTACTGTATTTATTAAATCTTGGCTGTTAAAATCAGACATACATATGGTTATTATTTTCCTAATAGTAAAATGACATGTTCAGTCTTGGTAATACTCTGTCCTAAACTGTACTCCATCTGTTTTAAATATCGAGACTCCAGTCGTGTGTGTGTGTGTGTGTGTGTGTGTGTGTGTGTGTGTGTGTGTGTGGTGCTGGAAATCAAACTCAGGGCATCACTTATGCCAATCAAATACTCTATCACTCTGTCACATTCCCTGGCCTCCAGTTTTTCGATGTTTGTTTGCAGAATATGTTATGTCTTATACATTTACTTTCAACATCTGTTTTATGTTTAAGATAATTCTCTCTTAGCTAATATATATCGATTTTTTGCAATTTGAAATCTATTATAACAATTGTTGCCTTTTAGTTAGAGTATTTAGAAGTATTTAACAGTAACTTCATTTTTCTTCCAATACTTCATTGGCTATTATCATCCATATAATATGAAATATAAATTGTAATTATCGTCATGTTGGATTCATTGGAGGGAAGGGCAGAGGTAGAAAATTATTTAGTAACATAAGTATTAATTTTTTGTTGTACTTTTTATATACCTAAAAGATTTTAATTTTAAGAGTTAGTTAATTTATGTATAATTTTTCACATTACTCTGATTTTTTTTCACCTAAAATGACAGCATAGCATTCTATTTACACAGGGGTATGTATGTTTTAAGGAAAATATCCATAATAATATGTTTCAATATAATTTCTATTTTGACACATATATAACCAACACAAAGAACATATTATTAATAGTAATATATTGCATATGACTTTTTAGTTCCCCATCTGTTAATATGTTTATCAATACATGGCTCTCTGAAATTTTGTGTCTTATGTCATGAGGCTTTGAATTCATCATTATTTAAAATATATATATACACATATATACATATATATAAAATATAAAACTTATGGATGGTTCTAAATGACAATTTTATACAGTCTTTTTTTAAATTTTATTTAAACATCATGATTTACAAAGTTGTTCACGTCACAATTTTTTCAGGTATTCAATATTCCAACACCAGTCCCACCACCAGTGTGCCCTTGCCTCCACTGATGTCCCTTGTTTCTCATCTCACCCACCTCACAAGCCTGCTTACTTAGCAGGCACTAATTCATTTACTTAATATTGCTCATTGCAACATTTATCTCCTAATTGTGTTGCTAAAGTCTTGGCCTGAGGATTTACCCAGCTGTTAGGTGGGAGTTGGGCCTTCTGTGTTATTTTTTTCACTTATTGGGCTTTGTGGACTTCCACTTGATTTTCCCATCTAGATTTCTTGTTTCTCCCAGGCTGTCTACTCTAGGAAGTTTGGAGCTGTTGCATGGCCAAGTATGTAGCCGCACACTTCAGTGGTTTGGAGCTGGGATGATCAACTGCAGATGTCTCTGTAGCTTCTCCGAAATAAGTCCTGAAGCTGGGACATTTTTCTTTTAGTGATGGAAATTGAGTGACAGTGGAGAACTGGACTTTGACAGGTTGGGAACTCCATCTGCTCCCATTCCCCATCCAGTCTAGGGTCCAGAAATCTTGGCTGGGTGACGACTGGACTTTCCTGGGGTAATTCAGCTGCCAGGGTCTCTCTGAGATCAGTCTAGAAATTGTTTTTTTTATCCTCTGGCAGGGATAGGATCTGGATGTAGATGGCTGGAGCATGGGACCTTTGTGAGGGTGGGGACTTAATCTGTCCCCATCCAGCCAAGGGTCCAGAGATCTTTATAGTTTGTCCTTTTTGTCCTCATAAATTAATTTTATTGTATGTGCTTGTTAGCTCAGTCCTCCCTGAAAACACCAACATTATTATGATACTGAATTTTTCCATATGTTAATATGGTATATGAGCACCCTTTAGGCTAGTTTTGCTTTGTTTTTTGTTTGTTTGTTTTATTTTTCTTTTGTCCTTTAATCTTATCTTTCTCTTTTTGACTCATAATTTTGTTGCTTAAATAATTCCCAACTTTGTATAGTTTTTATTCTAGGGAACATTAATTTTTCTATTTCCTTTTCTGGCAATTTTTTCTACTTATGGAAAAACAATCGATTTATAAAATGTTTAGCATGTTTCAATCAGCTCACCAAGTTCCCTTTATGCCTTTATATTAACACCACAATTGTGTTAAATGACTCGGGGGTGGTGCTCAGGAGTTATTCTTGGCAATGCCTTGGAAACTATAGGCTGCCAGGGATTGAACCCAGGTTAGAAGCATGCAAGGCAATCACCCTACTTGCTATTCTATTGCTCTGACCTGAGTGTTAAGTGATTTTTATTCTACATACCAAGCATCTGTGGCTTTGCTCTTTCTCGAGGGTCATTCCCATGTGACTGACTCATTAACAACACCTGAGGACTGACCACAGCCACCACCCCCCCCCCCTTCTCCAGAAAGGCTTCCTCTGACACCCAGTTGTTGAGGGTCCTTATTTTCCTTTCTCCTACAACCCTGTGCATGTCAATATTTGTTTTTATTCCCCTTCATGTGAGTGAACTGTTTTTTGTGTATACACTTTCTCACTGGACTCTGAACTCTGTGAAGTCACAGGCCAGATCTGAAACAAACTGGTATTCTCAGAAGTTAGCACTGTGTCTGGAACAAAGCAAATTCTCTAGAAAGGAAAAAAAGCAAAGAAAAGAAACAAATGTGCAATTGAAATGCTCTGCTTAGAAACAACTTGGTAATACCAGACAGGAGAAATTTTATTTTTTAAGGATTTTGAATCTCTTCTGCTACACCTTTCTTGATGATTTTTGTTTGTTTGTTTGTTTGTTTTGGGGGGGCATACCTAGCAGTGCTCAGTTATGCACACAGGTATCACTCCTGGTGGGGCTTTGAGGACTACCTGGGGTGTGGAGGATTGAACCCAGGTCAGCCATGTGAAAGGCAAGAGCCTTACCTGCTGTAATATTGCTCTACCCCCAATATTATTCTTGATGTTTATAGACAAATAGGGAGACTTGTTTTAAAATCTCTTTGTTTACAATTTGAATTTTACAAGAAGAAAACTTCCAGTTTTCTCTCCAGTCATAGTGAACAAGAAAAACTTGAAAATGCAATGCTGTGTCTATTAAAGATGTAGAACTGGGTGTCAAGCCATGCTTGGGACCTCTAAAAGATGGGAAAGGTTAGGAAATGGCTTCTCCCCTAGAGTATCCAGAGAAAATGTGCCCTTACTTGATTTTTAACCCAGTAAACCCATTTTGGACTTCTGAACTTCCAGCATGATCACAATCACGATCACAATCATCCTGTTGTTCGTCGATTTCCTTGAGCAGGCACCAGTAACGTCTCCTTTCTAGCCCTGAGATTTTAAAAGAGCCATTTCAATGCTCTTTCAGGATTAGGAGAATGAGCCCCATCATTGTTACTGGTATTTGGCATATTGAGTACGACACGGAAGTTTGCCAGACTCTGCCGGGCGGGCAGGATACTTTTGGTAGTCTGCCAGGTTCTCCAAAGAAAAAAACAAGATGTTGCCGCACTTCCAGGAGCTGGGTTTTATAGTCTCTGCATCTTGGCTGTTGATGGGACCAACCTGGTGGCAGCTGGTGGGTGTGATGCCTACCTGCTGGAAGATGGAGGGTCTAGGTGGAGAAGGGCCAGTCCCAATCCGAGTAGGCTTGAAGACCTCAGCCCTGGGAACCACATGCCTGGGTTCCTCTGCCAGTACTTTCATGCATGAGGCCCATCCGGACATGTGGAGAGTGGTCCCAGCATGATAGAAATAAATATATGTTACTTTAAGCCATTAAGTTTGTGCTGATTTATTACAGCAGCAATTAAAAATAAAACTAAGTTTGAGGAACTGAGAAGCTAAAATTCTAATCCTAGTGCTCTCTGGGGTAGTAGGATAAAACCTCTCTAACAGAAGTCAAGTAAGGTTGCTTGAAATGGATACAGGCAGACAGAGAAAGTTCCTCTTTATATATCAGGGTCAGGAGTACAGCTGCTAAGAGCCAGTAACTGCTACTATTCAAAACTATGAATCACAAAGAGAACATTATAGTCAGGAGTCAGGAAGATGATAGGTAATAGAGAAATCAAAATTCACAATTATTAGGATGTGTCAGTAAGTGCTTATGCTAGCTAATTTAAAAATTTTTTAATCTCATTTTTAGTTTCTAGAAGCGTTTCCTTCACATTTCTCCTCATCTTTGAGTTGAGCCTCACATCTGAACCTTACTAATATAGACACTAAATCAAAGAGATGCAGTAACTTGAAGGTCACAGAAAACAGTAGGAAGTGAAAGTGGGGCTGACCTTTGACTGCAATCCCAGGAGCCCTACACTCCAGATCATCTGCATTTCAGGAAAAGAATGTGTTGACTTTCTTCTTTGTACACACAGTTCAAAGCAGGAAAATATGGTGCTGTCTTTTGAGATACTCTGTCTGTGAGCACTTGAAAGGCAAGTTAAAAATTAAGCAGCACAACCAAAAACCAGGCTTTCTGTCCTGATATTGTGGGGCTAACCCTACCGCTGTCTGGCTGCCACGTGGTTCATTATTTATCCTTGTAAAACTGCAGAATTATTTGTAAGACAAGAAAGGACAGAAACACCCTTTCTTCGAGGTAGCTTTATTGTCTAGGGCTTAAAATACTGGTTTAATGGTGAAGGTAAGTGCTTTTCTTCTATTTGAGTAGGAGGATAATTACTAATCATCATTGATCCATTGATGGGAGGTAACAGTTTGAGGGGAAGCTAGAGGAAGATCTGACAGTTTCAGGACCTCCATCGGGAATGGTTTCTGCCTCCGAAGCGAAGAGACTTTCTTTTAAAAGGTAATCAATTCAACCAACACCCTAGAACAAGGATTGAGAGGCTACTAATGCCAATGGACAACGGTCAGTTCTCCAAGGATTATGTGAGTACTCACTGGAACAGTCTGTTGAGTTGGATGTGTTTTAGCTGGGAAATAAAGATTTGATCTAACAAGGTTTAGGTTTGGGGACTGTGACTTTTCAGATTTTTCTATATATTTAAAATTCTCTCTCAAGATAAGGAAAATATGGTTGAAGCTGTGAATGATCCTGAAGGCAAGAAAAATTGTACATTTTTAGAGATTGACAGGTTTGTTGCCTTCACTGTACAGTGGAGGAAAGGTGCACAGAGATGCAATGGTTGTTGCCTATTGGTGCTAGGATGGAAAGCTGGAAGGGAAAGGACACAGTGAAAAAAACAGTTCCCTTCAGTCCTCTCTCTACCTTTCTGGGGAAAATCCTGAATCCAAAGCATATCTGAGCCTAGAGCACTTCACTGGAAAGTGTCACTTCGCCTTATCGTCAATGGATATTTCTACAAAGAATCACTACAATATCCCCTCATGTGCCAACATGGAGATAATAAGGTGTCACTCTGCAATTTTGAACCTTGCCTTCTGCGATCACCCACTATGGATGTTTAGTATAATTTCCCTTTTTCCTTTCATGACTAATTTCCTAAGTGAGTTGAAAATATGATCAAATATTTCATGTCCTTGTTTTGGGTTTCGGTTTGGGGTTTTTGCTTTTGGTATCACACCTGGTGATGCTCAGAGATAACTCATGGTTCTGCACTCTGGAATTACTCCCGACAGAGCTCGGGGAACCATATGGGATGCCGGGGATTGAATCCCGGTTGGTCATGTGCAAAGCAAATGCCCTACTCGCTGTACTATTACACCAGCCCCTACTGGAATACCTTTTACACGATCAGCAAAGTAGCAAGGTGACAAAGTTCCAAACATGGAAGAAATGACTTCTTCCCATGTTCTCTGATGTTAGTAGCAAGATTCATTTCTTTCTTATACATCTCATGGATTCTAATCTAGTAGATTTCACTTTTAAAACAAAAATTTTAAGTTGATTTAATAATCAAAACAATTTAATAGAAATATATTTTATCTGCTATATGCTTGCAGTAATCAGCGAGAAACCAAGTGTCAGTCTTGTGACTGCTTATTATTATTGTGTTGCTAAGTCAGTCATTTTATGACCTATAATGTTTTACATTCAAAGGTACATCTTGTGCTTTTTTTTTCTACTAGCAATAGTCCTGTGAAGTAATATTTTGCCCATTTTTTTCCCTATGAAACAATTACAGTTCTGAGCATTTATGAACTTTGCATTGGCTTATTCAGATCATAAATGGTAGGGGGGAAACTTGGTCTCCATATCCTTTGAACTTCAGGTTCATGCTCCTTCAAACACATGTAACATTTACTCTGAGTAAACTAGATTTGGCTAACAGAGGTGATGCAAGACAGACTGAATATTAGAGAAAGTCCAAGAGAAATAGAAAAACCATCATAACAAATAGAAAGTTTTAGACTAAGAAAAGAAAAAGGGCCATTACTATTACTTTGCTTGAGTTTAAGTCATATTTGTCTATATATTAAGTACAGCTCTTTTGTATCAAAGTTATATTCAAGATATAGAATCTTCTTTTAATTTAATTGCAATTCCTTTTTCTATGTTCACTTCCAACCCTGATGGTGTTATCCACTCATTTTGTTTGCTTTGGGTGTTGGGGATTAAACCCAGATCATTATACATGCGAGATATATGCCCTATTACAACCTCAGTCAGAATTCACAAATTTTAAAAAATCTCCCTCCTGCCTGGCACAGTTTTGGTAATATTTATAAATGGGTTAAGAACTATTTTTTAGTTTTTAACTGTGTCTCTATCATGCCCCATAATTTCAAGTGATGCTATGATTTAGAAAAACAGTTTCCATTATGATATCACACACACAAAAATCTACTGTAGAAGGGTCTGCCACATTTCTGTATTTCTCTCATGCAAATAAAATCAGGATGCTTATAAGCAAAGTTACAAATTGAACAAAAATATAAAGTAGCATTTGAAAACATGAATCTAAATAGAATGGGAAGGACAACTGACGTGATGAGAGTATGTGATGACGTGATTCTACTAACAACAACAACCAAAAAAAAAACAAGAAAATGTAATTATTTTTATTTTATCTTTTAATGTACAAATTTCAACTTCAAAGAAAATATTTCTGTCATCAGATGTCCTTCAGAATAAACAACTAAAAAACTTAATTTAGGAGCTGGAGCGATAGCACAGCGGGTAGGGCTTTTGCCTTGCATGCAGCCGACACAGGTTCGATTCCCAGCATCCCATATGGTCCCCCAAGCACTGCCAGGAGTGATTCTTGAGTGCATGAGCCAGGAATAACCCCTGAGCATCGCCAGGTGTGACCCAAAATGCAATAAATAAATAAATAAATAAATAAATGAATAAAACTTAATTTAAGATTGTACAAATTTCTATCTGGAATACTTGAAAGTGAGGTATGTAGTTTGTACTTAAAATAGAAACATAGATGAAAAGACTATTAACAGATAGAAAAAGCAGCATGGTGAGCATTTATAAACATGATGCTATCTTTGTAAGGTTTTGATTTGATGCCACCTTTCAAATGTTCTATACAACAGTTTGCTCATCAATAAAATGTGCAGTTGGATCAGAGGGTACCTGAGTCTTCTACCAGCTCCAGAGGTCATTGTTTGAAAGATGTATTGGAGAAGTTGCTAGCAACGTTTTAAGTGAGATATTAACTTTATAGCTGCACCTACAATTAAAAAGTTGCCTTCAGCCAATTCTTAAGATCTTACATAATAATGGAAATCAAATAAAAGAGGTTCAAACTCCAGATGTCCATACCAGTTTGCTTCCAGCTAGGATCCAAGTGCCCAGTTTGCTTCCAGCTAGGATCCAAGTGTTAAGCAGTGAACTGAACTCTTGATAATTATCCAGGTGTCAGCAAAACTTGAACATCTTCCAAGTCAGAGCAAAGAGTCAATATGTTTCCTAGTTTGGACCTTCTCTTGTTATCAGCTGGGCATCTGTTTGGGTCCATCTTAATAAAGAATGAACATTACAAAACATTTCAAAACAGAATTCTTTGTCCTGAGTGTAAAATAAAAATCTTTATCCTCAGAATTCTAGAGTTGTGGCAAGAGTAAAACTCTTCTGACTGCTAATAAAATGTAATTCTTATTTTTTAAGATACTTAGCTTCTCTCGGGTATGAGTATATATCAATTATTTTAAAAATTCACTGGGTAATATGGAAAAATCACCAAGAATACCGTGATCACCATGTTCCATAGCCAATGCTTGTGTGAATCTGGTTTTCTTTCAATGAGCCTGTATTAACACAGGCACAAAACATGCTCTAATTTTGGAGTATAAGGATTTCTTTAATGTTATAAAAAATCTTTAAAAACATTAGTTTAATTGTGTCTTTCAGATGTCCTTATTGCTAAGTTAATTTATCTCCCATATTATGCTGTAATGACTACAAATGCAAAGATATTTTTTGTATTATTTGTAGGAGTCACACTCAAATATGTTTTAAAGATCAAGGCCACTTCCAGTAATGCTGGGGAAAGGGAAGGAAGGCATTTAGTGCAGGGGGTCAAAACCAGGGACTTGGACATACAAGATGTATGCTCTACTACTTAAGCCTCATCCCTGGCCCAAAGAGAATAGACTTAGGCAAAAATTTTTCATCTGTACTTTTCTTTGTGGTACTCCATTCAAATGTTGTAGAAAGTAAAGATTCTTAGGGATTCAGTTAAGGATTGAAAAATGTATGTGCAGAAAGAAGCAAATCTTGAAATATACATATATGCATAATAAGCATGATACATGTGTTTTTAAAGTCATGGATGCTTAAGGGATGGATAATGTTTCATTGTATGGGAATGCAACATTTTTTATTAATTCATTTGGTGATGAACAATTAAATTTTGTTAACTTTTAGATACGAATTTATTACTATAAAATTGTTATGTTGATAACAAATTTAAAATAAAGTTATAGATGTTTTCATTGAGGAATGGCTATAAAAATGGACAATATTCTTGGAATGGGGAAGATTCCTAAAAGGTGCAAATGTATATGTTCTTAAAGAGAGTTTGGTATGCGAATAATCAAATTCAACATTTCAAGTTGGTGGCCATTAATTATCTTTACCTACCAAAATGTCTGTGTGATGGAAAGCTCCTACTCAGTGTGATTTTTGTACACCCTTTCAGTTCAATAAAGTTCCAAACTGTAAATAGGAAAAGTAAGAATAAATGTATGTGTATGTGCATGTATGTAAAAGTCAGACAATGTCCTTCTTGTTCAAATAAGAGTCCATGAAGCATAGTGCTGTACAGGACAAATTACAACAGGGTGAAAAGGTGCTTTAAGGGCTGTTCTCAGATCTTGAGTTTAACTGTTCTTTATCTTTGCATGGTTCTCTGAGTTTGATAAAGCACCTACAAATTTCCCCATTAATTTTTGCTTATTTGTTTTGGAACTAGACCTAGGGGGCACTCAGAAATGTTCTGGGCTGCTCTAAGTAGTGCTCAGGGGCACCATGCAGTGCAAGACATTGAACTGGGCCTCCACTGTGCAAAGCATGAACTGCAGCCCTTTGAGCTAAGCCCTGGTCCCTTTCCTTTAATTCTTACAACACTACTCAGAAAGGACACATATTCTTATTGATCAGATGGCTAAAGAATTTATTTGGCTAGGGGAGAAGAGGAGAGAGATCAAGTGAGAGACACACTTGATCCTGATAGATCTTGACCTATTCTTGGCTCTGGGTTTATGAGTGATCCCTGGTGGTGCTTGCAGGACCATATGTGATGCTGAGGATTTGAGTTGCATGCCTACTGCATATAAGGCAATTGCCTTACCTCCTGTACTATCTCTCTAGTCGTAGAAAATTTTAATGACTAGTTTGTAAGTTGCATAGATGAAATTACATAGCTTTTAAGTTATATCACTGTCACTGTTCTCCCGTGGTTCATCGATTTGCTCGAGCAGGTCCAGTAACATCTCCATTTTGAGACTTGTTACTGTGTTTGGCATATTGAATACGTCACGGGTAGCTTGCCAGGCTTTGCCATGTGGGCGAGATACTCTTGGTAGCTTGTCGGGTTCCCAAGAGGGGTGGAGGAATTGAACCCAGGTCAGTCGGGTCAACCACGTGTAAGGCAAACACCCTACTGCTGTGCTATTGCTCAACTTACTTATAGTCATATTTGTTACATAAAAATCTAGTAATTTACAAGCAGAGCAATAAAGAAGTATAGTGTGAAAATGTAAATCATTGACACATTGGGTCAAAAACATTGCTGCTGAGAGGCAACATAAACACTGTAAGATGATTTGTGTGTCATTTTTTGGATTATTGTTCTCCCATAGATAAAGGCCTGTCGTGATAAAAGAGATTCAGGGCAGAGGGAAACTCCACCACCAAGTGTGGTACCATTTCCCAAAGAAGCCAAATGGATAAGAAGCCATCCACCAGTAAAGGTAAAACCACCTGTCTTGTTAGCTTATTTCTTTCTAGAAGAATGAAAAATTATTTCCAGCAATTTCACATATATTTGCTCTCCTCGACTCCTTTATCTACCATGCCACCTGTTTGTAGAGACTCCTTTGGCAAAATACTGAACCAATGCCAATTCATGCCTGGCATCCTGTTGGTTGCTTCCCGCCCCCACAAGACCCCTGCTGGGCTACCTATCAGAAATAAAGTCAAATAATTTTTTTAAAGTATCAGAACCTAAAAGATAGAATGAGTCTTGAATGAACTCCCAACCTACATATGAATTCTGCAATAACATTCCTTCAAGTAGCCAACTACTTGCCCTGAGCTTAGCAAACTACAGGGATACAGAAATAATCCTTTTTTCAGTGAGTCAGATTTATTATTCCACTACATAAAAATGCTGGGGTTGGAGTGATAGTACAGAGGGTAGGGCGTTTCCCTTGCATGCGATCGACCCAGGTTCGATTCCCAGCATCCCATATGGTCCCCTGAGCACCTCCGAGAGTAATTTCTGAGTGCAGAGCCAGGAGTAACCGCTGTGCATCGCCAGATGTGACACCACCCCAAAAAAATTGTAGTGGAAAAAACTATCGCTATATCACTGTCATCCCGTTGTTCATCGATTTACTTGAGCGGGCATAAGTAACGTGTCCATAAGTCCCAGCCCTGAGATGTTAGCAGCCTTTCCCCACTCCTCCTTCCCAACACTGCTGTATTGGAGGCTCTTTCAGGATCAGGGGAATGAGATCCTTAATAGTTACTCTTTTTGGCATATCGAATACACCACCTGGAGCTTGCCAGGCTCTGCCATGCAGGAGGAAGGGAGTATCTCGCCCGCATGGCAGAGCCTGGCAAGCCACCCGTGATGTGTTCGATATGCCAAACACAGTAACAACAAAATCTCCAATGGAGACGTTACTGGGCCCGCTCAAGCAAATATCAAATAATTAACATAAATTAGTTTCATTAGTACAATCTCTTCCACTACATTTTTGTGTGTTTTTTTTTAATGTGATGTCAGGGATCAAACTCATGGCCTTCTCCCATATAAGCCATATGCTCTGCCATTTGAACTCTCTCTTTATGTCCTCCACAATCAGTTTTTCTAAGCTTCTGGCAAAAAAAGGTTCTATTTACTTGGTTGTTTTGAAGCCAACTAAAGGCTAAGAAAGGTGGTAGGTGGTAGTTGTGGCTCTTTGGTAAAAAGAACAGTGATCTATGTGATATTCTCAAAAGTGATATTAAAAAATGCTTGCTCGGCATCTTATTATCTAGTTCTTACTCTGGAGAACCTGGCAGGCTACCAAAATATCCTGCCGAAATGGCAGAGTCTGGCTAACTCCCCGTGGCATATTCAATATGCCAAAAACCAGTAACAATGATGGGTCTCATTCTCCTGACCCTGAAAGAGCCTCAAATGTGGCACTTTCTAAAATCTCAGGGCTAGGACGAAGGAGACATTACTGGTGCCTGCTCGAGGAAATTGATGATCAACAGGATGACAGTGATACAGTGATGCAGTGAATATTTTAAATCCAGCAATGAGAGAAATGCAAGGAAAGCAGTCTCATAGCTGCAGACTTCTGTGTTCTCCAGGTTCAATTTTCTGTTCCTTGCGCTATGGGCTGGCTCTCATCATGCACTTCTCCAACTTCACCATGATAACCCAGCGTGTCAGTCTGAGTATTGCAATGATTGCCATGGTGAATGGCACTCAGCAGCACGATCTATTGAATGCCTCCACAGAAGGGCCTTTTGTGGACACACTCAATAATCCCATCAAGAAAGTTAATGCAGGGGTAAGTACATGGAGAACAAATCCCCTTGTTGAAAGGGAAAAACTTATTTGAGAGAAAGGCTTGCATTTAGATTCTGTAGAAGAATGTCCAATGACAAACTAAAAAGGGTTACAATTCCGTTTTCTTTGAGATACTGTAAACCTCTGGGATTTTAAAAAAAAGCATTTGACTGAGATTATTTTTAAATTAGAATCACTAAATATAACATTTAATTGAGATTATAGGGGGAACTCTATAACCTATGGATGGAACAGATTGCTGGACATTTTCAGTGAACAACTAGGCACCGTTTTTGTGTATCATTCTACTCAACTTTATGAGTCTCTGCATTTTCCGTTGTCTTTAAACCATTTTTACAGTTCTAAGTTTTACATAACAAATACTAACACAACTGATCTTGTTCTATTCTCTAAAAAAAATTTTTTTTATTGTAAAAGTTCATCGATTTTCTCCTCCACCTGCCTGTCAATTGACTAGGACAAATTTGACATCTATTTAAAAATATACTTTACCTTGGCCCCCTACTTATGTCTGTGTGGTGCTTTGAATTCTTTCAAACCAGTTAGAATATCTTACCAGTCATTTTTGCCATGACAGATTGTAATTTCTCAACTTGATTTCGGGACTAATTTCAGTGAAACTTCAATAAAGTTATATTTTTCTTATTCTTTGAAATGAGAATCAGCGTGCCACCCAGTGCTGACAAGACAGTGATAGAAGCCCTTTCACATCTCTCTCAGTGGTTGTGGTTACCTCTGTGGTGTCTCATCATCGTGATTGCTGAGATATTGGTGACAATAACTTTCCTTTCATTGTTATCTCCCTCTCATCCTTATGTTATACCCTCTTCATCTCTTTTCTTTTTCATTCTCTGTTTTTGTTCTCTTCCGAGAGAGGTCATCTAAAGGCCTAGAGGTTATTTGGATAAGTGAGAAAATGCAGAAAAATTATATATTACAGTAGGGTCTGCCAATCCTGCTAGCTCTGGCCATAAAGCAAATTTGTATGAAAGAACTTAGCAAAGAATTTTCCTTTTATTTCCCCACCCCCTCAGGTCTCTGTTTATGAATGGAGCCCAGAGACCCAGGGTATCATCTTTAGCTCCATCAGCTACGGGATAATACTGACTCTGATCCCAAGTGGATATTTAGCAGGAATATTTGGAGCAAAACTGATGCTGGGCACCGGCTTGTTGGTTTCCTCCCTTCTCGCCCTCTTAACACCGTTGGCTGCCGACTTTGGAGTGATTTGGGTTATTGTTATTCGTACAGTTCAGGGCATGGCTCAGGTATAGAGATGCTTTCGCATTCTAAGTGAATCACATCCCCGAATTCTGCCCAAAATAAAGGACTTATTTAATGATTTTTATTTCAGGGAATGGCATGGACAGGTCAGTTTACAATTTGGGCCAAATGGGCTCCTCCACTTGAACGAAGCAAGCTCACCAGCATTGCAGGATCAGGTAAGTAAATAAGTGAATAAAAAATGTGAATTTTTATATATATCATCTGTATATATCTATCCATAGATACTTATAACTATGAACCTCAGCTCTAAAATCCGCTTTACCTTATCACGTCTTTCTTTGGTTTGTGGGAGAAGGAAAAAAGTACTATCAACAACTTGAATACAAGACAGCTACAGTTGGGAAGATTCACCCAGGATGGGAGATGCATGCTGAAAGTAGACTATAGACAAAACATGATTGCCACTCAATGGCTCTTTTGCAAACCACAGCACCCAAAAGGAGAGAGAGAACAAAAGGGAATGTCCTGCCACAGAGGCAGGGCGGGATGGGGGGTGGGGGGTGTGAGGGATACTGGGACTAGTGATGGTGGAGAATGGGCACTAGTGGAGGGATGGGTACTGGATCATTGTATAACTGAAACCCAAGCACAAAAATTTGTAAGTCTACAACTGTACCTCATGGTGTTTCACTAATAAAAATTTTTTTAAAAAGACAGCTACATAACAAACATGAAAGGTAAGTCTATATTATAAAAGTCACTGAAGTTCAAAAGCAGAAATTCCCATTGTGAGATAGAATAGTCATAAAAGCATTGTAAATGAAATGTCATACTTAAGAATTTGCATAAATACGAGATGCGTGCTGAAAGTAGACTATAGATTGAACACGATGGCAACTCAATACCTCTGTTGCAAATTACAAGACCCTGAAGGAAAGAGTGAGCAAAAAGGAATGCCCTGCCACGGAGGTGGGGTGGGGAGGGGGGCGATGGGGTGTGGGAGTGGGAGGACTACTAGGATCATTGGTGGCAAAGAAATGGCACTGGTGGAGAGATGGGTACTCGATCATTGTATAACTAAAACCCAAGCATGAAAGTTTGTAACTCTACAACAATACCTCATGGTGTTTCACTAATAAAATAAATAAATAAATAAAATATAAAACGCATTACAAAAAAAAGAATTTGCATGCATAGAAGATCAAATAGATTGTATAAACACCAGTGTAGCAAAGATGAAAAGGGGGAAATTAAAATGATTAGAATTCAAAGCAGTAGGAGAAATAGGCCAGAAAGTGTATTTTTTAAAATGCACATTATTCTATGTTCTTTACTATTCTGAGCTCATCCTCATATCCTCTGATAAAAAACACTACTTTTAACTCATTTTACAAAGGAAAGAATTAACATAAGCAATTTAATACATTATCTGAATGCATACAGGCCAAAAAATCCTGAAAGGTTCTCCATCATCAACTTTTGTACAAATTTCCTTTTTTGTCTCCAATTTACTTTTTTTTCCTTTTTTTTTTGATTTGATATGAACTTTTATTTTTTTTTAATGAATCACCTTGAGATACAGTTACAGACTTACAAACTTTAGTGATTACATTTCAGTTATATAATGATCAAGTACCCCATCCCTCCACTTTCCGATTAGAACATGATCATAAAGGAACTCTATTTTTTTTCTTTTTGGGTCATACCTGGCGATGCACAGGGGTTACTCCCGGCTCTGCACTCAGAAATTACTCCTGGCGGTGCTCAGGGGACCATATGGGATGCTGGCAATCGAACCCCGGGCTGTGTGCAAGGCAAATGCCCTACCCACTGTGCTATCTCTCCACGCCCTAGAATTCTAAATGTAAGGGAAACTGGAGGGCAATGGTTATACAGTGTTTCTGTGCTAAACTAACAGATTTGGATCTGATCATGCTGGTGTTAAGGAATCAATAATATCTCAGGAGGCATACCTTTATCATTTGTATTATTATTTGTCTTACTTGTACTTCACGTGACTTTGTTGTGGGAAAGCTTTGAGAAAGAAAGAAATGACGCATCTTCTACCAGTCCCACATTAGCCACCACTCTGTTGAGATAAAGTCCAGGTACTCTAGTGTCTGACTTTGCAATTTTCCTAATTTGGGTTTTTTTCCCCTCCATCTCTTTAGGGTCAGCCTTTGGTTCCTTCATCATCCTCTGTGTTGGGGGACTAATTTCACAGGCCTTGGGCTGGCCTTTTATCTTCTACATATTTGGTGAGTTGCTTTCTCTAAATTTCTAGAATCTCTGTTTTCAGGAATTAATTTTGATTCTTGCTGGAGCGATAGCACAGCGGGTAGGGCGTTCGCCTTACACGCGGCCAACATGGCCGACCCGAGTTCGATTCCTCCGCCCCTCTCGGAGAGCCCGGCAAGCTACCGAGAGTATTCGATATGCCAGACACAGTAACAACAAAGTCTCTAATGGAGACGTTACTGGGCCCGCTCGAGCAAATCGACGATCAACGGGAGGGCCTTTACCTTTTTACCCATCATCAAAATACTTCTCTGATGAGAGAAAACGTCCCTTTCAGTGGAAGATCGTTAGGAATTTTAGGAGGGGAGCCATCACACTCTGGGTGATTATGCATGGGTGGCATTCTCTGAGAAATCAGGAGCTTGCCTTTCTACACCCAGGCATCTTGTAGAATCTCTTACTCTCCATGTGAAATGTCAAGTCTAATTGTCACGCATGGTGATGTCCAAGTTGGTAAAGTGACCTTTCAATGTGTCACTATATTTAGTTACAATTATTATTTTGCCAAGAAACTCTTAGTATAGTCTCTACTATGGGAATCTTGCTAACTTAAATTTAAATATGCCTGCTCTAGAATTTATCTCATCAAATTTAGTTTTTCTGTCTCTTCTGATACTTACTGATATTTCTCTTTTAGACTATATTAGTGTATAAATATAAATTTTTCCTTCTTGCTCTCCACTCAACTGTGAAATACTTGAGGCAAGAAATCCAATTTTTTTATTTTCTTATTTTGATGTCATCTTAGTGACTCACATACAGCTTTATATAGAAACGAATAAATCCACTAATTAGAACTTAAATAATTTTAGTACCAAAGTTTTTTGATAGCTTTTCTTCATGACAAGTATCCGTAATGAGACTAGCTTTGGGCTGGAGAAATAGCATGGCGGGTAGGGCATTTGCCTTGCATGCGGCCAACCTGGGTTCAATTCCCAGCATCCCATATGGTCCCCTGAGCACCTCCAGGAGTAATTCCTGAGTGCAGAGCCAAGAGTAACCTCTGTGCAATGCCGGTGTGACCCAAAAAGTGAAAAAAAGACAAATGAGACTAGCTTCTGTTTTCTTGTTATATACAAATGGGGTCATTAATCAATGGTTCTCCTGGGTCATTTTCATCTATATATTCTAATAAGGTATTTCCGAGACTTATTTTGCAAATCTGCAATTGATATGCTTTTTAACCACAAATAATATTTTCAATTACATATGCATAAATTTTTTTCTTGCCATACTGATTTTGTGGCATGTTGGTCCCTATATATATGCCTATTTTCTTATTCATTTCTTCCTAGTTAAACATTTTTTAAAATTACAATAATTTGTACATTAAAATTTTCTCCTGATTGGGCAGAGTTATAGTATAACTAGTAGAGCCATTTGCCTTGCATGCAGCTAACCCAGGCTCGATCCCTGGCATCCCATATGGTCCTCTAAGCACTGCCAAGATTAATTCCTGAGTGAAGATCCACAAGTAATAACCCCTGAGCATCACTGGGTGTGATCCAAACAGCAACAATAACAACAAAATTTCTACTAGCAACACTTAAGTCTATAATAATTAGAATCTTAAGACTTAATTAATGTGCAAAACAATGGTACAGTCATGTTCATGCTATCTCCAGAGTGCTCTGATGTTGACAAATGGCACTCTATATTTGAGAGATGTTATCTGGAGAGCTTCTGCTAAAGGAGATTTATGGAGGAATTGAAGTGAAGTCTGGTCCTTCTGGTAGAACAATCATAAAATGACAGGTCTGTGTAAGGAGGTAGATAGATGTTTCACTTCGAAGGACATACTCGTCTTGAATCTATCTGAGAACTAATTGCATCACGGTTTCCTAGGTAGCATCGGTTGTATCTGCTGTCTCCTGTGGTTCACAGTGATTTATGATGATCCAATGCATCACCCATGCATAAGTGTCAGGGAAAAGGAGCACATCACATCCTCACTGGCTCAGCAGGTATCGTGCATCTCTTCTACTCGTGGACCACGTGGAGATCTCCAGGGCAGAGTGCCGGGCTCCTAGGAGAGTACCTCCTTGCCTGTCCTAATAACCTCTGCTGATTACACATTTTTCTTTCAGTCCAGTTCTCCTAGAAGATCTGTCCCCATAAAGTCTATGGTCAGATGCCTACCACTTTGGGCCATTTTCATTGGTTTTTTTAGCCATTTCTGGTTATGCACCATAATCATCACATACCTACCAACGTACATCAGATCTGTGCTTCACGTGAATATCAGAGATGTGAGTATACTTGGAATACATCTATGACGATGGTAATGGAATAAAGAGAAATAATTTTATGTTGGCTATACATTTGTCTTTGCACATAACCACTCATTGAACCCTCATATTGACTCTTCTGGAAACTATGATTCCCGTTGCAGCTGTGAAAATGGGTAAACAAAGAGGTAAAATGGCTTGTCCTGAATTATACAACTGCAGAATGGTAAAACTACAGCAAGCTCTTTCTTAGTCACTATGCTACCCTAACTGATTCTTCAAATTTCCTTAAAAACTAACACCGCTTTTCTCTGGAAACCAGTATGAAAAAAAAGTTCCAACCTTCTTTTCTGAAACAGTGTTCTTCATAGTAGAAAATAATGCTAATTTCTTGAAAATAATTCAAAATTTCAGAGGTGAGAGGGCTGGGGGTAAGGGTTGATCTGTGGAACTAAATGGATCTCTATGTTCACGGTGCCAATTTCCTTCCTTCAGAGTGGGGTTCTGTCTTCCCTGCCTTTCATTGCTGCCTCAAGTTGTACAATTCTAGGAGGCCAGTTGGCAGATTTCCTTCTGTCTAGAAATCTTCTCAGATTAATCGACGTACGGAAACTCTTTTCATCCTTAGGTAAGGATGTGTGGATGGTACTGATGAATCCATTCCTCCTTCTGCCCACTGTCTGAGAGGGACCCTGATAGTGCGTCCTCATTTCTTAGGGCTCTTCCTGCCATCACTGTGTGCGGTGGCCCTACCCTTTGTGGCTTCCAGTTACCTGACAACCATAATTTTGTTGATACTTATTCCTGGGACTAGCAATCTATGTGACTCTGGATTCATCATCAATACCTTAGATGTCGCCCCCAGGTAAGACCTTTACCCATCTATTCCTCATCTTCCTGTCTATTCCTATGGTCTTGTCTGTTCCAGAGGTGGTGGGTCCCAGTCTTTCACAATTCTTTTCTTTGCGTTGCTGACATGAGCTAAAAGATTGCCAAATAATGACAAATAACTCAAAAGGTCACCATGTGATCTTGACCTGAGACTATTTTAGAATAATTTTTAATTTAGGCATCATGATTTACTATTGTGTCCATACTAGATTTTCAGGCATACAATGTTCCAACATCAGTCCCACTGCTGGTGTCAACTTCCCTGACTAATGTCCTCAAGATTCCATTTCTCCCATTCAGCTTGAGTCCTTAACAAATTTTATCATTTGTTTTTTTGGTTTTTGGTTTGGGGGCTACACCCACAGATGCTCAGGCGTCACTCCTGGCTTTGCACTCAGGAGTCACTCCTGGCAGTGCTCAGGGGACCATATAGGATGCCAGGGATCAAACCCAGGTTCACTGCATACAAGGCAAAAGCTCTACCTGCAGTACTATTGCTCCGGCCCCTTCTTAACATTTTTTTCCTTTTTGGGGTCACAACTGGTGGTTCTCAGGGGTTACTCCTGAATCTGCACTCTGAAATTGCTCCTGGCATGTTCAGGGGACCATATGGGGTGCCCGGAATTGAACCTGGGTCGGCCACATATAAAGCAAATGCCCTACCCGCTGACCATCACTCCTCCCCGCTCCTTAACAAATTTTTAAGATTAATTATTGTAGTTTGGTTCTCATGTTTTAGTATTAACAACTGTAGTTTATCCAAGGCTGTTTTGATTTAGGATTTTATTTATTCTGTTGTTGATCTAGGGGTGTTGTTTTTATTTTTAAAACAACAGTTCTCAATCTTGGTTACTAATCATTTGGGTGAAAATCTTTCCAAGTCAGTGAACCCTATCAGATATTACACACTATGTGTACTGGAACAGAATGCATGTCTGATTTGGAAAAGCTACCAGATGTTTATCAACTGCTAGATAGGAGTGCAGTTGGCCATGATGTGACATAAAAGCCTTATCATATTTCAACATATCTCATCTACACAACTACGCAAGGTTGAGGTGAGGACATGGCATGTCTAAGGACAAACAGCAGCATAGTTGGGATTGGAATCAAAGCAGTCCATCCAGAATCAATTGTCATATCTCCTGCACAAGGTGTCTGTCGCTTTGTAAAGCTGCGGTGGGTTCCAGGGCTCCTGGGATATGTTGCTTTGTTGTGAACTCAGTAGAACAATGATTTGAGGTCTGGAAAACAGATGAATGTCTTTATTAAATTGTCTTTAAGCAAAATGACTTTACCTTTAGTGTTTAATTGTCTAAAAGCTGAGTTCCCTAAAGGCTATAAGCTTTGTTCACTTAGATTTATTTACAAAACTATCTCCCCACAGATACGCAAGTTTCCTCATGGGAATCTCAAGGGGATTTGGACTCATTGCGGGAATAATCTCTTCCACTACCACTGGATTCCTTATCAGTCAGGTGGGGCCAGTTATTACATCTGTGGGTGGCAGGTGTTGTTTAAGACACTGAGCTTAAATGATTGGGATCTCTGCTCTAGAGAACTATATAATTTGATGATGAAAACAAGCATGGGTTTCAATATATTACTTACACTGGACTAATGTCATTTAGACTAAGTTTCCCAAAATAATCTAAGATGAATTTTTATAAATAAATGGATGTTGATGATAATAAATAGTGCAGGTAAAACAGCATATTTGATTTTCTAGGGCAGCAAAAGCTTGACAGAGTGAAAGAAACCTGTCAAGGAATGACGAGAGAGGGGAGAGAGGTACAGAAAGGGAAGATTAATGAATCTTTTTGGATTAATTTCAATGTAAAGAAATTATGAAATGAAAACACAAAGTGTCCAAAGGTCAACTGAAAGAGAGGTCAAAGAGAATGGTTTGTGACCTAATGGGAAATATTGCCAACTGAGTTTTCTCACCTTCAAATGAGGTCTGGTAGGTAAGATGAAATAGCAGGACCAGATTGGAACGAGAAGAATCCGTTTACAAATAAAATGTCCTTCATACATTTCTCTGTGATCTAGTTTTCAGGTTAATTGCTGACTCAAATTGCTAGTCATGCACACAGATTACAACACCAGAAACGATTGTGTTTTATGAAGCCTCTATGAGAGGAATAAGAGGCAGCAACTCAAATTCATACAGTATTGAAATGCTCAACTGAAGGGGTATTGTGATTGATGTCAATAGCCCTAACCAAAACAGAACATAAGAATGACATCTTAAAAATGTCATTTAGGTTTGACTTTAAGTATCATATTTTCATAAATGGCAAAAATCCAACTTTCCAGAAAATCCTTAGTTTAAGTTAATCTTTGGGGGGTTAAATCTCCACTCAGACCCCAATACTTATCTTAGAATCATTTTACTGCCAAGTATCATAGAGTTATAAAACCTTTTAAAGCAGTGTAAGACATTAAGTAGCTATTGTATTGTGTTCCATGTATTGTAGATTTATAGATCAATGTAGCTATACACAAAGTAGAGGTATTTTAGCACTGGTGTGAGAAGAAACACTGAGAGTAATGATTCTGTGCTTTGTATCTCCAGGATTCTGTGTCTGGATGGAGGAATGTCTTTTTCCTGTCTGCTGCCATTAATGTGCTTGGTTTGGTCTTTTACCTCATATTTGGAAAAGCAGAAATCCAGGGCTGGGCCAAAGAGAGGCCCCTTACTCGTCTGTGAATATACAGAAATGCAAATATAAATGTACTATAGATCATTAATTTTCTAACTTTTTTACTGATTGTCATTATTCCTTCACATTTTCCATCATAGACTCAACATTTCTCAACCCTGGCTGTTCTCTCTGGGAAATCTTCAAGTCTAGCAATGAAAGTGCCCTACTCAAAAAATTTTAAATGAATAGGTCTGAGGAAGAAACCAGAAAACACTGATATTTTTAGATGCTGTTCAAGATTTCTAACATGTATTCAGGGTTGGCAATTGTTGGACAATCTGGAAATGTCTATTCAATTTTTTTTTAATTTTCAAAGAGTTTTTCTCTTTGGAAAGTATTGAATGAATAAAAAATTGGAAGTATTCACTGATAAGCACCTTCAGAGGGTGATTATGGGCACAGATAATATATGTTGAGAGCTGCATGCTATAAAGCACAGTACAGAACAGAAATTTAAGCTATAATCTATTGATTAATATTTTCATTATTTTTATATATTGTGAAACATGGGTGCTTATTTTTGTAGTTACAATCTATTAAAACTTATATGCTAAAATGTAATACCATTTAAAAATTATTTAGATGGTGCTGATTTATAATAGGTGACACAGTTATTTATTAATTTCAGAAGTTTAAAAGATCGGGTAATTTAGGTAATTTAGGAATGTCATTGAAAACAGCGCAATTGTCCTGTCTTAGTTTCTTTGGCTTTTTCTTAAAATGGTCTTGGACCAGGAGGTAGTACAAAAGACTGGAATGTATGCCTAGCTAAACCATCATACACCACTTGGGAGCCCCTGTAAAGAAATGGGAAGAAACAGTCTCAGAAAATGTGATAATTATCATTTTCTTCTATCCCGGATGGAATAAAAGAAAAGAAAAATAAATAAATAAATAATGGTCAGGTAATGACCAGGAGAATAAATGAATGAGATTAGCTGGTATAGGGGGTGGAGGAATATCAGTGGGGAATAGAACTCACCAATTTAAACTTTGAGAAGAATGAATGCAAAAGGAGACAAGGTGAACATTTCCAGGAGGGAAAATGAACTTCGTAATGAAAATTGGAAAGAGTTCATAGAAAACAGAGTCACTTTCAAGTGAAATGAAGATTTCTGCAGGAGAGAAGCAAATTGGAAATACAAGATGGAGCATAGCACAGAAAGATATCACACATCAGAAAAGTTCCCCCCTAGGAGAGAAAAAGACATTTTGACCACCTTCAAATTTTCCTCATTTTCCTAAAATTATCTGGTAGTCAATCTTTAACCCCAACAGGAATTATTCTAACTCTTAACACTTAAAACACGTTCTCCAGACTGTTGTTACACACAGAGTTGATTCCATTTTTGCTCCAACTACTCAAGAAACCCTTACTAGATTTTGAAGTCCAATGAACTATAAACTAGAACTTCTGGCTCATTTAGCAGAATGAATCTCCAAATGAGAATAAACAGGTTATTTGAGAAGGTGCTTAAAAACTAACCAACCAAATAAATAAATAAATAAATAAATAAAAATATATAGTCAGACCCTAGGGGAAGCAAAGTCTGGCTCTACATTCTGGGTCACTGTCATTGCCACTGTCACTCTCCTGTTATTCATCGATTTGCTCGAGCGGGCCCAGTAACATCTCCATTGTGTTTGGCATATCGAATGCATCATGGGGAGCTTGCCAGGCTTTGTCGTGCGGGCGAGATACTCTCGGTAGCTTGTCAGGCTCTCCGAGAGGGGTGGAGGAATCAAACCTGGGTGGGCCAGGTCAGCCGGGTGCAAGGCAAACGCCCTGCCCACTGTAAAGAGGAAGGAGAGCTCACAGAGGAACAAATTGAAAAAAAAGAAAAAAAAAACTGAGAGTGGTATGGCAAGTGAGTTGAAGGGAAGGAGGGAAGGCAGTGAACTTAAAAGAATAGGTAAATGTCTTACACAGAGACTTTGTAAGAGAGAAATTCTAAGTAAAGTTTAAACATACACAAAGGTAAACAATTGAATGCTGCAAAATGAAGCCATATCATAGTGGGTAGGACATTTGCCTTGCATGCAGTCGACCCAGGCCCGATTCCTCTGCCCCTCTCAGAGAGCCCAGCAAGCTACCGAGAGTATTCTGCCCACACGGCAAAGCCTGGCAAGCCACCTGTGAGTTATTTGATATGCCAAAAACAGTAACAACAAGTCTGACAATGGAGATGTTACTGATGCTCACTCGAGCAAATCGATGAACAATGGGAGGACAGTGCTACAGTACTACAATGCTACAAATGTTGACATAAATATAGTTGTAAAGACATGCCTTTTGCACAGGTGGGTATCCCAGAATACGGTTTCTAAGAAAAGCCCAGGTATTTACAGAGGATTACAAAACACATATCCTCAAAGTTCTATAACAGTTGTCTTTTTGGAGTTCCTATACTGCTCTCTTTCATCACTCTAGAAGCAATTTATAAAGTTTGAGAAAAATCTCAGAGAGACTTATACAAAACAGTATTAGGAAAAACACTCAATGGTGGAAATTTCATACTGTGTAGAAAATATAAGAAGCATTTCTTTCACAAAAGCTGGTGGACCTCTGGGTCCAGTCTGTGAAGAACTTCAGGTATTTTGTTGGCTGATATCCAGCCACTTAACATACCATAGTATTCAGAGCAGCCATGTGATAAGCAAGCCCAGGCATATTTTTATTTGCATTTGTGTTACTTGAATGATTAAACTACTGTAGCTTCTATTTTTAAAAAAAAAAAAAAACATACGCAAAGGTACTCAAATTCATTAGACCTTAGAGAAATATAAACAAAATCTATAATGAGATGCTGCTACACGATATAATGGATAGAATGAAAGATGAGAACCAGCAAGGCACAAGAGACAGTACAGGAAGTAGGGCGTGGCCCACCTGGATTCAAACCCCAACACTCTATATGATCCCCCAAACCCTGCCAAGAGCAATTCCTGAGCACAGAAGCAAGCCCTGAGCAATGGCAGGTGTGGCCCCTCCCCCCCCCCCAAAATAAGAAAAGTATTCATTTATGGGCCAGAGAAATAGTCAGAATGGTCAAGGAAGAGTAAATTTCTAAAAATTTCTCAGATAAGTAACCCAAAGCTTGCCAAATTGCAAATATTTTGATAAAGGATTCAAAGTGAATACAACAGTTCATGAAGCAAGTCATAAAAATCTGAGACTGCTCTTGGATGAAGAGGGAACTGATAGAAGTCAAGATTATAGGGGTAAGGTGCTTATCTTGCATGTGGCTGATCCTGGTTCCATCCCCAGAACAACACATATTCCTTTAAACAGTGCCAGGCGTGATCCCAGAGCAGACCCAGGTGTGTCGTCCACCACCACCCCCACCCCCCCGCCACACACACACCAAATAAAACCCTCAAAAAGTGTTTATGATTTGTGCGCTCTGTGGAAGTAAAAAGTGAAACACGTATTTAAATATAATGCTTCTTTGCATTTAAGTTTTTCTTCTCTTTTTTGTGTTGGGAAGGCATTTTGCTCTCTCTTCTTTCAAATGCTTTTCTGGTCCTCCCCTGTTCCCCCTGTGTCAGTCCGTCAACATTAGAGCAGAGGAAGAGAGTCTGTTGTCAATTTTGGGATCAAAATCTAAATTCCCAAACAACAGAGTTAAAGAGTTTCCCCCAAATCCTCTAGAAGTATTAGCCACCACGGGAGGTAAGAGCCCAGCATGTCCAGAGTTTGAGAGTGACTGCTCTAAGTGATGGGTGACCTCCTTGTATCAGATATTTGGCAATCTTTCCCGTCCTTGATGATCTGAAGAGTTAGGGTTCACTTTTCTTAGTGGCCTCAGAATAGACGCAATTGTGAAATAAAAGCATCTGTTTTCTTATCCTCCCAGTCCCAAAAGAGCTGATTCTAATATTAACAACTCTTTTTCTATTATATGTTTCTGACATTACCAGTCATGTTAGCTAGTGTACTTTTTTTCAATTAGCTGTTGACTTCTAAGAAATATATTTATCTGCTAAATATGGATCTTACGAACACTTTCCTTAATTTTTATCAAAGTATTTCTTGAATATTTTTATATACTCAGAATTTAACAGGGTTTGCTTTAAGATTCTGTCTCTTATATTATTATTTCACCTCCCTACACATATTGTCAATTTTTAAGCAATAGCAATTCTAATGCTTACTATTTCTGATTTTCTTTAAACTTTTTCCATCCATTATTTGCTAATTAAATCTTGACTTCTATCAGTTCCCTCTTCATCCAAGAGCAGTCTTGTTTCATGAACTGTTGTATTCACTTTGAATCCTTATCAAAATATTTGCAACTTGGCAAGCTCTGTGTTATTTCCCTGAGAAATTTTTAGGAATTTACTCTTCCTTGAGAAAATGTAAAGTAAAATGTATTCATCATCTATCTATGGTCCATGATACTGATTTTCCTTCTTCAGACTGAGAACTAAAGATGTAAAGATTAGATAAGAATTAAAGATATGGCCATCTTTGAAGCGTTCAGCATAAGAGAAGGAACACATGGAGGGTGCGGGATCCCAGAGGGAAAAAAAAAAAAGAAAAAACAGGTTCCAAAAAGAGCCGAGATCACCCGCAAGTTCCAGATGGAGTAGGTGCCGCATCCCGCCTCCCCCAGATGGAACCCCGGTGACCAGAAGCCTCTACAAACACAGCTCAAGTATGCGGGAACGAGGACTTTTTCTCAAAACCGCGCGGCCGCGTAAGGGGCCGCGCGACATCTCTCTATATACAAAGTGATCAATGAGAAGTAAACCACCCAATCTTTCTCCCTGAAAGTCAGAGTTAAGTTTGGAGCACGGCCACAGCCCCAGAAACACAAGGACTTAATGCAGAACCCAGCAGCTTAGAGCAGAAAAGTGAACGGACGATGAGTTAACCCAGGCCATCATTTCTGCCCAGAGGGGAAAGGGTGTTGCCCCATTCGCCCTCTCTTCTCTGGAAAGAAGGATGGCGGCCGCATGGGAGACTTGTGGACAGCAGGTATGAGCCGGGGGTGTGGGGGGCGACTAAAACCTCATGAGAAGGGGGGCGTTCCAGTCCGTCCTTCACGCCCTACCGAGGTCAACAGTTGCCCCCCACGAGCGGCTCCCCAGCACGGCCACAGTCCCAGAAGCACAAGGACTTAATGCAGAACCCAGCAGCTTGGAGCAGAAAAGTGAAAGGACTATGCGTTAATCCAGGCCATCAAGTCTGCCGGAGGGGAAAGGGTGTTGCCCCATTCGCCCTCTCTTCTCTGGAAAGAAGGATGGCGGCCGCATGGGAGCCTTGAGGACAGCAGGTATGAGCCGGGGGTGTGGGGGCGACTAAAACCTCATGGGAAGGGGGGCGTTCCGGTCCGTCCTTCACGCCCTACCGAGGTCACCAGTTGCCCCCCACGAGCGGCTCTCCAGCACGGCCACAGCCCCAGAAGCACAAGGGCTTAATGCAGAACCCAGCAGCTTGGAGCAGAAAAGTGAAAGGACTATGCGTTAATCCAGGCAATCATTTCTGCCCAGAGGGGAAAGGGTGTTGCTCCCTTCCGCCCTCCTCCCTCTGGAAAGAAAGATGGCGGCCACATGGGAGCCTTGTGGACAGCAGGTATGAGCCGGGGGTGTGGGGGCGACTAAAACCTCATGGGAAGGGGGGCGTTCCGGTCCGTCCTTCACGCCCTACCGAGGTCACCAGTCACACCCCACGAGCGGCTCTCCAGCACAGCCACGGCCCCAGAAGCACAAGGACTTAATGCAGAACCCAGCAGCTTGGAGCAGAAAAGTGAACGGACTATGCATTGATCCAGGCCATCAAGTCTGCCGGAGGGGAAAGGGTGTTGCCCCATTCGCCCTCTCCTCTCTGGAAAGAAAGATGGCGGCCACATGGGAGCCTTGTGGACAGCAGGTATGAGCCGGGAGTGTGGGGGCGACTAAAACCTCTTGGGAAGGGGGGTGTTCCGGTCCGTCCTTCACGCCCTACTGAGGTCACCAGTTGCCCCCCATGAGCGGCTCTCCAGCACGGCCACAGCCCCAGAAGCACAAGGGCTTAATGCAGAACCCAGCAGCTTGGAGCAGAAAAGTGAAAGGACTATGCGATAATCCAGGCAATCATTTCTGCCCAGAGGGGAAAGGGTGTTGCTCCCTTCCGCCCTCCTCCCTCTGGAAAGAAAGATGGCGGCCACATGGGAGCCTTGTGGACAGCAGGTATGAGCCGGGGGTGTGGGGGCGACTAAAACCTCATGGGAAGGGGGGCGTTCCGGTCCGTCCTTCACGCCC